GCAAGCAGCTGCTTGTCTATTATGGCCTCTTCAGTGTCCAGTGAGCGTGCTTTTTCTGCAGCTGCTGAAATAATCACAAAAAGGTGCAATCACATTGGTGGAGATGTTGTTGAAGCTATTCAGGTGTTGATGACACTCAGCTGCCAGGAATTAATTTCCCATGAGCCAGGGCCATCCTCAGCAACTGAGTTATCCTTAGAGAAAGCTGAGGACAATGGTATTGATGAAATGACTGTTGAGAAGCATGATGATGGACTTGGAGACTTAATTTTAGGTATTTCAGACAATGAGAACCATTGGGATTTGGATGAATAAGTGTTTTTTACTACAGTAATTGTTGCGACACAATAAAAAGTCGATTTTGTCACTGTTTTTTACTGTCTGATCAATCCTGATAGCTTCATTGAGTAGAAAACTGACTGCTCCAATTATTTATGTACATAGGAAGCAAAATACACAATTTTATAGTGAAAGCCCTGGCCTAGGCCAAAGCCAAGCCCAGGCCAAGCCCTGGCCCTACATCAGGGCCTGGCCTGGGTTTTTGCAAAGCCCGAGCCCTCAAAAGCCAGGCCAAAGCCAGGGCTTTCAGGCCAAGCCCAGCCCTGCACAACACTACCTCAAAGAGTCCTTTGACATGGGCTCCGACGCCCCTACTGCTCGCTTGGAGAACGTCTGGGTTCCCGAAGAAGACCTTCCCGGGTTCCGCGACGCATCGTGCCACTTCCAGGCAGTCTGTCGCCACTTCCAGATGACAAAGCTCTTGCCCGCGCTCGCGATGGGCATTCCCGGCGTGAACGATAAGGCGTTCTTCGAGAAGTTTCATAAAGCGGAGGATAATCAACTGAGGCTTCTCAGATATCCTGGTGGCGAACCGGAGGTGTTCGGAAAGGATGCGCAGGACGGGAGGAGGTGCGGGGCGCATTCGGTGCGTTCCGTTTGTTACTCCCCTTGGATTGTACTGTGAGCGAAAGTAGGCTCACATGCGCAATTGTAGGACTTTGGAACGTGCACGCTTCTCTTCCAGGATGACGTCGGCGGACTCGAGGTTGAAGATCCACATTTGCCCGGGACATTCGTACCTGTCCCTCCCGTCCCTGGCGCGGTCGTGTTCAACGTCGGTGATCTGCTCATGCGGTGGTCGAACGGTGAGTCATCTCTCTAATACTCAAAACCGAGCAACCGTTTATGAGCCTCTTAATCCGACAGACACCTTAAGATCGACGCTCCACCGCGTTGTCGCGCCACCTTTCGCAGCCAGCAAGGACGGACGGGTACCAGAGCGGTACTCAATACCCTACGTGCGTCTCCGCGTCTCCTCTCATACTTAGAACTCATCATTGGCCGCGATGATGCAGTTCATGTCGCCAGATAGGCAAGCGTTCGTCGAGTGTCTCCCTGGGTGCTCGGGCCCAGATCGCCCAGTGCGGTACCCAAGCGTAAGCGCTCAGAAGTACATCGACGATAGGCTCAATGCGACGTACTGAACACGTCCGGTGACAATCGACAACGCAGCATGATTGTTATGGAACAAGAGAAACGCGCCTATATATGTACTCTATAGCGGTGTACGATACGTTCAGTGCGGCATGTAACTTCCAACATTCTGAAAGCGCTTTGATGGATATCATCTTCACGTCCATCTCCGTACCAGCTTTGCCTCGGTTTGTTTTCCCGAAGTCGATACAGCAGACTCGCAGAGAAGAGCCACTCACTTGCACCCTCGCTCGCTACTCTGCTGGTGCTCTCAGTACACAAGCAGGCTCTTCGAAGTCTACTCGCTGACACCTCTATGGCGCGCTGATGCACAAGAGGATACCAGTTGCACTTGCACTCGCATATCAAATCGTACCCAAAAGATTTCAAGAGTGTGTATTTGTGTATTATGATACTAGATTTTAAGAACATTATACGAGCAACTAGATGCATATTATATATGATACAGATGCCCATCGCCGTCGAACGAAGCCAAGCAGAGAAACGATAGCCAAGCCATGATGCCAATAACGTTGAACGCAAGTCCGAGAGCTGAGGTTGCCGAGCTATAGTCGCCAGAGTGCCGTGTTCCAAAAAATCCCGAGAACCAAGCGAGAAGACAGCGCGAAGACGCGCACAAGCCATATTATCCAGAACCTGAGAAGCTTCCAAAAGAAATTATAAAGGTGCGAGAAAAAAAACGTGCCCGCAAGCGCCAGAAAGCAAGTGCCACTAGGGTACAAGTCCAGAGCAATGCGTGCCGAGAAGGCGGATAGCCAAAAACGGGGATAAAATAAAAGGGGCCAGACTAGCTGGAGATGAGAACAATATCAACTGCGAACAACAGATCGCTTGAAGAAGGGAAGCTTCGAAGATAAAGTAGGCTTGTTTCGGGATAGAATGAGGCGAGAGCGGGCGCGGGCGCGGTTAACGGGAGTCTCCGGAGACGAGCAACTTGAGGGCGAGGAACAGCCCGAGTCGGCGGACCAGCGAGGAGCATCTACCGGTGAAAACAGAGTATCTTTGGCCTTGCTCGGCGTGAAGAGCGAGCGCAACGAGGAGACTCTTCCGGACTTGGTGCGGGTAATGTCGGTCTTCGTGGACGAAGAAGGGCTGAAGAACGATCGTATGGATTCCGACTTGAACTTGAAGAAGGAGCTTGGCGAACGTGGTGAAGCATCGGCATTAAGTGTCCTGGCAAAGATCAGGGGCTTGATAGAACGCTTGAGAGCCGGCGATGGCGTAGTGGGCGGGGGCGAAGACGGAGCTGAAGGTGTTGATTGGGTAGAAGACGTTGCGTTGAAAGGGGATATGGGAGAGTTGAAGGTCATGAACGAAAGGCCAAGGGTCGATGGTGTGATGGTGGCCGGGTTGGATGCTGCAACTATAGTCGACTTGGCAGGCGTAGCGTCCGGAGCTGGAGATTCGACCTTTGACTTGTCGGCGGCATCCTCGACGACATCGGGTGTGAAAATGTCGGTGTGCACTGACGAATGTGGGCGTTCGGGGGAATGTCTGCTCGGAAGGACACTCGAAGCCCTCTTTGTGTTGTCTTCATTACGAGAAGTAGCGCTCGGGAGAAGCTCGAGTGTGACCGAAATCTGGAGCGAGAGGCCAGTAGGGTCCGAACGCGATGTCGGAAGATCGCCGTACGACGCAGGCGGAGTGAGTGACATACACGGAGCCGACTTCGAGAAGGACATGATGGCAATGCGTTTCTTGGACGCGACCGGGAGAATGTTGTCTACATTGAACAGCGGCAAACCGCCTTCCTCTGCCAGATGAAGCTCGCCATGGAATGACTTGATCGACGTGCACTGGACGATATGCGCGTGGTGCTTGAATCTGACCTCGAGTGAAGCAGCTTGTTTCACCCAAGCGAGAATGACATCGGGTGCGGGTGCTCTGGTGGGGGAACTGCTGGCATAGAGGAATGAAGTGGAGACCGAGATGCTAATTGCTGCCGAATTTTCACGGGTCTGGGAAGAGATGGCAGACTCCGACTTAGAGGCGTAAAGGAAGCATGATGCAACCTTCCCTGGCGTCTCGTCTTCAGCGTTCCCAGTACAGAGATCTTGGGTCCGATAAGTCAGCTCGAGCATTATGTTCGGAAGGGCAAACATACTAATAACTAGCTTGTCGTCGATCCCGAAACCAGACCACTGCGATTCCACGTATGAATCCTCGCCATACTCTTCCTCGCCGTCATAAGAGACGTCCTCAAATCGCGTGTTGCAGGATTGGTAGGATGACTGTGTCTCCGAAGGGATGAGGTCGTTGACAGCGATGCTTGACATAGAAGCGTTGACGTTCTTGCTAGACTCCTCGGTGATCAAAGCGACGTCTGGAAAGGAAGCTGGGAGAGCTGATGGTGGCTTGACCAAGCTGTCGATGCCAACATGGGCAGCGTCATCGGAAACTAAGACAGACAGGTGAGCCGCTAGGTCCTAATGATTCGACAAACTCGTACCGTTGGTAGTCGTAGAGCCATTCTGTGTCTTGCCGAGGCTAGGGCTCGCCGGCTGTTCCGCGGGAGTCGTCGTTGCATCCTGCTTCATGCTTACGAGACTGGGACTAGCGACTGCGCTGATACTAGTCGAAGAGACAGCATTGGCCATGCTGGCGAGGGAAATGCTGCTGACGGCCAACGACCAATGGAAGGATTGGTGGGCATCTAGAAGAAAGTCAGCCTCTGGGTCTGACAAAGACACACTTCGACTCACTGGTAGTGTCACTCTCCCCAGCTCTTTCCATGACTCCCGCCATAATGCGGGCCCTTCGTGCTTCGCTAGTCTCCGTAAGAAGCGTTGGCGATGGGTCCATCACCTTGCTCTTGAAATCGCCAAGGGCGGTCTGGATCTGCATGATCTTGGCAGGAATCGTGCGGCTGGCTTTCGCGTCCGGATCATTACCAAGTTCCGTGACGAGACCTTCGATGGAGAAGATGTTGGCGGCGAGCATGTTCCTTGCGAGGCAGGGCATTGGTGCGACGTGGGGAAGCTGAGAAGGGCTGGATACGAAGATGTACATGGCTTGAAGGCTTGAAGACTGGCTGGATGGTGGAGGGGCTGAAGATGGAGAGGTCACTCCAGGGAAGAGGCATTTAAAAGAAAGCTGATTTCAGATGCGACTGGTGGCGCTGAGAGAGCTGTGGCTCGGCAGTAGCTCCGCGGACTAGTCAAGTTGGAAACAGTCTCGTTGCGTCACTGGAATGCTTTTTACCCCGGCGCCAGAAAATACTTCGGCGACGAGATGGTGCTGGCCTACACAGCGTAAAGACGCGGAATATCACGGCGGTGTATTCCGCGGGAAATGAGTCAATATACCGTCAATACGCTAGAAATACCCTGTAGACTACCCTCCCGGACAATCTACCTGAATTGACTGCATTCTGCTACGTTTTTCAGGGAATACGCTGATCAATACGCTTCGAATATACTTGCATTTCCCTCCATCAAATATGCTTCGAATATAGTGATTCTTTTCTAGCTGCTCTGGGTACCAAGGGGGACTCGGACCTGCGAAGCAAAACCGCAGGTCGAATTTTCCAAAACGCGGTTCTCAGGTCGGACTAACTAAGTACGTAATCAGGGGTATATCCAAAAATGGAATGCAATGGCCACGTGTACATAGTTCGTCATCAATATTACATCACAAACCCCTGCCTCGGACGCCCAGCCACTCAAAATCGCACCTTCTTCGCCTTGCAAGCGTCACATGCCCAGCTTGAAGTCCCACCGCGTGAAAGGGACACAGTAACACAAGAGACATGGTACTATAGTGTAGAGTATGAGTGACTGCAGGCAAATACAAGAGACAAACATACAAATTTAGTCTCGCAGCCATTGCGAGAACACATGATTGCGTCAGGGTCTGTCTCGTGAACGTGCACGCCGCAAAGGCAGACCCTGAGCTGGTCGGTTTCGCGCAACTTGCGCTTGCGGTTGGAGCGACGCTGGCCGTCGCCTTCCGCCGCTCCCGAAGCACCTCCCTGAAGCATCGAGGCGAGCGTCGAGGGTCCAGCAGTGTCCGGAGAGATAGCAGGCGGCGCGCGAGAAGACACGCCGTCGAGAGACGAGAGAAACGGCTCTCCTGGAACATGCGAAACGAGGGATGCATTCATGATGGGTTCGATGGTTGAGACGGACGAGGGAGCTGCCATGGTGTTGTCGTTGTCGAAGTCTGCTGGGTCGTCCGCCCCGAACGCTTCATCTTCATCCTCGAGCTCATGAGACGATGAACTCGATGACTCGGCGTCGGGTTCTGAATCTACTACACTAGTAGTTTAATAGTAGCATTAGCACTCTTGATGTAGAAAACCTGATTTGCATGGCGTACCTTGTAACCATACGTGTGCTATGGGATTCCGAGATGACGACAGCAACGTTCTTCCCCTTGGTGGAGGTAGTGTTGCCATGCGCACGGCGATCGCTCCATACCTTCTTCATAACGCGATTTTCCGGGTCATCGAGCGCATATTTCCCTCGGTACCTCTCGTAGACAGCAGGTGTGTGGGCGTGCTTCAGATGGTAATCGAAGTTGTATGTCCACACTGCCGGTTTGTTGTGCTCGCACACGGGGCATTGAATGGGGACGTTTGTGCAGGGCGCCGTCCGCGCGCGAAACTTCTTTGCTGCTCCGTATGAGAACTTGACCTGATTGATACACGTAGATCTGACATGGTCAACCGAGAGGTTGCCCGACCTGCCTCTGTTCTTCTTGAGGTAAATCTGACAAACTGACCGTGACCGTAAGCAGAAACCACAGGGCTCCAATTCGCGATCCACGTTCATGTCGAAGAGAACGTGAGCTCCCATGTGAGCGAGGAGTTGGTGGTTGTCCTTGGCGTTGAATGAGACCGCAGGTAAACAGTTGGGGCAAGTGAGCGCAGCAACGTCCCGCGTGTTGCTGCCACCCTCGGCCACAAAGCATAAGGCACCTATATGAGAAGAGTTAATCACTCGTAAAACATCATCAAAATGGAAAATGAAGTACCTGCAGGCTCCTTGTATGGGAAATCGAATGCGCGTGGGCTCACTGAAGCGATGTGGTGGACGTGGTGAGGTACAAGCTTATCATGGAGGCTGGAGGTGAGCGAGATAAGGGTGGGAGTATCAAGGAGGAAGAACTGTTGCTCGAGTCCAGGAATAACTAGCTTGGGGTCAACTGGAGTGATAACGCGTCCGGCCACATCTGAGAGGTGAATTGACAGAAGTGGAGCTGACCTCCAGTCATAACGCTGACTAGGATCATCCTCTACTGTGGCTGGCCGCAAGCCGATGAGCTGAAGGGAGAGTTTGGCACTATCCTCACCGAGAAGCTCAGTGGGGAACTCGTCACAGGGCTGGGAGTTAAACTGGATGTCGTTAACCTGGGCAAGACCAAGGAAAAGCTTCTCATTCCATCGGAACAGGGAGGCAACAGGGTTTCCTATTGACAGCAGCTCCCGGTTTCCATTGCCATCCAGGAGACGCTGAGAAACCGAGGTGAGCTTGGGTGCGTACTTCTCTTCTCCGGCAATCCGCCTGAGACGATCAGTTGATCGTGCCGACTTCTTGTGCTCAAAACGTGCAGCAAGTGCCCGTGACTTTCTAACAAGCGTGCCTTTGCCATCAATGTCGACCATGTTGGAGAACTGAGGCACTGCCACTCTCATCGCGCTTGATGAGTTCACTGATAGCCTCCACTGCGCATCTGCGGCGGCATCCTCAAGTTCGCACAACCCATCACAGTTGCTATCTCCGCCAGTGGGCACAGGCTGTGTGGGTTGGCCTACACCTCAAACGGTCAGTATTTCATTGGACGTGGTTTAGTGACTGTACTCACATTCCTCTGCGTCATCAGTATCAATGCCTGCATCAGTGGCAGCCGGAAGATGGATCAACAATGTTCCATTCGGGGCTAAGATGGAGCTTTCCACTGTAGAGTCAATAGCGGCAAGACGCTCAGAGAGGGTTGCATCGGTATCTTCAATCTGGCGGCGACCAGCTTTCCAGCAAGTGAGCAGCGTGACGTTGGCTGGTTTCAGATCTCCTCGAAACGAGCGTGGTCCAATGTGGTCTACATTTTGTACGGGAACTTCGTCACGCGAGAGAATAGGAAGATGAAGGCGTCGAGGGGTTCTATCCCAATGCGGGTAGCGTGAAAAGATGTTAGACACCTCAACAGTAGCGGTGACTCTGAGGATAAGCTGTAATAAATCCAAGTTTGCATCACTGCCGACCATGGTGCGAAGAATCCCAAATAAAGTCTCGAGTCGATCGGTCCCCAGTAGCACTAGATAGAATGGAGCGAGTGGACAGTCTATTTTTGCCTTAGCAACTGTGAAGAACACGTTCTTGATCATGAGCATGATATTGACATAGAGCTGAACAGGAAGGAAGTTTCCGCCTGCATCAGGGAATGAGAAGAGAGCCATGGCAAGATGAGCTGCTGCACTAAGGTGCGTCAACTGTTCCGAGAGACTGAGATCAATACAAGTATAAGGGAGTATAAGGTGACGGAAAAGCTGGCCGAAAATACGCAACGCATCACGCGTCTCGCAGTAACTGGGGAGATAAGCCTCAGGTGAAGCAGGAGGTAGTTTCCATATGTCACGGAGCAGCTGGTATGCAACAGCAACATCCTGCTTGTCAGCGACGTTAAACAGAGTGTCAAGATGTTCTTGTGAGTGGCCAACGTCTTCCAAATGAGCGCGTACAGTCCCTTTTTTCAGCCATACACCCTTCACAGTAACTCCCTTCTTACGAAAGATTGCGCTTCGGGCGTTCTTGAAAATATGCTTTGCGTCTTTATCAGCAGTGATATCATCATTGCCAACGTGCAGGTCCATGAGACGCAGTGGTGCCAAGAGCGGAAAAATTGGTGATGACTCCGCCAGTCTGGTCTTAAACGTGAGGAGAACCAACGCTCGCCCACGCCGCGCCTCCCCATCTGATGCGAGACTCACAATGCGGATGCGACGGCAATGGGTGTTTGAACGGACAGCAGAGAGTGAAGTCTGAAGAATTGTTGCATGGGCCTCTGCCGTCTCACGCTTCGAGCTGCCAGACAACAGAAATGGGCGTGCGCTGTAGACTGCTGTGTCGTGACTGCCCAAGAAGCCAATAGCCCCTACAGTAGCCTAAAGACAACTTATATTAGCTGACTGGTATTAATCGACATCACAGACATTGATAAACGCCCGAGAGCTGTCCGCTTCCCACACCCTCTGAGAACAGTTCACACACGTGCATCCTATTCCTCACTCACCTCCACGGCCATGTCTACCTCCCCGCGTTCGATCTCTCCCAACAAACAGTCCACGTCCGCCATGGTATTGAACTGAAGCCCTGCCTGTGCCGAGGATTCGCGTGCAACACCCAAAATCGAGTTCGTGCGATCGCACCACCGCAGCCGCCTCTCAACCGCCAACTCGTCGAACATCAGCACAGCGTGGCCAACACCACTTCCAGTAAGCGATCCCAACGCATCATGCATCCCAGAAAGCGATGCATCGAGGTTATGCGTAACCTCCTCTGCTGTCGGGACACCAGGGGAGGCCTGGAGCTGGGGTAGCGTAGTGTGCTTGCGAAGGGTGGAAGTTGCCGGTGTGTCCATGGTACGGTGAGCCATATCTGCCACTCGTGCTCCACCTAGGCGCAGAAAGAGAAGCCCACGCAGATAGTCCTCATCCTCGTATCCTCGGGGATGGTAGACACCTTGCGCTGCGTTATCGACCTGCTGGAGGACTTGGTATATGCTACTCCCTCGTCGAAACGCTGCTGACAAAACCCGGTTGATAGCTGGGATACGGTTACTTGCTATAGCCATCAGCGTCTGCTTTTGGGCGTCAAGAACGCGCTCGAGATTGATGAGCCGCTTCGCGCTATTGAGCTGGCGAAGCCGGCCTTCGTCAATAGTACGTGCCTTGAGTCGGAGCATGGTCATCAGCTGGCCAGCTCCATGCCAGTGGTAAGGTGCGTTCTCTGACACTCCAGCGGTGAAGCGTTGAATGATCCCCTTGAGCAGGGTATTGTCCGAGAGGTGGGAGCACACCGTGCACGTTGAGCCCTCCATTGTCACTTCACCACGACAGCCAATCGCGTACAGGAAAAACTGGCAGCCGCGCGTCGTGACGTTCCAAGGAACACTCTGGACAGTATGAAGGGCGATCGGGTAGATGGAGAAGGTGTTTTGGCCATCAGGGACAGAGAGCTCATATCCAACACACATGTACGTCTTCTTCGGTAGCTTGCGAGCGACGGACTTGATGAACTGAATCTCCTCTGCCTGTGCGGGTGCCGTGACCTCCGTCTGTGTGGTTGTTGTAATCTCCTCCACATCAGAGATATTCCCGTCGCCCCCAGTACCAACTGCGCCTCTGCACACCTATGTAAGCAAGGGTCAAGGACCAACAGAAAAGGAACATACGCAATCTCCAACGCGCGGATCAACACCATCACCTTCTCCTCCACCAGACCACCCTCTATCTCCCAGGTGACGACTTGTTCCTCCAACCACTGCACAATTCCGTCCATCCCAAGGGGTCCACGACGAAGGTGTGTCGCAAACTCGTCTGCCTGCTGCCCGTCACTGACCAGTATGCTGAGCATGGGGCCGAGTTGCTCCCATGCTTGCTCCTTTAGCCCTGGTGCGATAGGAGCTGCTGACTCCTGAAGGAAATCGGCCAGCTTTTCGCCTGTCTGGGCCTCGGGGATCGACATGGGCATGAGTGCTACAGCCGTGCGTAGCTTCTTCATCAGCTCCAGCCCGCTCTCCGCTCCTGCATAGGGTGTTGTACAAGTGCCAGGCTGCGCGTGAATGGGGGTGTTGCCTTCATTGGTCGGGACAGCAGGAGCGTGGATCTGCCGAGGTGCTGATGCGGCAGAGGGGATGCGTTGGGCTCGATGGGTCACTGTGGAGAACAGCGTGGTGAGCCTGGACTGAACCCCACCTGCCCTCCTCTTCTTGTTCTTGACCGCCTGCTCAATGCACTTCTTCGTGTCCCAGTGTTGGTTCCAGAAGTTCTCGGTCCCCCCCATCCCGAGGCTGATGAACGTGTCGCACTGTGGGCACTTCACTTTGCCATCGACCTCCTCAAGCGTTGTCTTTGCTTTTGCCTCATCGATCTTCTTCTTTCTAGCTTCATCCGGTTTAACCTGCACATTGTATGAGCATTAGGATAGTATCCAATTAGTAGGTATACAATTACCATTGATATCGATCTTCTTTTAATTCAGTTGTTTGCAAGACGAACACGCGCTGGCATTGGCCCTCCCTCGCACGCTAAATTTACTATATGGAGCTATTAAGATGTAGGTCGCGATTTTCCGCCGCCACCCCTCGACCGTGGACTAACTAACTAACCCCGGTCTCGGCCTGTAACTCCGAGTCCCCCTTGCTGGGTACCTATTGATCCTCGTCCCCCGCGTGCTTCTAATGTACATAGCGCACAAAATAACATAGAACACGTCTTTATTAGAGCATGAGCTTACAGCGAAGGGCGTGAACGACATATAGGATGACCAGTGACCCTCTGAGCACCTCTGACTCCCCATGGATCCCTCTTCGCCCGATAACTCTGCTGCTCACGCGTTGTTCGCGTTGAACTCGTCTGAGCTCGACATGACAGTTTTCGACCCGCACGAATTCGATTTCCTTCCCAACATTGGCCTCGAAACCGGCCCTGGAGGCCACAGCTTCTCGAGTCCGGGGCCGATGCCAGCTGAGCGTGCTACACCGGCCCCTGCCCACCGAGGCCCGAGTGGTAGTGCCATCCTGGCGAGGGTTACTATGCTCGAGAGTCAGTTCAATGGCCTCGCGCGGAGAGTCACCACATGTGAGGAGGCCGATGCTGTACGTGCCTTGCGAGTCAAATGCTCCTCGGCATTTGAAGCCATCAGGAAGGAGGCCGATGAGCGCCTGCAGAAGGCGGTGGCGAGCCTTGAGAAGAAGATCGAGGAGGTCGGACGTGTGCGAACGCTTGCCGTGGAGGGAGCCGAGGAAGGAGCAATGGAGGGGTCGGGTGACGAGGGAGAAGACGACGACGAGACGGGCGACCGTGCTGTTGCCGACGCGCAGGCATATCACAGCACGGAAATCAAGGTGAGCATGGGCAGCGACCATCAATGAACCGTGTCACTTACACTGTCAAGTCGATCACAAGGATCGCCTTCGCACGATTGATGGACGTGCCAAAATTGACTGTTGACTGCCTCCCTGAATGGCCGGAGAACGAGGATGACTGGCCACTTGGCGACACAGATGATGAGGGCGCTGAAGACGAAGAAGGAGGTGGCAAGGGGAAGGGAAAAGCAAACCCGAAGCGATGCCTGTTGCGCTTTCGATGGGACGAACCTTGGCAACATCGCGACAACTGGCAGGGCATCCGAAACATTCAAAAATGGATCAAGGCGAGTGGCCCCGAGGTTATGACCGAGGCGACGGCATCTATCAACACCATCAGCCATAAATCCCTTGAGCTGCGCATCACCGAGAAGTACCAGGCCCTCGCAAAGACCTGGCGACTTGGGAAGAAGTCGACGCCTTCAACGAATACCATTGTGTTGCCCAGCGACGCACCAGCCGGAGCAGATGGAGCAGATGAGGCGACCAGTGCGACAGATGCAACAGCAGTGCTGCCGCCCAGTACTGCACGACCGGTGCTGAGCAAGTCGTCCCGCCAGAGTCGGGCGGGAGGGGTACGTGGGGCTGTCGCTTGAGCTCGAAACAAGACAACTCACCATAGCATTTTCAGAAGCTTGAGTTGAGAGATCGTAAGTTTGAGGCGATGCCGGAGGAAGACGAGTTCAAGGACGACAAGTACAAGCAGGCACTGCAGCAGCAGCTCATGTCCGATGACGAGGACGAGTACGACGAGGCGACGGGGAAAAAAACGGGAAGATACGTGTCGCGCCCGCCAACATATCGGTCTGAACTGGTAAGTGAATTAGCGCGCCCAAGACCGTTCCGTTAATTAATGAAAATTCATATACGCACAGCTCAAACGGTTCCTTGCTGCTGTTGACGCAATTCCCGACCCAAAGGGGAGTACAAAGTATGTGACACGCGTTCGTGGTGAGCCGGTGGACGTCCCGATTCCCTACATACGTGCTTTTCCTTTGCGAGCACGCCGTTGGATGATCTGCCTCGTGTGGTTAGCTCTGGCTGACAACAAGCGATGGGACACAAACGAGCGTCTCATTGGGAACGGAAAGTTGTGGGGCGATGCAAAGGATCCGGAAGAGACAGTCGAGAAGAAACGGAAGGTGAAGGATGAAAAGGCGGACATGAGGAAGAAGCTGAAGTTGGTGGGAGGAAAAGCTGTCATGGGGACCCGGGGTGGTAAGCCAGCGACGAAGAATAAAAGAGGTATCATACCTGATGTTGGGTCATCTAAGCAGGCTGCAGAGATGGCTGCAGCCGCTGACGAGGAATGATGGAGGGAGATGTGGAGAAAACGCACCAAGTCTTGAGTGCACTTGGCACTGTTGTCTGATGCATGCTAATCAAAAAATTCCTCGGGCTCTGTTCCAACCTTTGTTTGCATCAGTAATTAGCTATAAATCGAAATGATTTTGACGTACATGATCAAATGAAACAGCTGCAACCAGGGGACAATCAAGAGCACGAAGCGAGATGGGTATGAGAGCAATTGAGCATTGAATGCTCGACGCCGGTATGACCTCAATGGGAGCATACATGTCTGCATAACAGACATAGACGCCGAGTGTTGATGCACTGTGTGTCAGTGCATAGTCAGCAACTAAGAGACGGGGATACACTAAGACTTACAACATAGACCAGGGGAGCTCTGGGACGTTATCATCCGACAACAGACGCTCGACGACAGCGCAAACGTGAGGTGCCTTGTCGCCTACACCAACCACAAACAAGGAATGTATACGTACGGGAACACGTGTCAGATCGCCATCTGCAACAAAGGCAAAGGCATCCGACTGTGTGCGTCGGTTCGATGTACACCCATAGCGAATGCCATCCTTACGGATGTACGTGAGTTTACGAGCGACCTTGTGGGAGACAAAGGGCGTGGTTCCGGGATCGCAGCTGCGATCACTGACGAGTCTGAGATTGGGCCAAAGCCGACTGCAGTAGGACAGTAGTAGCCGATAGAGTCCAGCGGGTGTGTCGCACATGCGGAGATCAATGAACTTCGCCGTTCGTTTTGGCAAGCGGATATTATCTAGGGCAAAGATATCAGTAATACAGCTGCCATAAAATAAAGACTTACCCTCGGTAGCCTCGCTCTGGTAGATCGCGATCTGCGTCATCATGGCGCCCCTCTCGTGTGCCTGAGTCTTGATGATGGTGTCGAGGGCCTTGTGTTCAACCTCGTGGGCATTCGGTGGGAGATGGACAAGGTACTCGTATATGAGATGAGTCTGAACCCACGCTCGCATCAGCGTGAGTTCCATTTGCCCACCGTCGTGGCCGTTGTGCTTGACGCGCTCGAGCATACCGTTAAAACGCTCGAACGCGAACAGCCACCATGCATACACAGGCCCGAACAACTGTATGATATCAGCCGTATGCATTGCCGCATGGTGGTTGGGTCGGAGGCGAATATCGAGGGCGAGGAGGCGCTGACAGTACTGCGCAAGAAATGATTGGCCTGTTCGAGCCTGAGACATCGAGATCTCGCGAGATGAGAGAATACGAACGGCCGCGACAGCTTGGCGAGAATCACTCACTGAAAAAGGCCGACGAATGGCGTCGCCTCATCACGATCACGCCGGTCCTGCTCTGGTGGACCTGGCATGATGATGATGACGGCTGTTGTGGACACAACAGGGGCGGTACTCTAAACTCCTAAACAGCTCCGAAACTTCGGAGGGGTCGGAGGTAGGCGGAACGGAGCGGAGCGTAGGAGCGTAGAAGCGTAGGCGTACAAGTGGCCGAAACCACAAGGCTAGGTGATGGAGGATCTCAACGAGTGCCGGCGGTGAGCACGAAAGCACTAGTCCCAATGACCAAGTCAATAAAGCATGCTATCTACTACAAAGTGAATGCGCACCTAGTCCCAATGACCAAGAGGTCGAGATGGGGGACTAGGATGCGAACTGCTCAGTATATAAACAACTCCCGCAATCTTCGGATCCTGATCATGCTACCGATAACCATCTGCTGTCGCGGAGGTAGTACAGCGCTGCTGTCAAGCGTCCGCATGGTCTGCATAAAGTCCGAATGTTGTCGGGAGTAATGCTCGAAGGGAAACATAAGAGGTCCGAGGTAACTCCAGACGTGGAGCAAACTCCGAAATCTTCGGAGGGTCCGAAGGTGTCCGAAGGCGTGCGGAGATGACCGGAGGTGCGCGGACCTGGCTCTAAGTGTGGAAAGGAGAGAGAGGAGGAAAGAGAAAAGAAAGAAAAGAATAGGGGCCTTGGTCGTCTTCACGACAACGGCATACCGAGCTCGGAACCACCTATCCCCCCCAATGCTACGACGATACCAACCTTCTCCCGCAACCGACGTGTACTCTATGATGCTATTCTGCTGCTCTGAATTAGTTAGAGCGTCGAAGAATAACAGCGAGTGATACGTACGTTCTTAGGTAGCCTGGTGATATGACTCGGCCAGGCAATCGAGTTGATGAGGGACTCGAAGCGTTGCTTGGCAGAATCGGAACCGCCGAGTCCCGTTATCATATAGCCACCAAATAACACCTTGTCGTACAGGTGCGGGATGATACCTGCGTGAAATCAGTGCATACATCAGAAGTGAGCACAAATATATAGTACTCACCAAGGTAAACACAATGCATGAAGTCGAGCACCGTCTTTGTCTTCGGGAGCCAGCCAGGAATGAGGTCCAGTGTCACAAAACGAGCGCCGTGATCGTCCAGGATTTGATCTTGTCGAGCAGGTGGGGCGTCTTTAGAGTACAAGGCTTGTCGAAGAAGCTCGTAGTCGTCCTTTGGTGTGCGTGCTGCGAAAAGTGTAGTGGAGAGATGAATTCAGGTTGATTACTCACAGTTGTCGTAGCCGGAGGCGCTGTTGATGTCGATAACAGTCGCATCGCAGTACAAGCATGGCTGCATGTCATGCGAATGCGATGCAGTGCCATTGCACTTGTGCGACGCCGGCATGTCACAGTCGAGACATGCACAGTCAGCGTAGACGTTGGCGGGCTCTTCCTCGTCATATACATCCATAGATACCCCTGTAGAGACAATTTATCAGTAATAAAATAGCAGATCTTTATACGCACCACTCCTGAGCATATTCACCTCTCGTGCTGACGGTTCCATGCAGTGACTAATCTGCCGCACGTCAGGTTCCTTCGGGCCCGGCATGACGCTGGCACAGATGACGTTAATTTGAAGGAAGCGTTGGTCGCGCGGGAGATTGTTGATGGCAAAATACATTGCCCCTGTCGAATGTGGTCGATTTTCGAGTACTCCCATCCTGTCATTGTAAGATAGTAGTGATAGTCAGAAAAGGTGAAGAAATGAAAGCGTACCAATCAACGTTCATAGTGAGAACAAGGCCGAAACGGTGCGAAGACAGCTTTGGAGCAGTCTCGCGCCCGTCCTCAGGCCTATCGCGTACATGGCCGTGTTCGCTGACCTCACGGACTGTATGCGTGTCGAGCTCGTGCCAGAGCGAGCCGTCGTGCATGTCCTTCATAATAAACTCCTTGTCGTGGTTTCTGTTGGGTACATCAGCTCGACTGTCTCGAATCATATTCGCAAACCCCGGCCGCATGAACATCCGGCGAAGAGATTCGATGATAGAGACTTGAGGGTGCATTTTTCGTGGCTTTCGGACGCGTTGACCCTTAGCATTAGTCCAGTCATCGTACAGAGTCCCTGAGCAGTAGTCCACAGCGCATATAGGCGTGTCGAGCGTTTTGAGCTCGAGCGGGTGATAGTGCTTCCAGCACTCAGGGCAGACCGCATATTTGATGATATGTTGGTCGGGATCGATGCCAAGACGACATTTGGCACTGAGAAGGGAGCGGACGGGACGTGGAAAGTCGGGGAGCGCATTTACGATCGATAGGTTGTCGAGCATAGCACATAATGTCGCAGACGCCTGGTGGACGGGTACCTTGTTGAATACATTATCGAGTACTGCCCTTAGATACGAGTGCCTGACAGCAGGCGTCTCCTTGAAAGCTCGAGGGACTAGTGTCAGTGGTTCCTTGAGTTCATCGTTGTCGTCGTCGTCATCGAGGAGAGCTGAAGAATTGAAGGCCGATTGGTCGAACTGGACGCGGTGCCAACGTTGATCGGGAGGCTGTATGCGATGCCTCTCTAGTTCTTGGGGCCGTTGCTGATCACGGCGGTTCGCATCGTCGTCCATCTCGTCGCCATCGTCGCCGGGATCAAGCATCCACTCGTCGAGTTGTCGTAGAGGAGACATCCGGGGAGGTTCCCAGTCCTGAGGTAGTATCTGAGTTTCGAATTCCAAGTCCTGAGGTTGCTCGAGCTCGAGCTCGAGCTCTGGTTCTGAGTCCACCCGAGAGGAATCGGAAGGATCGTGCTCGAGAGGGTATTTCTTCCTATGTCGCCGTAGTTCCTGGGCCGTTTGTAAGCCGTATCCTTCGAGCAAACGCGAGCAGCGAGCACAGTAGCATTTGTGGAGCTTCGAGATCTTGACCTTTGGCTTTCGTGAGTGAGACGAGGAGGGTTTGGCGATCGCGGATGGTTTTGAGCGAGGCATATAGTGGCAGGAACAAAGGTATATTACCAGGTCGCTGTATGCGCGACCGCCGATTAGAGCACGGACGCGCTCAGATGCAGCCGTCACGCGCAGTGATATAAACGAAAACGTCTAAGTCCCCGCGTGCGCTTGGCGCCCTCGGATCGGCCCGGATATTCCATCGGTATTCTCGGGGTATTGGGCGCCCTCGGATCGGACCGAATATTCCATCGGTATTCTCAGGGTATCCTAAAATACTCATCGATTTCGCCACAGAGTATTCTTACACGGTTTATTCTCAGGCACTGGGGGTCGACCGTGAGGTGAAAATCACCTGGTGCCTTCACATCGGAATGAGGTGAATGTTTGGTGAAGATCACCTCAGACCAAGGTGAATGCACCTGCAAACCAGGTGATATATCAGGTGAATGCTTCAGGTGAAGATCACCTAAAAACTGCCAGTTTCACCTGAGTCGCTGGCAGGCGCAAATCAGGTGATATCACCTTGGCATCAGGTTGGTGTCACCTTTCCTATGGAGTATCTTTCTCTTGCTTGCAAACCTTCGCTTGTTGAACTGTACAATGACCAGTAATAGCTCTTGTAATCTGATTTAGCAGTGGGTAGAACGAATACATTATATCTAACGAGGTACTATAGGAACTGTAAGTGTCCTGGCCATCTACAGCACTGGTGCGGGTGTTATGAGCTATAGCAGGGCTGGCATCGCTGAGATGAGGAGGACTAATGAGTCAAGCGAACTTACTTACCACATCGTATCCTAGCTCGTGAGCAGGGAAGCGCAAAAGAGTATGTGACCGGGACCGCAAACTGAAACAAGGCGTTGAAGCTGGTGAGTGAGGAAATGAGAGGAGAGGCGATACGTGCTATCTGCATGCGGAGGGTGACCCATACCTCGGTGTGGAGGAAGCGGGATTTGGGTCTGAGAGTGCTAATCTGTAACTTCCTGGCCAGGAAAGTGCGCTTTAATCGATGCTACGCGCCTAAAGGGATGGCGGTCCATCGGCTCTTGGAGATACTTGAAGTTGTGGCATAGAGCGTGAAATAAGCGCGGGATAGACCAGCAAAGGATGAACGTGCGTACGAGGCAGGCAAGCAGAGTAGCTGTGAATGAGTAGCTGAGATTGACAATGGACGAGAACGTATTGCCGGTGGTAGAGATGAGGGGGAGGACCTGGAGTACTGTACATTTAGCTCTGAAGAGTGCCGCAGATGATCTTCGGGAGGAAGCTGCGGGGCACGCGGACGGAGGATAACAGGTCGCGAAAGCTGAGAAATCCAGATGCGGCGACAAATTAGTCTCCCTTGCAGACCTTGACACGTGCTTGCCTAAGGACGGCGGCGCTATAACGTGTAGCGACAATTCAGTCAACAGCAACTCGTAGCATTATTGACAGACGCACCAAGGAAGAAGACCAATGCTAAACCAGGTGATGCGCCCAATACCATCATCGTACTCCTCGCACAATTTCTCCTCAACCCCAAGAGTGGCATCCAATCTTCCTGTTCGCATTGACGGGTGAAATGAGCATGCCGGCTAGCACTGGGGATGTGGGAGGTGGCATACTGGTGTTATCATGAATTAGAGATGCTTGAAGTGCTACTCGAGAGCGATGACGGGCTCCGAGCAGTTCACCGGATGATTAACCATTAGCGAACCTATTATGGAGCTGTAAGAAGACAAGGTCAGTGGGCTGCCCGCAGTAGCAGTGACATGGGAGTTATGAGAGGCGACGAGCAATGGGCACTTCACCTGGACACACCTAAGGGTGTATGGCTCTGCGAGAGTGGTCGGGAGCTGGTCTGGTAGGAAGAGTGCAGCCTGTTACGCGCACAGTAGATATTTGCTCTTGTTTGGCTGCATGCTCCACCCTTCGCCACTTTTAATCACCTGAAAATCACCTTCACCTGCCTTCACCTGACAGGCAGGTGAATGGTGTGAATCACCTACTTTTGAGGTGAAGACCACCTCTTTCTATTCTCACAGTGAGGGTATTATACAAGTATTGTGAGATACCCTGTCATTTTGCCTTGGAGGTATTCTACGTCTTTACGCTGTGCTAGTGCTAGATCTACAGAGATTGATATTCAATCACAGTCGACACACCCGCCGAAAGGTGCCTCGTAAAAGCAACGGGGGATAGATATTAGTTTGTCCAGCTGCTTCGACAGTAGCAGCTACACCGCAGACTCATAGCGCATAAGTATATACAAAAAGAAATACCCTGAGGAAGCAAAATGAATAAAATGGGGATCAACTTTGAGCCGAGAAGTTTAAGTTGCACGTAGTAGCTGAACGAAAGACTGTTGAGCGAAGGCCCAGTCCGAAGACACAGATGACGCCAACATTGACATGACCAAGTTTTGGAGCAAGGGCGCCTAGCAGAGATGTGCTTGAAGAAGCGACACAGAGATTTATGAAAGGAGTTGGAAGAAACAAAGATTTCATAGCACGGAAATATTGGTGATGGACGCTCTCGTCAAAGAGGTTTTAGGCGCGAGAAAGCTGCTGTCAGCATGACAAAGCCTGTGCACGTCGCGCTTCGCGTCACAGCGCATTCCCGAACGGGTAAGACGCGACGGAACCACCGAGCAGCTTCGTCGACCTTGTCCTCCCATCTCCTTGTGCAATGTTTTCCGCCGTACTGCAATCGAATCTGACGAACTATCCAGCATAGACAATGCCGAAGGATGACGACCACTGGCACCTAGCAGGGGTATGAGTGACGCGAGTGTAGCTGGTACGCAGTATAAAATGCAAAGATGCGAAGCCTCTGACAGTACCAATCTCTTCAACTAACATCTCAAACCTCATCTACCGATAGCAATATTTTTCTTTTCTTACCCAACGCATCATTTTATTCCTTGCAATTTACACCGCTTCGTCCCAGACCCAGACCGCACTCCTCCTTCCTGGGGTCGGTGCTTCTTTTGCGCTGCAGCAGATCTCGATCCCGCAAGCAGGTCCTGGCGAGGTTCTTGTCAAGAACTACGCTGCGGGACTCAATCCGATTGACTACAAGACTCAAGAGAGCGGATTTTACGTCGTGCGCGAATACCCTGCCATTCTCGGCTTTGAGGGTGCAGGTGTTGTCTCCGCCATTGGTGAAGGCGTTATACATCTCAAGGAGGGTGATCGGGTTGCATACCAGGGGGTCGCTACCAACAAAGGACGTTCCTTCCAGCAGTGGGTTGTCACATCGGCTGACTGGGTATTCAAAGTACGCGACGGCGCTATCCGGCTGACTGTTCTCGAAAACTGACTGTCTAATGTCTGTAGCTTCCCAATTCTATTTCCTTCGACACCGCAGCAGCGATCCCCATCGCGCTACTCGCTGCCGTTATCGGCACGTACCAGCCACCACCTCACGGTCTCGGCGTAGCCACTCCATGGTCTTCCACCGGGCGTAGTGCCCATTCTGGGTCCCCCATCGTCGTCCTCGGCGGAACATCCAACGTCGGCCAATACGCAATTCAGCTTGCTCGCCTCGCCGGTTTCGACGCTATCATCACCACTGCCTCTCCTCGCAATTCCTCCCTTCTCCAGCGGCTCGGCGCGACGCACGTGCTCGACCGTTCTCTCTCCATCGAGGCGTTAGTCCAAGAAGTCGAGAAGATCACCGGCAACAAGAAAGTCTTGCACGTATTCGACGCAGTCGGTATCGCGGAGACGCAGCAGGCCGCGCTCTCGATCGTAGCTGAGGGTGGGAAAGTTCTCACCACGAATGCGCCGCAAGGTAAGGCACCAGAGGGCTCTGACAAACAAGTCGTGTTCGTCATGGGTGCGCTTATGGTGCCGCAGCATCAAGCATTTGGCAAGGAATTCCTGAGCGTTTGGGCGTCGCTTTTCGAAAGCGGCGACATTAAAGTGAGTTTTCTGTCTCCTCCACTCTTGCAAGGGTCTCTGACGGGGCCTTTCAGGCTAGCGCTGTCGAGATTGTCCCGGGCGGTCTCAATGGCGTTGAAACGACGCTGAAGCAACTCAAAACAATTAGCGGGAAGAAATTTGTCGTACGTCCTTTTGAGACGGATGTGTAATCATACGAAGGTTACTTATAATATACACGTTGAATATACATACACATTTGAACTCTCAGGGTGAAGCCTGTGATCCATACTACTCAAACGCTAGAGGCTGCAGCGAAACCGTTGACTCGGTGCTACTTCCTCACATTTCTATCAATCTTGGTCACCGTAGTGGTTGTTGACGTGAACACCAACTCCCCGCTTTCCGGAATGGCATCTCTGCTGTTGATAACGATTGTAGGGTGGTTCCCTCCCCCGTTCACGCGTATAGCAGGCTCGGAGCTCGATATCGTGTACGTCGACTGAGTGACTACCGGCGCACCAGGTCCTGGTTGGGGGTTTGTCGAAAGCTCACCAACGCGATGAGCCGCCCATTCCTGTCCTGTCTGCCCAACGGACGCCAGCTTCACCTGAATGACATCGTCAATGACGTCATTGAAGCCATGGTATCTCTGTCATATGCTCACCCTGGTCCCAGAGCTCGAGCTGATCAATGTCATTGCCAAAGGACTGTTTGGCCACACAATCCTGTAAGTTGGAACGAGGTCAGCGTTGGCGAGTACACGATGTAATTACAAGTGAAAATCACGCATACCGAACAGTTGGCTCTTGCTTGCCGGAGATGTTCTCTACGGACCAGCTTACAGGATACGGAGTCGCGATTATCGTGGCGTTCATCTGCACCGTCTCACAGGTGAGATATGTCCCCGAATGCATGCCTTTGATGGAGTATCCGGCTCCCAGCGGAGAGAACTCCCACTATATGAATAACTTAGCGTGAAAGTCTTGAACGCTCCGAGCCTGATTAGTAAAGTCTCACCTTTTGATTGTCGCTCTCGTGCTTCCCGTACGCTGAAGTGCCATGAGCTGTACGTATTGTTGTCATTTTCCGGCTAAAACATACCTATAAGTGTTCTGTTATCGCCTGCTGACAGATCCATCGCTGTCTCTCCCCCAAACTGGACGAGCTGATAGATGCCGGCGTGTATCGGGCCTCCCTCCATGTCAAACTTGAAGGTCTCTGAAGATTGTGTCACTGGAGATGAGTGGGCGCTCGATTGATCCGCCTCGACAATGATCAACTCGCTAGAGTCGTCGTAGTCAGCGATGTTCATGATAGAAGGATAGGCACACTTGATTTGGAGTCGCTATATCGGTAAAGTGGGCTGGCTGGATTGGGTGTCTAGATTGTGGCCATTAGGGGGTCGTTCGTCCTCCTCCGAGATTTTAAACTTCATTCCAAACTATCCTCATTGCGACTAACTTGAATCTTAACTAGGCCTGAGAATGAGGTCAAGAGAGTCCACTACACTGCAGCCAGAAAAACAAAGTTGCTAAGCCTAGTTTTCGCGAGATGGAGGGTAAGGCTGAAAAAGGAACCAGTCGCGGCATCGGCCGTACCTGTCTGACCGTGACTCATTCAACCTGTGAATCTTTCTCTTCAAGTCATAGATAACATTTTGCCATATTTCTAATCCTACAGTATCCAGTCTATCCTACACGAGCTCAACGCGTTGCAGTCTCTGAAGGCACTATCATCACTTCTGCTCAGGCGTCTCAGCGTACAATGTCTGCCACATCCCTTCAGGGTATCGCGCGCCATTCGCCCAGTCCGCTTTCTCGGCAAGCTGCCTTACTTCTTGGACATGCTCTGGTCCCAGCTTGACGCTCACCGCAGCAAGGTTCTCGTTCAGGTACTGCAAAAATCAAATCAGACTGGCCCTCGACACAATACAAAGGTCAAAATAATCAAACCTTGATTTTCTTCGTTCCAGGAATCGGGATGACGTCTTCACCCTGAGCCAGGAGCCACGCAAGAGCAACTTGACCGGCCGTAGCATCGTACGATTCGCCAACCTTCTTCAAGAGATCAGCCAACTTGAGGATGTTGGGGAAGTTTTCCTTGGAGTATCTAGGGACCATCCGTCGGAAGTCACTCTCCTCAAAGTCGTCGGGAGATTTCTATCAGAGGTATCAGGTCTTAGGATGTGCATGAAACTCGGCAATAATCAGACTCACGTATTGACCAGTGATCAGACCACGTCCCAGAGGTGAGTAAGCAATAACCTTCACGCCAAGCTCCCGCGCAGTTTTGAGTATGTTCAACTCGCCCTCGATGTCGAGCGTGAAGGCAGAGTACTCGACTTGGATCGCAGCGATCGGGTGCACCTTGTGGGCGCGGCGGAGAGTGTTGGCGCTGCACTCGGACAAACCCAGGTACTTCACCTTGCCGGCCCTACAGATTTATCGCACTGAGTACGTGATATTCCCATGTCTCCTGTCCAATATCACTTACTTGACGAGCTCAGCCATTGCACCAACCGTCTCTTCAATGGGAACCTCAGGGTCGGGCCGATGCAGGTAGTATAGGTCAATCTTGTCAACTCCAAGACGCTCCAGCGAACGTTGGAGGTGAGTGCGGCAGGCTTCTGGGGTGCCATTAACGGTCCTGGCTGTGCTGAAGTCGACTCCAAACTTTGTAGCGAGGAAGATCTCATCGCGTTTTCCTGTACGCTTGAACCTAGGTGTGGTCCGAGGATATATCACCATTTACTCGCCGAAAAAGCAAGGACACAAAAATCTGTTTCGTACCATTTGCCGATCAGGTCCTCATTGTCACCGTAGACGTTTGCCGTGTCCCAGAATGTGCACCCACTTGCGTGTGCAGCATCGAGAACCTGAAGGTAGTGGTAATTGTCTTTGTCAGCGCTTACCAGATACTAGCATCATGAAGGATACGACGGACCTTGAAACGCTCCTCGTCAGACTCGACGGCGCCATAGGCAATGGAGAGGCCCATGCCACCAAATCCGATGGCAGAAACGTTGTCTGTGCCAATCTTACGCGTAGGGAAAGTCATGTTTGTGGTTTGATAGCTAGCGGAACGGTGGACTTGGGTGCTTGGATGCTGCTGAAACAAGGACCTCCATCATAGTCTTTATAACCACTCCTCTGGTTCGGCATGGTAGACGCGTCAGTGCATCGGCAGCCATTTCCCAAGATGCGTCACCAGCAAGCTGCAGACATCAGCCTGCTTATGACGAGCCAAGAAGAGAGAATTCGAAGCGATGCGTTATTATTGGTCCCAAGCGCAAGCAGTACCTTATTAAGCCAACGAGATGACAGTGAGTGCTCACGAAATGTTGAGATTGTACGGCGCGCTCATAGCCCCTTTAAATAAACCTGTTTAGCCGGCTTCTTCGGTGTTGAAGAACCAATTATCCTAATTGCTGACACAAGTTGGTACGACAAGAATGCGGGGTGTTATTCTGAGTGCTATTTTAACGTTGGCGCTTTTATGAAAATATGGTCGAGTCCTTGTTGCACCCAAGTTAGCGGGTGAGTACTGTATTCTGAGCGCTGGAAATCTAGATTACCTTCCCTGATAACCCAGATAGGTTCTCATACAGATATAATATGGTATTTTCTTATTCCGCCCTCCACCCAAAGAGTACCGGCTTTAAGGCTGACGCTATCATCAGCTTGTCACACTCTTGCCACTAGCCTATGGCCCTGTGTCCTACTTCGTTCCCCATTGTCATTTCCTTTCATGCCATAGCTGATGGGAACTCCGTCAGTGTCAACCATGATCTGTCAAATGGTCCTCCGCCGACACTTTGTGGGGCTTGGACAAGCAAACTATGTTCGGCTCGCTTATGGTGCCACAGTACAACGAATTCCGTACGAAGTGGGGTTTCACCCGGAAATCTGTGACATCAAAGTAAACTCAATCGATATCCACACTCTCCGTTGCGAGATTACTAATAGATGTCTGGTTAAGTTTCATCGAGGCTATTTTAAGTAGTCTCAACGATATTGACTCGGCTTAAAATGGTCGCTGGGGAAAAGATAGTCGTACGCTCTTCTGTGGCATACAGGTAAGCTCATGACGACCATACAAGGCGTATCTAATACTCTTTAGGCCGCGATACTCATTCATGAAGGATTTGATTAGTAATACTCATGGTACCGAGATGATAGGTGATCTCACGCTGGACTTCTCTCCGTCTTCTTCGTTTGTCACTCGCAGTACTCATAGCACTCGGGTCAAGGAAGCCAAATCTTTCAGTGGCAGATCTCCTTGCGCACCCTTTTAAAGGCGTACATTTTCCCTCTCAAATGCGGCCAAGATATCTTACCGTCATCTTATACTTTGCCTCGTTCATCATGAGTGTAACCTAAGACCATTTCTTGCTTTGATTATTCAATGAAGGTCATTGATGTTACCTGGATTTTGGAAGTTCTTCAGGTATCTTCTCAAGTATCAGATACTCCACAGAGTCAGCCGGAGATGGTCAACATTCACATGGGAAGCGATGCGCCTCGAGATGATGGTAACTTTGCATCAAGCTTACTTGGGAGAACACGCTCAAGCACTGACCATCGGGTTACAGACATGAAGTGTACGCTCTACTCCTTCGCCGGGCGTAGAGAAGTTTGACACGTCATAATAGTTCGGCGGGATTATAGGTAAGTGAAGCTATTTCACCCGCAGACAATTCTACAGCCCCGATGATTTGAAGGCAGTAGAATCTGGACAGATACATGATCATCAGGTACACGATGAAGCATATAGTTGTAATTGGTCAAGCAGAATCTCTGTTGGGCAAACGTGGGATATTCTCTGAGGCTATTCTTCCCCAATAATCTTGTTACCGGTGCGTCATTTCCAATTTTCCCAGTTCACAGGGTTACCTTGTTATATAAAGGTGCATTCTTGAGCCCATACCGCCCTCTCGCCCATTCATGTCCAGTCTTGAAGCGCGAGTTGCTCCTATCATAGGCCCCTTAGAGGTAGGATCACTAGTTTGCGGGATCCTTCTTGGCTGTGCATTGCTACAAGGCTACTTTTACCATTGCAACTTCGAACACGATCCGTGCAAAAGAAAGCTTCTCGTACGTTTTCCTCTTAAACAATGTAAAATATGCAGCTAATAACTTGTTAGGTTGCCTGCGTAATGTGGGTCTGTTCACCTCGGCAGCGCTGTTCTATACGATCATTAACGACCGTCAAGCGTAGTTGACCTCTTCTATTTCTTCTCCTGCGCGGTAATGCTGTGGAAACTTACAATCATATTTTTCGGGAATGTATCCCAAGTGGAGGCTCTTCCCGCTGCATCCCTGAGCGCAATCGCAGCCTCTACAGCGGTGATGAATATCATGATGCAGGTATGTAACTATCGGACCCATTCTTTTGAATTTTGTCACTGATAGCTCTTTCAAGGGTTTCTATGCGCATCGCATATGGAAATTGTCATCCTCTGTCATCATACCGATCATCATCGGAATCTCCACTACTGTGTCTACGATAATTGCACTTTACGGCGCCATAGGGACGATGGTGTATGAACCCAAGTGGCTTGGCCCCCGTAGCTGGATCGTCTGGGTATCCGACTCGTGCGAGCTGTTCAGCTCGTTGGTTATTACATGCGTAACAGCCTGGTACCTTCGAAAGTCTAAAATCTTGGCGCTCAGTGGTACTGCTCGGCACATTGACAGGCTAACTTTGTGGACTCTTGGTAAGAGACTATAAACAATAATATCCTATCTCTCTCTCAAGCGACACAACAGAGATTGGTTTACCCCCCAGGTAAGCCATATTGATCGAGATGTCCTTGGATAAAGCTGGATAGTGATTTAGTATCTGCCGCATCGCTGAGCTAGTATGCGTGAGTCATCATGTAATTATGCCGAGCCTACCTTATCCGCCTTCAGATATTACGTTACGGGGATATGATTTGGTTGGGTCCGTACATTATCGTTGCTGGAGGTAAGCACATCAATCATGCTGAGTAGCCATTGATCCTTAATAGCTTGAATTGCAGTCCAAGCCAACTGCCTTCTTGCTGCGTAAGCCCTCATGCAGCAGCCTCTTCTGAATGTTGGACCTGATGCGTTCGATACCATCTAGGATCAATACCCGCATGGTGTGCCGTAGAACAAGTCACATCCACATTTTCCCAACAAACGCCGCTATGGAGCTTCCTACTCTCGAGGTAGTGTCAACGTAGCTGAATCAGTCAAGGCCTGTGCATTAATGAAAGTAGATAAGAGTCGACGAATCGATCCGACGGGATGTCGAGGAGACCCGCCAACACAAGTCTTTACCGGCCCTTCCTCGCTCCACTTTGGTTACCGATGCTCGGAACTCATCAAGTTCCGCGGAGAGTGTCTAAGCAGATACTTTTCCTTTCTCAGGTCTGGGGGAAATTGCAGTACTCAGACTGTAGTTATTTCACGGCCGCTGATGATCAATAATGAAATTGCGCTGAAAAAACAGCCACCTATGGCTCGATGCATGTTGGTCGTGTGAAAGTTGCTACTGCTCTGATCTTTAGGGTGACGTATTATTTCTGGCCAGCGTTGGTCTGAGTTTTACTATGAAGGGCCATCGATATCTTCCAGTAGGCTGACGATTTCCCTAATATTTCTTGGTAACTTCAGAAGGGAAGTGTCTGTTCGGCATTACGACTAATCCTAAACGTCAAACTCCTAATTTAAGCGTAACATTCCGTATAGTACCCTCGAAGCCCTGACAGCCCACGTACTGCGCGGGAGCGGCAAACGACATGTTGGCCGTTGTTAGGTAGTCGCCCCATATATTAAGAGTCGTAGTCCACCAATACGTCTCCTTTCCCTCCCCTTCCGGCTGCACCTCTGCGTACGTGTACTCGCGCGTCGCCTTGATCGTAACAGACGTAAAAACGCCAGCTGGGAAGGTGAACGTGGTCGGATAGAACTCTGCGTTCGACTCCATGGTGAGGCTGGAGGCGTACAGTGTGGAGTCAATGCCAGAGAAGAGGACACTTTGCGAGATGTCGCTCGGGTTGGCCTGCGGTCCTAGCTGGACGCTGAAAGTGAGGGTGTAAGGCGGACCGACGGACGAAACTTGCGTGTCGAAGGGATATGAAGGGATACTGTCATACTGGTACACGATGTCGCTGTACTGAGTATCGACGACCCTATTGAGGTTCTGCCCTGGCGCCTTTGCATTCATCACCGGGTAAAGCACGTCGAACTGCGCCTGTGTCAGCTCCGTGCTGCGGACGCCCGAGCCGGCCCATGTCTTCTCCGCGAACAAAGCGATGCTCCGCGCGAGCTGGTAATACGTTTCCAACGGCGTGGTGGCGTTTGGGCCCCAGTCGTTCCACAGCGCGAATATGGCTCCGCGGAGGTTCGGATCGTCGGGTGTGGTGTTGTTCGTGGCATCGTCGGTGGTGAAGATGTTCGGCGCCCAGCCTGCTCCGCCTGGTGCGCCGGACCATAGCAGCGTCTCGTTGAGCGACTGGGGGAAGCCGCCTTCGGCTGGGATCTTGCCGTCCAAGTATAGAAACGCCTGCTCGGAGTTGATGACTCCATACCCGGAGCGAAGAAGCTGAAGGGGAATGTCGCCGTCTGGAAAGTCCCAGTGTTGGATAGTGATTTCCTTTGAGACGGAGGAGGTATTGCTCGGCTCGTACGTGCCCCATATGCGGACCGACTTGTTGCTCTCGGACCCAACATAATCCGACATGTCGTTTACGAACGAGATGTACTCGTCGGCAAGGCTGGCGCTATACTCATCGGCGCCGATGGAGACTTGCGAGGACGAAAACCAGGGCAGGAACTGCTGCCATATTGACTTGATGGTTGGGATAGTCTCTGGGTATGACAGGTTGAGGCTGTCTGGCGTCCCATTGAGCATCAAGGCAGGAATCCATTGCGAGAGAACGAGCGAGTGTCCCGGCGTGTCGATTTCTGGGACAATGGTGACGCCATGAGCAGCGCATGTCGACTGCATCTGCATAAAGTCGGTTTGAGACCAGCACTCGTTACGCCTGGGAACGAGGTCGTACACTGGTGAGCCATCAGGCGGCTGGAAGCGGAACCCTGAGTAGAGTGTGCGCCAGTCCAGCCCGTAGAGGATCTGAGGTATCCAAAGGTTATCGGACGCATGTATGTGGAACTCGTTTATTTTGAAGAACGACGCATAGATACACAAGTCGGCTATGACGAAGGTAAGACATGAAGGCTGAAGTTGCAAAGCATACCCACTTACAGAGAAAACTCGTCTCATACCAGTGCCTGCCGGTGTCCAACATCCACCCACGGATCTCCCATCCTGGGTTGTCCCTCCCGGAACCTGCAGGGATTGAGAAGCTGGTGCCGTTCTCGGCCGCGACAAGCTGTTGTAGCAACGTTCTGGTACCCCACCATGTACCTATGGGCGCGGCGCCCGAGATAACGTACTTCTCGCGCGAAACCTCAAAAAGATAACCTTCATCGGTGTCCTTCCCGTTGTATAGCGTAAAGTTTGGGGTCGAGTCCAGAATAAGGAAGATGGTGGGACGACTGGAGTTATCTTCAGGCTCTGATGCGACTTGTACCTGCGGCAAAAGGGTGTATCCGGTTATGTCTACCAGGTCCGAACGGAAAGTTTGGGCAAACGTGGAGAGAGATGGAGAGCCATGGTCTGCATATCGAGAATCGACGACTATTTGAGTGTATGGATCAAGACCGAACGGTTCCCGAGTTGTGTTGGTGACGAAGGAAGTAATAGAAGGGATGGTGGTGGCACTGTACGCAAACGCCGAGGGTACAAGGCTAGAGAAAGACAAGACGGCATTGCACACACCGAGGACAGACCGCACCAACATGACTGAGAAAGCGCCCTCCAATTCGTCCAGCCTTGAGAGCTGTTATGTTGGCATTGAGGAATGAGGTCCGCTCATTGTTATAAGCGTGTCGGGATGAAGCATCTTGTGAGGCACGCGTGTGCACGGGCCATGTCACATGCGACGGCATGAGAGCGACATCGATAAAGAATGCGTGATATCAACCACACGTTAATCTGGTGGCTTCAAAGACGCAATTATGGCCATATTAATGAACATTGAACAGACTAGAGGTGCACAACTGTACAGCTGCTCGAGCTTTGGCCGCCAAAACCTGAAGGGAGATGGAGGCGGATGCGAGGGGAGCTGATTTGGTGCCGTCGCGAGGCGTGGGAGCATGTCGGGGGTCGGGCCGTTCGAAGACAGGGGCTATTATAGAAAGCTTGAAGTCGATGCAAGAGTCGATGAATCGACGACCCGCACAGGGCTGCTCATTACTAGACATACAGCGACTAGAACATGATATACATATACATATACAAGCTGATTGTTACAAATTATCGTATATTGACTGATGTCTTTTGGCTGCTTGGATTTTCTTTCGCCATCCAGCCTGAGACGCAAACGTTCAAACGTCGTTGAACTTGCCATTCATCTTCTATCTCGTCTCAATGTCACATACCTTAAATTTACCTAAGCTGTCAGCTTATCTGCCAGCTTCTTGGGGAATGCGCCAGCATCCTTATGCACGTGGCCGTTCTGAAGATTCTGTGAGTTCCGCCCAGTATACATGACAGAACGGGAGAACGTACGATGAGGATCACATCAAGATTTTCGGGCTCGGACAAGAGCGAGATGTCCTCAAGAGGGTTGCCGTTAACGAGGATCAAGTCAGCGTAGTATCCAGGCTGGACTTTTCCGAGTTCGTTTGGGTGCATCATGATCTCGCCACCCAGTGCCGTTCCTGACAGGATGGCTTCCATAGGTGTGTATCCGAGGAGCTTAACGAAAAGTTCGAGGTCACGGTATGCTCTAATAGATGTGAGCTCTGAGTCCTTCACAAGGAAGATATTACTTACCCATGGGGAGTCCAAGCGAACCCGTAGTCGCCGCCAGGAAGCACCTTGATTCCGCGCTTCTTCATTTCGATGAGGGCAGCAATACAGACGTCAAGCTCGCGTTTGTACTTCTCTACGGCGGAGGGTGGGAAGCCAACTATCAACCAAAGTTAGGGATTGATAAACGAAGTTGATGTGTATGCTCACAGCGGCCTTGCTCAGCCTCGAGCATGGAGGCGTAAAGGATATTGAGGGCCGGCGCAACATAAATGCGGTTCTTCTGAGCTTCGAGGGCATCCATGGTTGCATCCGAGATGAACGAGGCATGGTAGATAATGTCAATGCCATACTGGAGACACTGGCGAACGGACTCGTCGGAGCGAGCGTGTGAGCACACGCGTATCCCTTTGGCATGAGCAGCCTATCCAAAGTGGGTGAGCGGTGGCTGACAAGATGGACAACGTCGAACCGCCACTTGCCTCCGTACCCAAAGCGACCATGTCATCCGGGAAGGTACTGTCCTCAGCGCGGAGCTCTTCCAAGATCTCATCTCCGGACATCGAGAATTTGACGGCATCGCAGCCCAGGTTAGCGAACTCGGTGACGTGCTTGACAACGTCCTCATTGTTGCGGACGTAGGTAGTGATACCCTCGCAGAGTGCTCCCTCGGGAGGGGCCATCTAGAACATCGGAGTCAGAATAATATCAAAGTCAAAGAGCACAAGAACCATACCTCCTGTCCGTTTGCGAGGTACCTTGGTCCGGGAATGTCACCCGCCTGTATCGAGTTTCGGATGACCAAGTCAAGGCGGGGCTTAGCAGAGGCGGCACCAAGGCACATGGTGTATCCGCTATCGAGGAACATCCTTGCACTGCGAGCACTCAGAAGAACGTGTTCCTCCACGGGTAGATTAGTGATATCGTCCAAGGTAGGGGAGTTGATAAACGTCGCGTGGGCGTGGGCATCGCCTATGAGATTTATGAATGGAGAGCGAAACTGTGATTTTGAGGGTACGTACACATTCCGCTCATGAGAGTGCGGCCTTTGCCCTCAAACACGATTGCGCCCTCCAAAGTCTCCTTGGAAAGCTTGGGTCCGACGCTGGTAATGCGGTTTCCTTTGACGAGCACATCGCCTTTGTAGGCATCCCGACCCGTAGAGTCGATGATATTCACGTCGACGAACGCCACTACGTTGTCCTCAGGCGTGCGGGTGTTGATATCGACATTGCGTGTGGTCAGGCGAGGGTCTGGTATCGTCTGCATGCAGTGGTGAGTAATTCTGCGTTACGGAGAGTTATTGAAGAGCTCACCAAGTCAACGCCTTTGTAAGTGGGACGACGAGGGTCCCAAGGCTGGCCCAGGCCATTAGTCGTAGGATGTTTCGGTGTTGGTCCTCCTGGCTCGGCTATCATCCTTGGAAGAATGAGTCTCGCAGGTTATTAATATACCGAAAAGACGCACATACCATCTTGGAGGGATCCAGTTACTGCTAGGAGGCGCGGCAGCAGGATCCCATCTGACAACAACGCATTAGCTACATTTCCTGCAACTAGTGTTGCCTTCGACGTACTTGTAAGAGGCGCGAACTGGCAATGGGCGCTGAAGAATGGGGGAAGCCATCGCAAGTTATGTTAACAATATCAAACAGTTGAAGAAAGAGAGGAAGGCAGCTAGATCGTACACGAGGCTCAGAAGAGTCCTATCCCTTAAGTATGGGCTCCCGACCACCGCTTGAGAACGTGTGCGTGCGTCGTCCGACGGACTAAATTTTGTATATCCAACAATGGAAGAAGAGGGAACCACTATCATCCACATGAGCTGACTGACCGAAGCAAGTTTAGAAAACACTCACTCGGATCTGCAGATCGGAATGTCTTGTCATAGCAGATGGATGACAAATGCTGGAGACGGAGGAAGATTGAGTATCATCCGCCGAGCTCCCGGAGCTATTTCGGGACTTCCAGAAGGTACGAATATCAGCTGATGGTTATACAATATATTGTCCTGGGTTGATATGTCATTATAAAGCTTGCGCCTCCGTCTTTGTATCAGTGGCGGAAGAAGCTCCAAGCCTCTATAACGTAGCGGGTTTCGCGGGAAGCGACATCCATCAAGAATTTCGGCATGCGATTCATATAACATTCATATGATACAGTTTAGAATACACGATAAGCATGGGGTCGCTGTGCTCACTCACACAGTGCTCGGATACAACATACGGGCTGGCATCCATCAGAACTCTTGCTCGTTACGCCACCAAATCCAGCCTCTGCTCCGCAATTTCTTCCTCAATCTTGAGCTTTTTAGCCTCCTCAAGCAGGTTCCGATCAGCACTGTCTTCATATGGACGGCCTCCACCACGGGCCGCTTCCTTGTGTACACGTCCGTTCTATATTCGTGCATGTCAGCTTCCTAGAGCGTAATGCGCCTTGCGTCATCGTCACCAAGACATACCATCAGTATGACATCGATGTTCTCCTGGTTTGATAATAGCGAGATGTCCTCTAGCGGGTCCCCGTTGACGAGGATGAGGTCGGCGTAATACCCTGGCTGGACCTTCCCAAGCTCGCGCGGGTGGAGCATGATCTCACCGCCGAGGGTCGTCGCTGATAGAATGGCTTCCATCGGAGTGAAGTCGAGGAGCTTCACGAATAGCTCGAGGTCGCGATATGTTCTGTCAGTATTTGTGATTTACAATTATCAGTCAGCACCACCGCGGCAGAAGTATGAACTGCCTGCTCACCCATGCGGCGTCCAAGCGAACCTTCAGGAGCGTGCTCCCCGTTAGCAAGATTATTCTGTAGTGAGCCATATATCTTACCCGTAGTCACCACCCGGAAGAATCTGTTCAAAGTACATGTCAAAAACTTGGCACCAAAGTAATGCCGGAGACCGTCGGACTTGCCTTTATGCCCCTCTTCTTCATCTCCTTCAGCCCCGCGATGGCAACCTCCAACTCGCGAGCATACCCGACGGACTCTGCCTTGGAAACAGGATCTAACATCACCAACTCCTTAGTCAGGTGTTTCGGAACTGACAGTGAGATACTTGCATCCAAAAGCAGCTGCATCATGCAAGGTTCCGTACAGCCAATTGAGCGCCGGCGCAACGAAAACCCTGTTCTTCTGCGCTTCGAGTGCGAACATCGTAGAATCGGAGATGAAGGCTAAAATAGAGGGTGAGCTCCTCGAATAACCGGATCAGAGCTGGACGGGCGTACATCCGTGATAGATGATGTCGATACCATACTGCAAGCATTGCAGAATGGACTCGTCCGAGCGAGCATGGGAGCAGACGCGAATGCCGTGCTCATGAGCCGCCTAAGGTAGCCAGTCGCCTGTCAACGAATCCCCACGGTTGCAGATGTGGATGACGAACCTCAACGGCAGCAGCAACCATGTCGTCGGGGAACGTGGTGTCTTCAGCTCGCAGGGTCTCGGTCATTTCTTCGCCGCTCATGGAGAGCTTGATCTACATCGTCTGCGTCAGGACTGGTAGATTTAGCGGAAAGATGCGCCCGACGTTGTTGATACCATCCTCCTCTACCATCTGCTTCACGGCGGCGGCGACGTCATCCGCATCCTTGACAAAGCGCGTAATACCACCAATCAATGCGCCGTCGGGTGGAGCCATCTGAAAATGTTCTTGAGCGTTCATGCTCTCGAAAACGAGTAGTGTCAATCACGCACCTCCTGCCCGTTGGCGAGATACCTAGGCCCGGGAATGTCACCAGCGTTAATCGCATTCCGCACGACAACATCAAGCCTCTGCTTCGCAGACGCCGCACCCACTACCGCACAATCATTCATCAGCCCCCCAAGTACGCGACAACTCGAAGAGCCACCCACCGCACATCGTATACCCGCAGTCCAAAAACGTCCTTGCGCTCCTCGCCGCAAAAATCGTGTGCTCCTCCACAGCCATACCCGCGAGCCCGTCGAGCGAGTCCGAGTTCGTCCAGCTAAAATGCGTGTGCGCATCGCACATGCCGCTCATGAGCGTGCGCCCGCGCCCCTCGACCACCTTGCTCGCGCGCGCGCGCGTCTCGCGGGGCAGCGTCCCGCCGACGCTGACGATGCGCTGCCCGCGCACGAGCACGTCACCCCTATAGGGCGGGGCACCCGTCGAGTCGAGGATGTTGACGTCGACGAAGGCGATGGTTGTGTCTGTGTCATCTGGGCGCTGCGGGGCAATGGAGATGTCGGGGACTTTGATGCGCAGGTCTGGTTTTGTCTGGGATCATGGGGTGAGATAGACTTGCAATGGCTTGGAGATGAAGTGTGTACTGACGAGGTTTATGCCCTTGAATGTCGGGCGACGAGGGTCCCAAGGGTCGCCTAGACCGTTGAGGCTAGGGTGCTTGGGTGTCTTCGGGTCGGCATTATGGGCTATCATCCTGTTGAGGTGCGATGAAATGCGAATTTACAGCCCATTTGACAATGAGCGTACCAGCTCGGAGGAACCCATGCGCTCGCTGGCGGAGCTACCGAGGGGTCGAAGCTGCATCACAAAGCATGTTAACCCAATGAAAACCCGACTTCATTCGAGCGAGAAAACCTACTTGAAAGAAGTATGTGGCACCGAGCGCTGTACTTCAGAAGTCATGGCTGCGCGATAACAAATTATTACACGTCAATGAGCTCGAGCACAACAAACTCACAAGCCCCAAGCTTAAATATGCAAGCTTATAACGGCTCATCCTAACAAAGAACTCGGCCGGACGCAGCTCAGCAGTGCCCGTGCCAAGCTCGGATCCTCCGCCAAACTATAACCTTGCCCATCGAAGCCAATATCCGCCACCAATCACCTGATCCGCTACGCCTGGGCGTTAGCCCCCAGCGGGCAAATCCATTATCATATCAACCTTACCTCATATACACTCTTTCCCTGTATGCACACTGCTTCGTGGCGAAATACACGGAAATGACGGATGTTTCAAGCTGGCTCAGCGCGCTCACACGCTCGAGCCAACGGGCTGGCGCGCGTCTCCAAACGCGGGGGACACTCGGGGTGCCGGCGGGCCATCGTGACTCCTGCGCATCGGCGGTGCGTGGATCATGAGAATTGCTAGCGAGGACGAGTATAGCCCGGCGCACCATGGTGCACCGCGCCCGGAGCTGGCGGGCCTGTGGCGAAGTGGCGCGTTTCCGGCTGGGATAATTAAAGCCCTGCCGAATGGAGAGTGGAAACGGGACGACTAACATGTATATCATGGATGATAGAGGCTCTGGCGTCATACCGTCGCGTTAGAGCCCGAGATAGTACATATAGCACACGGGCCGTCGGATACGTCACCTCGCTCAAAGATACAGACTTGACTTGAAATTTCCCAACCGCGTCAGCCCTCTCTTTGCGTTCACCTGTCAGTGAAAAGCCGCCAAAATGTCAACGTAAGTCCCATGTACCCAGATTCATCCTGGGCCAAGCAAGCGTACACACCTCCAACCCACCTAACCCAACACACGCACACCACAGCATCCCAGCCCCCGACAGATCCCTCGTCACCCTCTCCGACGGCAAATCCCTGCACGTCGAACTCACCGGCCCCGCCTCCTCCGACCTCACCCCCGTCGTATTCGTACACGGGCTGGGCGGAAGCTCCGCCACCTGGACACCGCTGCTCGACGTGTCCGGGCTCGCGAAGACGCGGCCCGTGCTCACGTTCGATCTCGAGGGACACGGTCTCAGCCCACTGTACACGACCAACATCTCGATCGAGAGCTACACGGAGAACGTCAAGAATGTGATGGACGGCGCGGGCGTGCAGCGCGCGGTCATTGTGGGGCATTCGATGGGCGGGGTGAGTTCCAGTCCAGTTTGGTCCGGGGGTGGGTTGGTGAGATTGGGGGCTTGCTTGCTAACGGGGCCGGTTTTTGTGTAGCTGATCGTGACGACGTTCGCGGCCAAATACCCCGAGCGCACTGAAAAACTGTGTAAGCCCCCCTCCCATACCCACCTTCCCCGCCCTAACCAACGTCCACCCTTGAAAGTCCTCATCGGCCCCGTCAAATCCTTCGCCGAAGCAGGCGTCAAAGCCCTCGGCGCACGCGCCGAAGCCGTGCGCACAGGCGGCATGTCCGCCGTCGCAGACACCGTAGCCGCTTCGGGCATCTCCCAAAAATCGCTCGCCTCGCGTCCCCTGGCTAAGGGCATGCTGCGCGCGTCGCTGCTCGCGACGCCCGCATTCGGGTATGCGCTCGCGTGCCTCGCGCTCACCAAGGCGCTGGACCCGGACTACGCGGCTATCGGCGTGCCGACGCTGATTCTGGCGGGCGACGAGGACAGGACGTGTCCCGAGGCGACGGTCAGGTTCTTGGAGGGGGCGATTGGCGGTGCGAAGGTGGTGACGCTAAGGAATGTGGGGCATTGGCATATTGTGGAGGATGTTGAGGGGACGGCGAGGGAGCTGCGTGCGTTTGTTGGTTGAGCCCTTGATAAGCTAGCGAGTGTATGCGCGATGAAAGAAAGCGATAGTCTGCGTTTGTAATGATAGCTGTATTAGTATGACAACGCGCGGTGATACATTTCTACACGTCGCTTCAGCTAGGCGGGCAAGAAATTTGTATGAGCCTCGTGTTGATGCTGTGTTCGCGCCGATGTTCGTCAGCACGTCATCTTGGCAAATTTCGTTGACGGGACTCACCAGCACACGTTCAGTTCACGCAGCCTTGACAAACTTACCAGACCGGTGCAAAAACAGATTCTCCTCTGTCTCGTCAGCATTGCCCCAAACCGCCTTGTCACTCCATCCGCCAATTTCGTCGATCCAGATATGCGTCGGACGGTCGAGGCAGCATCCGTCGAACGCCCTGACCCACAGCGGAGTCCAGAGACGTTGCCACCATTGCACGTCTTTCCTTGGACTAAGCACGTGCTCGTAAAACAAGAAGAGACCACCGGGCTTGAGTGCCTCCTGAGCGAGCACGCGGGCGGTCTTCTGTGGGTCAGGGACAGAGCAGAGCGCCATGACGGAGACAATAGTGTCGATGGAGTGCGTGCCGCCAAGTGCCTGCAAGATGGTATTGATGTCCTCTCCGCCGCATCCAAGAATGAGGAGGGATCCATTAGCCTCGGTGAAGCCTGCCTTGTCGGCGGTCTGGCGGAGCTTGGGGTGCATGAGGGCGTTGGGCTCGACTGCGACGTATTTGGTGACGCGTTTGGTGTCTAGATATGGGATAGCATGACCGTTTCCTGCAGATGACCTAGGATTGAGACATGGAGGACAGTAGCGGAAATCTGAAGCTGACCTGCACCCAAGTCCAGAACGACACCGTAAGCGTTAGGGGCAATGAGCTTGTCCTTGTCAACCCGATCGCGCTCGTCGATGGCGTCGCCAAAGGTTTCCCACGTCTTTGCCATGAAGAACTGGGAGATATTGCGAGGGCGAAAGACGCGGGAAGGGGAGGTCAAGACCCATAGCAAGGTGGGTATGAATGCGACGAGAAGTGCGCTGCCGAGGTCAAGAAAGAGGGCAAATGCAGCCAGGAGATGCATGGTGGTGGTAGTGAGCGATGAGAGCGTTAATAAGCACCAGCCTCGTTTCGCCCATCGTTGCCTTGGGATGTTGTGGCCGCGGACAAGCCTGAGATTATAGTGGCTGCAATTCCGAATAATATTGAGCAAGTGACTTGGTCTGTTTCCCACGCTCTGCCTCACCGCGTTTTGAGTCTCGTGTCGTCCCTGCGCAGTGCAGACCATCCTAGCCCCCGCCAGTCTCCTCGCAGATGCAACACTGATATCCCGTCACTGCGACCCGACGCTTCATCCAGTTCTTGCTTGCTTTCTTTGTATTCTTGAGCTCGGGGGCAAGTTCAACGGATCTTTGACCATCGCTATTTGGAAAAAGACATAGACGACGGTCACGAACAAGTCACGAACACTATACACGATCATAATCGGAATAGAGGTGAGCAAAACGCGTCCACTGTTGCACCCGCAGAGGCTCACAGCTTCGTTCATTAAATTTGCTACCCACTGGCCTGTGCACACCTGCGACATCTAAAAAGTCTGCTAACCACCACGCTTTACTTACCATGTTCCTCGCCGATTCCATCTCACGCTTCGGTCGCGAAGTTGTCGGTGCCCTCCTCGTTGCTGTCGGCCGTCTAGACAAGTCCTTCAAACCATCAGATACCATCGACCGCCTACGCCGACACAACTTCACATGGCGTGACTCCATTTACATCTTCCACGTCCTCAATGCCATCTTCTGGCTCACCGTCATGCAAGCTCCTCCATTCCCCTACAAACTCGCCATACCCATCCTCTACGCCATTGCCCTCCTTATCCCGTTCACCTCCCAGTTCTTTGTCCCAGCTACACCCATCTTCGCTTGGCTCCTCACCTTCTACTCGAACCAGTTCCTCGCCGCCGAGTACCGCCCCGAGGTGCACGTCGTCCTCCTCCCCACCCTCGAGTCCGTCCTCTACGGCGCCAACATCTCAGACATCCTCACGCGCTTCACCCACCCCGTCCTCGACGTCCTCGCCTGGATCCCCTACGGCGTCGTACACTACACCTTCCCGCTCGTCCTCTCCGCTCTCATCTGGCTCTTCAAGCCCCCGCTCGCCCTCCGCACATGGGCGACCACCTTCGGCTACATGAACCTCACCGCCGTCGTCTGCCAGATCGTCATCCCCTGCGCCGCCCCCTGGTACGAGCTCATCTACGGCCTCACCCCCGCCAAATACGGCACACCCGGCTCCGCGGGCGGCCTCGCGCGCATCGACGCGCTTTTTGGCTCGGACGGGTACGCGAAGACGTTCGGCGCGTCTCCGCTCGTGTTTGGCGCGTTCCCGAGTCTGCACGCGGGCTGGGCGACGCTCGAGGCGCTGTTCCTTTCGCATTTTTGGCCGCGCACGGCGCGCTATGCGTGGGCGTACGCGGGCGTGCTGTATTGGGCGACGATGTACCTCTCGCACCACTATCTCATCGATGTCGTCGGTGGCGGCTGCCTCGCCATGTCGTTCTTCTACCTCCTCGTCCCCGAGGAGCTCCGTGCAGACGCGAGCGGTGTTGTCGGTGCGGCGCAGGGCGCCAAGTACGAGCAGTACGATTTGGAGAACAGGCGCACGCGGAGGATGAGCGAGGACGATGAGTTTGGGAGCGGGAGCGATGTCGCGGACTGGGGCGAGGAGCGCGAGGAGGATATCATGTTCCGCTCGCCGAATCCTAGGGGCGCAGCTGGTGGCTCTCAGAGTCAGGGCGAAGGCAGCGGGAAAGCTGCCAATGGATCCGCCGATCCGCAGAAGGGCACTTCAAGCGGTGACGGCAAGAGCCACAAGCACACGGCGAGCATTGCGAGCCTCATTCGCGCAGACAAGGGCTCCGCGGAGGAGACGTGGAGCCCGATTGGGAGCTCTGGGTTCGTGTTCCCGCCGGCGTCGTCGGGTGAGGGTAGGCGGTAGAGGTGGTCGGCTCGGAGGGAACAGCTTTTCTCATTTACGCGTATTACACTCATCTGTTAATGATACAATTCATCATACCCCCTTTTTCTCGTGATGTAACGCTTGAGGCAGTATACGGATAGATGGCATTCATATACTAAGCACGTTAGGTATTTAACGTGCACGCTGTAAGAACTGGACTATGGGTGACATCTGTCGCGCACCTTGTTGGAGGTTCCGCGACAGGGTGCACGCGGGAAGCGAGAATGAAGCGCATCATCCCCCGCATCAGATAGTCAAAGGAAACTCGACGGTGATCCCATTTCAGGTCCTCTTGACTTCGTTGCAAGATACTGAACGGCTCCGTCAAGTGTTATATGAAGGGTGAAACAACGACAGCTTCAGTTCTTGAACTCAAGTTATGATTGTGAATCTCTCTTGCTGTTTTTTTTCTTTGGATAGGGTGCGAGCATTGCTTCGTTCTCGCTCCGAACGTCGTAGGCTATCCAGTACGAACGTCAATCAACTGACTTGTCGAGTGTATGAATTTAGTTTATCCGTGAACAACGTTCTATGCCCGGATCTCAATGGTTATTTCTCCATCCGTTTTGGGTAGAATAAATGAAGTTATTCACCGGCACCCGTAATCGCATCGGTTGGGCAAGATGGCCTCAATATCGCCTCCGAAACGGTAGCGTTGAATGTCATAATGTGTGAGCAATCACCATGATCTTACAGGCGCCTATATTGAGTGTAGAATGACCATCTCATGCGTTGCGATTCGTTATTTCCCGAAGTCTCGGACATCTTGAACGATAGGGCCATGGTATTATGGTGGCATAACGTGTAAGGGCTTGAATTATCGTTAGTGGCTCAGAAATAAGCTTACATTCATTGTGCATCAGGAAGATAGGATCAATGCAATACAGTAGAGCTGGTCTGTTGGGGAGCTCCGCTGTCGTATCGAACGTTGTCCATATCTGAATAACGTTCGAAGAAAGTGTTTCCGGTGCTCCTGCACGTTACAGCAGTCCGAACATGCCAACAAGATTCTGCCAAATATCCAAGCACAGCAAAACTGCACTCTACTTAAATCCAGGTGCCCTACACGTCTCGCTACCTATCGACCCACTTAAAGCGATGGAAAGCCCAATAGACTTCACGCTGATTTTAGAACCCTTATGGTCGACTTGGCCGGCAGTCGCACTTTACGGTACGCCATTAAAAGTATATCAGGTTATACAAAAAGAAAATCTGACCATGAAGCTTGTTGCAGGAATCGCCGGTGTGTTATTATCGCTAAACATTTATATCGTCGCCAGTCGACGCAGGCATGAAGGTGGCTCTACAAATAGCCACAGAATTATTTTGTTCAGCTGCGTCCTCATGTTTATTGTGGCAACGCTAGTGAGTACCCGAAGGCTTGATATCACATGTTACAGCTGATTGGCATGCGTCAATGTCTTGTTTCAGCATATGATCGCGACCATGTCCGCCTCATACTACGCTGCGTCATTGTACGCGTACGTTTATATTTATTCTTACTTCGAAATCTCGCCCGGAGACCCAATTTCTGTTCCCGTCCCACCTTTTCTTGCCGTGATCATAATGAAAAATGAGCTCTGGGCGCAAATAAAGTCGGCTACGCTGGTATCTCAGCTGTGGATTGGCGATGGCGTGATGGTATGTCCCAAAAATATATGTTTGAGAACCAAAAGGCTAACGCATTATATACTGAATATGAGCTATGGAGGCTTTGGAAGGTTTGGAACAACGACAAACGTGTCTGTGTACCTATTTCCGTCGGCTTTCTTGCAAGTATTGGTAAGTCGCATGATTGTACTAAGTTATACATCTCAGTAGCGGTGGACCTACATTCTAGCTTCGGGGATCATTATAGTCTACACAGAGGCCATGAGCGCCCTTGTGCTGGAAGGAAAGATCGGCTGGAATCCGTATCAACTCCAAAGTTGGTACGCAAACTTGGCTATTTTATCGGTAAGCTTTCTAGTTCATCTGAGCTGTACAGGTGTGTTTCTTTGCCCCAGGCATTCTGTTTATCCGGCTCACACGTTACACACGCAAGTGATGATCTCCTTCAGAGTGTTTTATATATGCCGACAAGTAAACAGCTTAGTGTGTGTTGAGCATCGCACCCGGTATCCCATGGTAGCCGCAGTGACACTGCTGGAGTCTGCGGCCATATATTCAGCATCAATACTCTGTTTTCTGGTGATGTATGAAAGATCGATATTCACCGATTTCACATATTATGGTATAGTTAGCCATGCTGTAAGTAATTGTTAACAATGCTTGTCACCGGAGACACTTTGACTAACATTGAACGTATCATAGATTGTTCCGTTGATTGTAGGATTTTGTTTCGCCCTTCCCGTTCACCAACTGACGGATGGCATTTAGGCAATCACTTTCTCCATCATCGGCATTAGAATGGGTCTCGGAACATCAGTAGAGAAGTATTTACAAGATAACAAGACAATGGGCACTCTCGGTCCTGCGAAAGCGCGTGGAGAAACGGCAAACTCTGCAATGGTTTTTGCGCAGCGACCGGTGACAGTGTCTGACGGGCTGGAAACAGTATCGGAACCATCCGACGTTTGATACGACCCGGTCCAAGTGCGTAGCGCTTGAAACAACTCAATTAGTGCAAAGCTGACAGTACACTTCACAGTTCGTCATGATAGCTATATGACGTCTTCAGTTTCAATAAGTCTATCAGGAGATAAAGGAAGGAAGGAAGGCTGTTTTGCAGTCCGAGTCATCTCGTAGCTATGACTTGGAAAGAACGAATGTTTAGTTGTATATTTATATGACTGCGCTGGTTTCGCCCAGGAGTAAGAGCGGGCCGCAGTGTTTCTTGGTTTCAAATTATAGATTATGCCATAAACTTATAGTGTGATTGCTAAGGGACCAATCTGCCATTTGAGCCGGAGCAATGCAAAAGCGTTGTTTGTGTATTTTACTTACCAAGCTGAAGTTCGTTGGGACATCTTCCCATTCATCGTCCGAAGTATTGCCATGTGCACTAGAACTGCACCCGGTACTAGCGACAAACATCGCGGCAAAAATGTCTTTCTAGAACTCTTAAAAGCAGGTGACGCGTCCCTCTCTACGTCCCCATCATAGTACTTAGTACTCTCAGCCTAAGTACTGACGCGTACACTCAGATGACGCGTCCACCTTTCTTGCCCATCACATAAATATGTCGCTACCCTATCACTGAAAAGCCAGCCTGACTCACTTCGGATTCCCTTTGACTCCTGTCATACTCGCCACATTCCTCCCCACTGACATTCCGCCGGTAAAGTTATGAACGCCTTTGTCGACCGCTTCGCGAACTCCTCTTCCGTCCCTGGCGTCCAAATGCGCTCGCGCGACGCCGTCCCTGCCGACAGCGACGACCTGGACAACGGGCTCGTCCTCTCCGCATGGGGCTCCGAGGCGGGCTTTGGCAACATCGCGCAGGGCGCGCCAACGTTCAGTATGCCGCTGGTAATCGACGTGAGCAGTATCCTATGTTTTTTCGTCGTCTCCGTTATAACCTTTTCCTTTCGCTGACGGGTGGAATCTGCCGCCTAGCCTGCAGCATTTCTACGGCTGCACACGGACGACCACGCCGACCCGAGCTGCCGCATCAAGCTCGCGCACGGGACGACGACGATCGCGTTTAAATACCAGGGCGGGGTCATTGTTGCTGCCGATGCGAGGGCGACTATGGGGAGCTACATTGGTGTGTGATTCGTTAGCATTTTACTCATTCGTATGGTTCGCTGGCTTATGGACTTGTCAAGGATCCGGAACGGTTAAGAAGATTATTGAAATCAACCCGTACCTCCTGGGCACGATGGCTGGTGGAGGAGGTTAGCTCCTCGACTTCTACTTAAACATATTCTTGCGCTGAGTTTGTGGCGCGACACGGCCACGTAAATACCAGGCGACTGCTCCTACTGGGAGACATACCTTGGTATGCACTGCAGACTGCACGAACTGCGTAACCACGAGCGCATCTCCGTCGCTGCTGCGAGCAAGTACCTGAGCAACCTGCTATACAGCTACAAGGGCACGGGTTTGAGTGTCGTATGTCTTCCTCTACTACTCTACTCCTATCCCACATATATTTAAACTTATGTACAGGGTACCATGATATCCGGCTAGGACAAGACAGTAAGCAACTCACTCACACCCATTATTATTTCTCTCCTGTACTTCAGAACACGCCTCTCATTTTTGCGTCCCAGGGACCAGCGGTATACTACGTCGACGCCGACGGCACACGCATGAAAGGCGACCTCTTCTCCGTCGGCTCGGGCAGCACGTTCGCGTACGGCGTGCTCGACCAGGGCTACCGCTCCGACCTCTCCGACGCGGAAGCATACGAGCTCGCGCGGCGGAGCATCCACGCAGCGGGCCACCGCGACGCGTTCTCCGGTAACCAGTGTAACGTGTATCATGTGAAGCAGGACGGGTGGACGTTTATTGGTGAGTTTGATATAGCTTATATCGCGGTTCGTAGGGGCGCGTTGGTTGACTTGAGTTGCGCGATTTTTACAGGGAACTATGATCTTTCGGAGCTGCACTACGAGGGGGTGGGGAACAGTGGAGGATACGGGTACGAGATGCGGACGGCGGGCCAGTCCTCGTCTGAGTAAATTCTAGTAGTAGGCGCTGTGTCGAACACGGCTGAAGACCGAACCGAATTCATGTACCACCAGCCACCGGAAGCGTTAAACAGCAGAATGAGACTGAAGTGTGTAGGAACAGTGAGCAGTAGCAAATGTTGCACTATGTCAGTTTGTGTGGTTCCAAAAAGATCATGACTGTCCGACGTCGTACGTTGAGCTATATTCGTCCATTGTGCTCATTTTTAGCTGCTAGTCCACTTTTAGCTTATGTTTCAAAGAAAGTAACAAACAATACAACCGAGCAGCGCGATGGTCCCCTTCGGCGGCCCCTGCAATAAGTAGTGCACATTGCACAAGCCCCTGTAGATAACCAAGCTCGCACGGTGACCGGTCTTTGTGCGGTGCACACTGTATTTTCCCCTCCAACAATGCGCTCATGCTCGCTACAAAAATAACCAATGACGCGCAGCGATCAAGCTCACATTCAAAAATAGTCTCTCCCCGCATGCCTGCTCTCCTGCTGCCGGCGCCATTGCGCTGCTTCCATGCTCTGCGCGCTCGCACGTTGGGACACACCAGCCAACCGTATTCGTGTTTCACGGCGCGCTGCTGCGCAGCCGAGTGGGGTCCCTCGTGGTGCCGAGGTACAATCTGGTCCAAGGTATCGCCTGATGGACTGTTCTCTTGTTCGTCGCTTGATCGTTGGATGGCCCGGGAGCGGACAGCGCCGGGCGAGACGACGTTGTTCTCTGTTCTCGCCTGTGCACGGTACCTGGGTATTTTTGAGGACCCACGCTTGGACGTTTCTCTTTCTCTCTGGGACGTAGTGAGCCGTGAGGAGGGTATATATAGTTGCCTCTGAGGGCTCCCAGCCCCAGACCTGCTTGCGCTGCTCTTGCTCCTGCTGTTCCAAAGTTACACCAGACCTCATCGTCATCGTCGTCGTCATGCTCAAGCTGACCTCTGTCGCGCTGCTCTCCCTCCTCGCGCCCGGCGGCGGCGCGCTCGCGTCCACCCTGACCGGGCTGATCAGCTCGGGATGCGCCACGGACGGCCCTGTGTCCTGCCAGAACACGACCGCCGTCAGCAACACGTGCTGCTTCGAGTACCCCGGTGTGCGTTCTCCCCCACATTACGCACCTCAGACCGTGTCGTACTGACGAGCTGTCTTTGCGTGGACACAGGGCCAGATCCTGCAGACGCAGTTCTGGGACACGGACGTGGCGGGGAGCCCCGCGGACTCGTGGACGATCCACGGGCTGTGGCCGGATAACTGCGATGGGACGTACGAGGAGGACTGTGATCCGTCGAGGGACTATACGAATATCACTGATGTAGGCTTCTCTCGTGTACGGAGGGAGGGGCGGCGACTTACGATGCTGTGTGTGTGTGATGCAGCTCCTGACGTCCCAGGGCGCGACTAGCACGCTCGATTATATGGAAGACGTGCGTCCCGTCCCTCATTTCCATCCCATTCCCAACTCACATCACCGCCTCTCCCTCCCACTCCCACTTACAACGAACAGTACTGGCTCAACGACGACGGCACCGCGCAAGAGCTCTGGGCACACGAGTGGGCGACGCACGGGACGTGCTACAGCACGCTGGAGCCGTCGTGCCTCCCGAGCGGGTCGCCCGCGGGCGCGGAGGCCGTCGCGTTCTTCGAGACGGTCGTGCGCGTGTTCAAGACGCTCCCGACGTACACGTGGCTCGCGGACGCGGGGATCACGCCCGACGACGGGGCGACGTATGAGCTGAGCGATGTGCTTGGGGCGTTGGAGAGCGGGTCTGGCGGGGTGCGTGTCTCGCCTCGTTTTTGGTTTTGGTTTTGGTTTTGGTTGGGTGGAGGCGCGATGAGCTGACGCGGTTTCGTTCGTGGTGGTGCAGTATACGCCGGCGGTAAGCTGCGACGACGACGCGCTGAGCGCGATCAGCTGGTACTTTAACCTCCAGGGCTCGGTCATCGACGGGACCTTTATCCAGATCGACGCGACGGATGACTCGAGCTGCCCGTCGAGCGGGATCAAGTACCCGCCCAAGGAATCCAGCGACTCGGATGGGTCCTCTCGCCGTCGCCGCGGCGCACACCGCCGCTCGAGCCACCGCGGACGGGGCATGAAGGCGCGCAGTGAGCTGTAAAAAGATGGATATAGGGTAGCATAGAGCCGTTCACTGGATGTGCTGTATAGTAGTAAACGTTGAGGTGAAAACAGGTGGATGGAATAGACAAGGTCGAAGAGCTTGCACGCCTATCCCGGAGCGCTTGAGCGCCTTTGGGGAAGAGAAGCCACTCTCGACGCAAGCCAGTCTCCCCGATTGAAGGAAGATAGCCGTTCGTGGATGTAAGAGCGAACTAGTCCTCAAAGGGTTTGCGGGGATCAATGATTGGCGGACGGTCCGCCGAGCGCCTGTGTGGACAGGCGAGGATCACACGGCATGCGCAGACCGTGCGGCAGTGTCCTCTTGAATCCTGAACCGCCCACGGCAGGCTATGATTCGGAGAGATCAGACACACTGATGCTTTTCTGCCGGGGGGCACTGCGGATGCGTTTTGGGGTACCATTTACGCGCGCGTTGTGCGCGTCGTTGTGCACAAGGGGTGGACCCAGGTTGTCCAATGGGGGAGATGACGTCCGGATTATCTAAAAGAAGTCGAGCGTCGCGGTGGGCGTCTCCACAACGACTGGGCAAATTTAGTCCGTCGGTCTTGAATGAGAGGAAAGAAAAGGGTAGCAAAGGGCCAAGTTGAGAGAGTTAGGTCAGATGTATTGTGTAGTGGACGCCGTACGGACCGAGAAGGATGATGATCTCGACGGCGGTGCGGGCAGTGGCAGTAGAGGCTCATTCAAACAGGGGCAAATAGCACACATGGACAGCGCCAAGCGAACGAGCGTGGTGCAGGGCAAAACAATCAGAGTTCCAAGACGAGGGGCTGTGTCCACTCCTGCGTTGCCACCCAGAACAAAACGCTCCACTCCGAGCATACAACCCTCAGATCGACATTTATCACCCTCACTCTCTCTCGCTGCACCCACCCCGATGAGCACATACTCAGCTTACCGTCCCCCACCCACGGGCGCACGCTGGGATCCACCACCAGAAGGACGACAGCGCATCGGCGGTGCACACGCTCAAGATCCCTCCGCCGCGACCTACAACCCCTACAACAACCCGCCACCACCCGCACCCAACACACAGTACTACGGCGCACAGAACTCCTCCTACGATCCCTCCAACTACGGTCCGAGTCCCCAGGGTTCCCTCGCCATGGGCAGCGGCCTTGGTTCTCGCGGGCGCACACCAAGCCCAACGCCGAGCGAGCACGCATCGCTCCAGCAGAAGAGCGCCTTTCCGATCATGGACAGGGTCAAGAAGATCAAAGCCGAGCCGCGCATCCTCCTCAAGCCGCGCTCTATCAGTGCGTCTCCCTTACCCCCGCCACATCATACCTGTATGCGCATCCTTGGCTGATTGCGACGCGCGCCATCGCCCCTTGAACAGTGTGGATATGCATCATTCTCGTGCTCATCGTCCTCGGCGCGCTCTTCTACTTCTACCACACCCAGATCGTGCACGCCCTCCAGACGCCCGCCAATAAACTCAAAAAGTGCGCCCTCTTCCTCTTTCCTGCGTACTGCCGTGCTGCCGTGTAACGTGCTCGCGTGCGTGCGTGCGTGTACATGCGATACTCACGCTTCCCGTCCCGCCCTCTAGTTTGCCCGGCGGATGGGCCATCATCATCGCCATCTTCTTCGTCATCTCGTTCCCCCCTGTGCGTACCTCACACCCACCCCTGTTCCATCGCCTAAACGCTGATTTGGGTTTGGTAGCTCTTCGGCCACGAAATATTAGCCATCGTGTGCGGTCTCGTCTACGGCGTCTGGGTCGGCTTCGCGATTGTATCTGCCGGGACGCTCATTGGAGAACTGGGCAACTTCTAGTGCGTTTTCCGTGTTCTTGCAGCGCTACCTCTCCCCCTCTGCTGTGCTACACATCTCTTTCCCTTCTTGTTCATCGAGTATGCACAACACGCTGACACCACTCATGCGATACTCGCGCGTTGTCGTCGTCTGAAGTGCGTTCAGGTACATGTGCCACGCTCGCGGCGAGAAGTGGGAGCGCGAGCGGATCGACTACGGCTGCATCGCGGGCCTCGTGCGCGAGGGTGGGTTCAAGATTGCGCTTATTGCGCGGTATAGTGCTATTCCGGGACACTGTGCGTAGCTTTCTTGGCATATTATCTATCTTCTCATCTCGATTCGCCGTCTGTCGTTTGTGGGGTATGATGGACAGTCACGACCGCGGTGTTCTCCACCGTCGGCATGTCCGTATGGATCTTCCTCATGGCCGCCATCTTGTCGCTCCCGAAGCAGTTCGTCACTGTGCTCATCGGGACGCTCATGGAAGCTAGTACGTCCCCCCTCTGTGCCCTATCGAGAGAGAAGCAAGGGCGCTTATGTCACACCGACGTGCCTATCCAGACAACCCGAGCACGCGCGACCGTATCGCGAGCGACGTCGTGGGCGTGGTCACCGCGCTGGTTACTGTTGCTGCGATGTGGTACATCAACAAGGAGATTAACAGGGTCAAGCCGGCTGTTATATATGCGAGGCGGAAACGCCGGTGCGTGTTCCCTCTCGTCCTCTCCGCGCCCATCTCCCCGCATCGCATCCTCATTCTCGTGCGCGTGCTCACCCCCCCCCCCCTACCAGCCAAGCTAAACTCGAAGCCTCGGGATCATCATCTCTGGGCCTGAGCGGCAGCACCCTATACCAGTCCGGCGGGCTCCAATCGACGACCGACTTTACGGGGTTCAGCGCCGGGTCCGGGCCCGGGCATGCGGAGCAGAGGGAGCAGATTGTGCCGCTCACGAGCTCGTTCGATGCGCCGCCCGGCGGCGGGTTCGGGCACCAGCAGTGGGACGCGCAGGGCCGGGCGGTGGGGTATGCGGGCGATCCGCGGTTTGATCCCCCGGGTGCTGCAGCGGCGTCAACGGTGCACGCGCCGCAGCCGCAGCGCGCTGCTGTCGGGCCGCCGTCGTTCCCTGCGCCGTCGAATAGTCTGAGTGTGCACGCGACGGGAAGACTCGGTGGGCAGGGCCAGGAGAGGCAGCTGAGCGCGGAGACGGTGCGCTGGGAGAACGCGGTGCAGCCCGAGGCGAAGGGGAACTATAGGTTGAACTCGATGTCGCCCGTGTCGGTGCTTGACAATCCGTTTGGGGACGACGGGGAGCCGTCGGCGTTGCCGTATGCGGCGCCTTCTGGGCCGCCGCTGCCGCCGCCTCCGCAGAGGTTCGCGTCGCCGCCGCCGTTGTCGCCGTCGCCAAGGACTGGGAATACGCCGAAGCCGTATGCGGCTGCTGCTGCTGTGGTGCCGGGGTCGCCGAGAGGGAAGGGAGGGGCGAGTGCGGGGGGAGGGGGAGGGTATGGGTTCGCAGCGCCGCAGCATAGCTTTGGGAGCGGGCCTGGTACGGCTGCGTCGCCGAAACCGCAGAAGCAGGCGTTTTCGCCGCCGCCCGGGCCGCCGCCTGGGTATCAGGAGGACGGTGGGATTCGGTAGGGAGCGGTGTAGGGAACGTCGAAGTCTGACCCTGTGGGCGTGTCGCTGCCCATCCCCCGTCATTGTGCGGCGGGAGATTGTTGCGATGGTGTCGGTTTGTGTTTTATTATCGATTGAGTTTCGAGGTTCTTACCCTAGTTATATCTTGCAATTGTAAGGAGGAGTATTGTGTATGTGCGTTATACTATACTAGTAGCTATAGTGGTGTGGAATGGACGGTTTTATTTCTTTTCCTCTTGATTGGCGCACAGCAATTATATTGGATTTTTTGCGCTCTACTATGATCTAACCGGTGTCGCACAGGATGTAATACTTGGGTGGTGTGGATTTGTTTAAGCACTACTTGAGATGGGTGAAGCTGTGTTTATCGATGAAATGTGCAAAGCATGAGGCAAGGTTTGGCAGGTCGGTGTCTCTAGGTGGGGAGTGCAGCCCGTTCAACGCCAAGACGGCTCTAAGATGGCTGTTTCCCCAGGACAGCGAGGAGGTGTTGTGGTACGACTTTGAGAGGTATGACGTCAGTGAAACATACCGGAGCGGTGGGATGCCTCTCGGAACAGGTTCTCACCGTGATCTTGCGGACGTCGGCCCTCTTGTCCCCACAGGCACCCCACGGGCGCTACACTCGTTCTCTCCCTGGGCCACTGCCTCGTGGGTCGAAACCTTGCTTGATTAATGCCCTTATATTCTCCGCAGGATGCTGTGGATCTATGTGACTGGCTTTTGCTCCAAGGAACGAACGATCCTTTGATTGTCTCTGTTCCGTTCGCTCCCCGTTGACCGACTCGGACGTGGAGATCCAAGTGTGCCTGGACACCGGACAGACAGCGTCGACGACGATCCAGCGACTCTCAGATCGACTTTCGACTCGGACTCGGACTCGAGCTGTACCCGTTCTGTCTCTGTTCTTTCCCAGAGGATTGTTGGACGCTAGGACGGCCGCCAAGCTGTGGTAGTACTAAGAGGGCAGGGTAGAGAATGGTTCTGCACGCGTCGTCGCAGTTCTCCTCGTCGGTGAGTGGGCGTTGCTGTATCGCTCGTCGCTCGTACCCACACTGATCGCTTTGTGCTTGTTATCATCTCTCCTTCATCCTGTGCAGAGCGACTTCCCGGAGATCTCGCCCTACATCCCCCCATTCTTTTGGAGACTTTGGCTCTCTGACGCGTGCGTCTCTCCTCTGCCTCCCCGCTCCATCATCGTATCCGACCACTAACGCGGACCCCAACGCCCACAGCGACCCATTCAAACACTCCCTCGACCACTACCGCGTACACATCTACGACGTCTTCCAGAACCTCCTCTCCGAGACACGTCGCGCGCCAGAATGCACCCGCACCGTGTTCGCCGCGTTCGACACCGGCACGCTCGACGACGGGTGCAAGGCGGCGCTCAAGACGGCGGAAGAGGCATTCTACAGGCTCGAGAACGCCGCCGAGCGCATCATCGAGGACATCGTCGCGGGTGTGCGCTCGAGCCGCGCGCGCGCGCCGCCTGCTGCCGGCCCCCCGCCCGTCCCCTGCGGAGCCAGCGCACTACATTCAAACGGGACAGGCGCAAACGGGACAGGCGCGAACGCGACCGTGGGCCCGTCGGGCGTCGTCGGCGAGCCCCCGGTGATGGTCAACTGGCGCACGGAGCTGCCGCTGCACCGGCGCGAACGCGACGTGCTCGTGCGCTACCTCGTCTTTCTGCGCTACCGCAACGGCGAGCAGTTCGCGGACACGATTAGGGGGCTCTCGATCAAGGTCCTCACGGACACGGGGACGGTCGTGAGCGCCAAGGTCGTGTGGCACCGCGTGCGGAGGCGCGCGCTGTTGTCGATGTATCATGCGTTTTTGTGCGTCGAGTATATCTCGGGCCCTGGGCCGACGGCGGGCGGGGATGGTGTGGGGCAGCATAAGCACAATCGGGTGTTGGAGCACTCGGATCGGTTCGATTGTTGGCGGTTTACGAGGGCGGAGGTGTGTGTGGGTGTTGCGGGGCAAGAGCAGCAGTATTTGCTGCCTGATACGTGTTTTGGGATTCTTTCGGAGGACTTTTCTACAGACCCGTGCGTTTTGTCCTCGGCTTTGTGATCTCAATCCACTGACCGTTGCTCGATGGTTTTCTCTAAAGTGACAACGGCGACTTCTTCTTCCCCATCACCCCCACGATCTGCGTATACCTCATCGCAAGCAGCGACGACGAACCCATGCTCTCATACACCGCCACATTATCACCCTCAAATCCAATGGCCATGGACATCGACGAGCCCTTCTCCTTCCCCTCCACAACAAACCCGCACGCCAACGCCACCCCCGGCCCGGGCCTTAACACGCTCTGGATCGAATGCGGCACCGACTCCGCCTCAGACGTACACCTGCGCAACGCCGCGACCCTCCAATCCCACCCACACCACCTCTACTTCTCCTCGCTCGCATCCATCGTGCGCGCCATCAGCGCCTACGACGAGGTGCGCGCCGCGCGCTCCGCCGCGCACGTCGACTACTCGCGGCTAAGGCAGCGCTGCCGGCAGAAGGCGACGGTCGAGGGCGTGACGAAGACGCTCGTCGTCAAGGGGAGCGTGCTGCTCGTGGATCTGACGGAGGAGGTGGTGAGGGTGGGCAACATGCCGCTCGCGAGCGGCGCGTTTTCGGATGTGTGGAAGGGCGTGTGGCGGGATGGGAGGGAGGGGCGGGAGAGGGCGGTGGCGATTAAGTATTTGAGGCAGTTTATGGTGGATGGGGGGGTGAAGGAGAAGCTGCTCAAGGTATGCGGTTGTTCGGTTTTGTGGTGTGTTTAGCAGTGAGCGCTGATGTGCACGCCCGGTGCAGAGGCTGAAGAGCGAGGTGGCGGCGTGGCACCGGCTGCAGCATCCGAATATCGCGCAGCTGTTCGGCGTTATCCAGTCGATGTCGACGATCGCGATGGTCTCGCCGTGGTGCAACAACGGCACGATCATGCACTACCTCGAGAAGGTCGACCCTTCCGCTGATCGGGTGGATCTGGTGAGCACTGCACTATAGTCTTGGTGTCAAGCTCTGCGGTGTGACCTGGCTGACTCTTTCTCTGTTTTTCGGGGAACAGCTGGTCCAGATAGCGTCGGGCATCAGCTACCTCCACAACTACAAGCCCGTCGTCATCCACGGGGACCTGAAAGGGGTGAGCCTTATCCGTGTTGAATAGCTAAAATGCCATGCTGATTGGCCACTGCGACATCGTCACAGAACAACGTGCTGATCGACGACCACGGCCGTCCGCTCGTGACGGACTTTGGCCTCTCGAGCGTGCTCGAGGACTTCAACGAGACGCTCCCAGCCCGCGTCGGCACATCGTGCTTCGCAGGCTCCACGCGCTGGATGTACGTCCCTCCACCTCACATCATGTGTGAGGATATAGGCAATGACAAGGATACATCACTAACCGGTTTTAACTCCCAGGGCCCCAGAGCTCTTACAAGCCCTCGTCGAGGAAGACTGGCACACCCCGCCGCGCATCACACCCTCCTCAGACGTGTACGCGTACGCGTCGCTCGCGCTCGAGGTCGCCACGGGCCAGGTGCCGTACCCGCACCGCCGCACGGACCACGCGATCATCGTCGACGTCGTCATGCGCGGCGTGCGCCCCGCCCGCCCGGCGCCCGGTGCCGCCGCCGAGTGTTTTCTGCGTCTGCCTGGGGACGGGGCTGCTTTTTGGGATGTGGTGGAGAGGTGCTGGGGCGATGCGGAGGTGAGGCCCGGGATGGGGGAGGTGTGTGAGACGTTGAGAAGGATTGCGGGGGCGTGATTGTTGTGGCTGGTCAGTTCTTATTTCATTTTTTGCAGTCAGATTTTTTCTTTTTCTTCTTTTCGTCACGACCTTTCATGCGGCATCTCACTGGATCTATAGCATATCACGGACACATGCATGATATCATGTACTAATACACAGACATTTTGAGGCATCGTCTCTTCTCTCCCGGCATGTTGTACACTGCCTATACCCTGTACCTATTTACACAAGCACATCCACTCCCGCCACGTTATGCACCTCCTTCTCCCGCTCCGTCGCATAAAACCCACCAAAATCAAACTGCTCCCTCTCCTCGCCCTCGCGCATCCACTGCAGCCTGTCCGCCGTGAGCCTCGCCACACGCAGAAACAGACTCCCATCAAGCTCCTCCGCGCCCGCGAGCTCCGTCTCCCCCCAGTGCCCGCGCTCGCGCGTGCCGTACGCGCTCCCAAAGTGCGCCAGCGCGCGCTGGATCTTGCACAGGTGGTCGTTGGGGTGCACGAGCGTCGTCTGCACGATGGGCAGCCACGCGTTGGGCGTGTGCGCGAGCGCGTCGGACGGGCTCGGCAGTGTCTCTTTGGACGGGGAGGGCGCGGGGCCGCGCAGGGTTGGGTGCGTGAGGAGCGCGGAGGTGCCGCGCAGGAAGGGGGCGATGTGGAGTGCGGGGCGCCCGCGGATGACGTACCATGCGAGGGCGACGGCGAAGTAGGCGCGCAGGAGGAGAGATTGGGAGGAGGGGGTGAGGTAGGCGAGCAGGGAGGGGGTGAATAGCACGGAGGTGACTAGGTGCATGCTGTGTGTCCCGTCGTGAGTACGGTAGCGCTCCATAGATGAAAAGCTTGCGGAAGGAAAACGCACTAGAAGAAATCGGCATTATACCGCCCGTCTTCCTTCCACCCAGCAATGCCATAGATGATCACGTTCAACCACGATAGCTCTTCGACATGACTCGCGACAAGCGCCGGGCTGCTCGTATTAGGCTGCCAGAGCGCGGCGTACTCGCGGATTGCGGGGCCGTATTTGCCGATGAGGTCCTCGTACAACGTGAACGGGTTCGGCGCGGGCACGTTATCGAACCTTTTATCGGTTTGGACGCGGGCGAGGATCGTGAATGGATGCACGGAGACTTTGCTCGCGGAGAGCGAGGCGAGGTCGGGCAGCGATGGAGAGAGGAAGTCGTCGAGCGAAAGGTTGGTGAGCGAGCTGACGGTGTTGGAGATGGTTTCGCCAATGGAAGGTTCACTGAAGAAGGCGGGCGGAAGGAGGTCGCTAGAGAGAGCGGGGTGAATAGCCGTCATAGCGAGGCCTGGAGAAGCGGAGGTTTTGAGTACGGCGTAGAGTGTCTTACTAACATATACTCACCCTCGGCTGCCTGACCCAAGAGCCCAAACTCGGCCCCGTAGCCGACGTGGATGTAGGGATGGAATAAGCCTTGCCGTTGCACACGTCGGCAACGCATTGAGATGGAAGGTATTTCAGCTCACCATCAACGATGCGATTCAGCATCTCTGGATGTTTCTTTCCCTGCGCGACCAGCTCATCATTGTAGTTGGCCTTTTTCGAAAAGACATATTCCTCGAACGTCTTTGAGAAACCCTTCTTCTGCAACTCTTCTCGGAAGAACGCTAGATATGCCTGATAGTACCTTGGAAAATGCATGTCAGCATCAACGGAACTCTAGCGAAGGAAGCGCCTCACTTTTGATTTCCGAGATGATCCCAGAAGTTGTTATGGTCGATGGGACCTGGAGAGTCGAACGCCGGGGTCTGGAATTCGCAGTGAGTCTGATAGGCAGCCTCGATGACGGGCCCCTGAGCGCCCATCGCCCAGATGGCGAGCAGATGGTGGGATGCATGACTGTGCGTGGATGAGAGATTGAGCTCTATTTGTTATGCCATAAATCAGGTGAGGGAACGTACTCGTGGAACTCCTTCTCCATGTCAAAAAAGATATGCCATCGCTTGTGGTTGTCTTCGAGCGTCTTGAGGAGAGACCGCGTTGTGTCTGGCGTAATTCCTGGCCATCTCTGAGGTGACAGGGACGAGGGTGGACCTGAAGGAGGCGGGAAGAGTGGCTGCGCTGCTTTGAAGGACATGTTACGGTAGTCTGGAGAGCTGGGTCAATCTGGCGTGACAGCGAGTTGGACGAGGAGAACAAGGTTCTTGTTCTGCTCCGGGCGAGCTTCGATGTCCTCCAAATAAGCGCAACGTCATTGGCATTCCTCGGTTTTGCTTCCGCATGTGGACGATGAAGTCGAAAGTGATGTCACGAGACAGAGTTCTGGATTCGGCAAATTCCGGCGTTCCTTCAACTTCAACCACTCGAGGTTGTATCAAGGTTGTATGCGGGCGACCAACCCGATGCTTTTGCACAGTGCACTGCCCGAAGCCAAGAACTGTTGAGGATGTGCATCAAACATCTGTACCGTACTTCCCATTTATACAGCAAGTTGCGAGATGGAGTACTTAAGGCTATGCTGCCACAGTTTTCCCCATTGGGCACGTTTCATTGCTTGCCAGGAGAGCAGCTCTGCAAAGGTCATGCAGGTTGACAATGTTTTCTTCAGCAATTAGTACAACTTGGTACGGGGTGTGTTATTGCTTACCACCAGAGCGTATGATGATAAAGTCGAGCCCCAATTTAAGCAGCCGACAGCAACTGGCAAACATGATTTCACCCCGAATGGCTGCTTCGAACTAAGACTTCAAGCTATTTGTGTGTATCTCGGTCGGTAGAGGACTAAGTCGCGAGGGTGATTAGACTGTGCGAGAGCGACCAACGATAATATTCTCACCAGCAAGTCTGTCCCGAAGTATAGAAACGCAACATAGTAGGCATCCTGGATTTTTGTAATCACCCTTATTCATGGAATGACTCGGATATAATGTGCAGTCAAGGCTTCGAAGAGCTGGTGATGAAAGTGCATTTTATCATATTGCGTTATAAAGCTATGACCAAACACGAGGGCGACACACGGCGTATAGTACATTTCGGCTTTAAAGCGCGACTTTGTAATTTCAGCGAATGCTAGTTCATGCGCAATACAATATACGACATTGTCAACTCTTATCCGGAGATGTCAATGTCGTGTTACATGCAACAAAGTAAGAGACTCTGCGGAGAACTAGGATGAGTTACGTGTCCTTGTCGATATTGTGTCAAAATTCGAACGCTCAACGCAAGTATCCGCAATCTCCGCCACTAGCTTCTCTTTGGAGCACATATCGCCATAGTCGAGTGGGAAATCGATGATCTCCGATGCAATCTCCACTAAGACGGTATTCGTTGCTTGAGGGCTGCACATGTAACCTAAGGATACAACGGCTATAAAAGAGATGACCTAAAGTTGCTCAGATGACAGGGTACCTGAAAGTTGAAAGCGTTCACGTATAAACCAATTTAAGTCCTCCCCACGTTTTGATACTGCGAAGCTCTACTTGCAAGTCTCCGTGTCTTGGCCGGTCCGACTATTACCACCCAAGGGCGGCGCATCAGGAAAATGACAAGCCGCTTTACCAGCATTATCCTGACTTTGCCGAGATGAACCTACTTTTTTGGTATTTTCGGCTCTTTACTAGAGAATATTTGGCTAGAAAATCACATCAGGGGGCATTGAAGCTGCAAATCTCATTACGAAGAGTAAGCTACGAGTCTTTCAAACCGATTTGGATCCTCAAATGTAGCAGAATTGTGGTTTCAAATTTTGGGAAAGTAGGTTCACTCTGGTAAAGTCAGGAAAGTGCGGTTAATACACGTGTCAAAATCCTGATGCCCGCCCTCAACTGACCAAGGCTATTCGCTAGCTGCATACTCAAGGTCACGCAGCACGCTCGTGTTTATCGCAATCTGCCCAAAGTAGACAAGGCTCGAAGGAACGATCACCGGCAATCTTCCACGACTACTCACTTATCCGAATCTAATATTGGTGTGTTCCGACCGTTGTGGTCACGGTCGGAAGATCTGCTTCCGCGGCTCGAATACGGACGCCAATCATTCTATGACTTCATGCGATAATTCTCCATTAGTACCTGCGCCACGAACTTCACTCTCAGGACACTGCGGGTAACCAAAGATCGCATCGTCAACTCTCAAGCAGAGCAAGGTCTCGTTTCATTCGGTGTAAGCGAGCGACGTCATCCATAATGAGATCCACGTGTCAGGTTGCTTACGTACAAGATCTGCGTACCGGCGGTAGCCGAGTTGGCGTCGGTCAGCCAAGCGGTCGGCGTTAGGGCCGGAAATTTTGCGACGCCTTCCTCCATGACGCTCTTGTTTCACCATGTTCGGATGCTCAATGACATATCCACTCACAAAATATTCCCTTATCCCGAGGCCTGGGGCGTGACCGAGAACCACTAGAGCCAATATTTACCTATAGATGACTCGGACATGAAAGGTCAGAGGAAGATAAGAGGAAGGTGATGAGAGCCGGGTGAAGGTGAGTCCGCCGGGTGTATCAGCATATGGAGTACTGAGACTATCAATTGCCTCATCCGCCGGCTCTGACAACCTTTACCATGCCTCCGTTTCATATGATCCAAATCTCATCGTGCCCCTTCATTCGCCAAAGTTGACCCGGTCGCTGTCATCTTCGTCTCACGCTGCCAATACGGCCGTGCACAGTGCGCACCATGCCAGACCAGACCATGCCATGCCGCCATTATTCGACTGCATTGCCTATTCGTCAGTCTCGGTCTATCTCGCCGATCGGCTGTTGGTTCATGCAAGCTAGCGTTTGGCCCACACAGAATGCTCCGAAGTCTGGTCGCCCGCTCGATTTTAATCACCTTTTAGCTCATCGGACGACGTCCGTCCGTCCGACCCTTGGCGTTTCAAGTCGTTCATCAGCATCTGTCAGCATCCCCCATTTCTCGAGTCACTGGCTCGAAACCACAGTTTGCCTTTAAGGAACGATGTTGTTTCGAGGTGTCTTCGAGAATATCTCACCCGTGCCTCACACCAGCGATACCAGACATCCTCGTTAACGTAACCCGGCACAAAGTTCATACTTTGGGACATAGAGTCACGTCGGCTATCCTATCAAGATCAGCACCGGTCCCTCGGCCTCGTTCCCTTGTGTCGTCCCTCCAGATCAAGTAATCCGCCCATCACTCGTAGAAAACGCTCAGCCAATCTGAGCGCCGCCTGGGCTATTCATCGCCCGGTGGGACACCTCTTTTAAGTTGCAAGCGACCTCCTTGCCACGGCCCAAACCCTCCCGCATCCTCTCACCGTCCCCGCCTCGCGCATTTTCCGCGCTTCCTCTCGTCTGTCCAGCCTCATGGCCGCTCTCCCCGGACAAGAACAGCAGCTGCGGAATCAGCCGTCGTTCCTCGACCCGAACCGCAGCCACAGCGAGACAAACACGCTCGCGGATGTTGAAGTCAGAGAGAAGACCAACACCTCGGCGGACAAGGTCCTCGCTCCCGGAGACGACATTCCCGACGGTGGTGTCGTTGCATGGCTTCAGGTCTTGGGTTCTTTCTTCCTCTTCTTCAGCTCATGGTGCGTCGCCCCCGAGCCTCGTGTTTGTTCTCGGGTGGGAATAGAAAACCTAACAAATGTTTTTGGAATGATACAGGGGGATCTGCAACACTTTCGGCGCTTATCAGACCTACTACGAGACCAATCTTCTCGCGTCGCAGAGCGCCAGCGACATCGCGTGGATCGGCTCGCTCCAGCCTTGTCTGACCATGATCGTCGGGGTCCTCACAGGCCCTATCTTCGACATGGGCTATTTCACAACGCTCGTCTCAACAGGCACCGTACTTGTCGTGTTTGGTATCATGATGACGAGTATCTCAACCGAGTACTATCAAGTCTTCCTCGCTCAGGGAGTTGCCTTTGGTATTGGTTCTGGTTGTCTTTTTGTTCCTTCCGTCGCAATTCTGGCCACCTACTTCAAGAGGTGGAGAAGTTTCGCTGTGGGAGTGGCAGCCAGTGGAAGCAGTATCGGTAAGCCGACAATCTAAACTCACATGATTTCTCTGCAACTCACCTCATGTCTCCAAGGTGGTGTTATTTATCCGGCCGTATTTCGGCAACTACTGGCTCAGGTAGGCTTTGCATGGGCGACGCGAGCAATCGGCTTCATCGCCCTCGGTACTCTCGCCATATCGCTTGCCGTCATGCGCCAGCGCGTCACGCCCGCCGCCCGCCGCAGACTCATCGACCTTCCTGCCTTCAAATATCCCCCCTACGCCCTCTTCTGCATCGGCGCTTTCATCGCCTTTGCCGGGATGTACATCCCCTTCTTCTACATCTCCTCGTACGCACTCACCCGCACCAACGCGGGCGACGAGCTCTCCTTCTACTTCCTCGCCATCCTCAACGCCGCCTCGAGCTTCGGCCGCGTGCTGCCGAACCTCGTCGCGGACTACATCGGCCCGCTCAACATGATGATCCCCTTCGCGTTCATCTCCGGCGTGCTCGCCTGTGGCTGGCTCGGCGTCACCAGCACGAGCGGGCTCCTCGCGTTCGCGGTCCTCTACGGCTTCTTCTCGGGCACGTACGTGTCCCTGCCCGCGAGCACGATGGCGAGCCTGACGCCCGACATGGGCCGCGTCGGCACGTGGATGGGCATGGGCTTCACGTGCGGCGGCCTCGGCGTCCTCATCGGCACGCCCGTCGCCGGCGCGCTCATCAACCTCGACACGGGCGAGTTTTGGAAGGCGCAGGTGTTATGCCTCACCCTCATCTTTGCGTCGACTGGGTTCATGGCGGCCTCGAGGGTTGCCAAGGCTGGTTGGGGTCTGCAATGGGCATAGACGTTTACTCTTTCTTTTTGTTTTCCGTATATCCGTTGCCTTTTTCCCGTTACTTCGCCATAGAAAAGCTGTCGTAGCTTAACCTGCGCGGCGAGTTTGTGTACTGGTCTGTTGTCGATGTTTCCTCACATTCATTGGAGTCGCATAGGATAGATACATAGATACTGAGCCTTTGGACTCGTTAATATCCTGGCTAGCTTGGGACCACTGTATTTTTACGCTTGTAGTTACTTACATCCTCACTTCCTTCCTGCTTCGATAGCATAGTAAATATCTGTCTGCACATATCTTGTCACACTGAACATATATCCGCAATACGGTATAGAGTATATCGAGCTGTCTGATCGACTTCCTTCTGGTGGTTTTTGGAGCGTGATGTTTGTCAGGGTAGTGATCAGCACCAGGTCGGAAAAGTATCCTGAGAGATGATATCTGTTCCCTTACACCCAAGGGCTTGGAGTCTAGGCACATCTATGATACAAAAGATCCTGTAAGATCCTAGTCTTAGATATATGATCATATTCTAGCTTTCGTGGGCACATCCGCAAACTCCCAGTCGGTATAACCCTCCGGCGTGTGGCTTCCAGGAAGGTAGAATTTGGTCCTGTCAGGCTTCGTCAAAGGAATGTCTTCCAATAGGCGTCGAGGCAGGTCGGGCTGAAGACACGGGACATGAATTTAACCAACTGACGCTAGTAAGCCCGCTGAGAACTCACGTTTGATATGTATAGTCTCCCAAAGGCGATCAGGCCGCCCTTCTCCTGGGCAGTCTTGAGTGCCTGCTCGCGAGTGTACCCGCCAGCCGTGATGTAGGGACGGTCGCCCCAGATTTCGCGGATGAAGTCGTTCGAACCGGTCCATTCTTTAACGTCCACGTTCCCGTTGACGCGCGGCTCGACGACGTGGATGTAGGAGAGGTTGCGCTTCCTGAGCTCGTTCACATAATAAGTGTAGGTAGGAATCGGATCCTTCATCCCCATGTCTGTACGTCCCATCGTCAAATCAAGCACGATGAGCACCAAGCTATCGCACTTACCTTGGAATTTGCTCCACGGGCTCAGGCGAATACCGGTTTTAGGGGCACCGATAGCATTCACGACGGCATCTACGACCTCGAGAGCAAACTTTGCTCGACTCTCGATGCTGCCACCATACTCGTCTGTGCGCGTATTGCTCACGTCCTGGAGGAACTGGTCTATGAGGTATCCGTTTGCTCCGTGGATCTCGACGCCGTCGAAGCCTGCCTTGATTGCGTTCTGCGCGGCGTTCGCATACAGCTGGACGTACTCCTTGATCTCAGGTATCGTCAGCACCCGGGGTGCTGGGAGGCCTGCTTTGGCGTAGTCCTCTAGCGGTATATCGGAGGCACCGACGAGTTCGTGCCCCTCAGATGCGAGGAACTTTGGGTCGGCTGCGCGGCCCAGTGCCCAAAGCTGGAGGTAGATATAGGAACCTTTAGCGTGTACGTTGTCCGTGATCTAAACAAGCTCTCGTGTGAGTGATAGATAAGCTCGATGTCGTTTAGTCCGCGCACCTTCTTCCATCCTTCAATCTGTGCATCGGTGTAGATGCCCGGTACATTCGCATAGCCGCCAGCAGGTGCGGCGATGAACGTCGCCTCCGTGATCAAGAGCGTACCGGGCATGCTGGCCCGCTGGGAATAGTAGGTAGCGGCTTGCGGCCCGGGGACATGATCATCATACCCGCGAAACCTTGTCAGTGGGGCGAGGACAATGCGATGCTTCAGATCAAGATCACCAACTCGAATAGGCTGGAAGAGTGCAGGGGTGCCAGTCTCGACGGTCATTGTAAAGATGAAGAGTAAATGGTGCGGGCGGAAGTGGTTTGCCTTCCCGTTCCCATCCTCGTTGGCTTATTTATGTATCGCTGAGCACGCTAGCCTGTCGTGGGTGAACGTTATCCTGGGCCTTGTTTCTGACTAATTTCTGACTAACGACAAATATTAAGTAGAATTCTCGACATTCAGCTCAAGCTGACAAACCATGGATCGATATGGCGCGGAAGAACAGATCTAGCCTAAGCTACCGGCAATCGGCTACAGCGACCGGTGGGCTATTAGGGGCAGAATCTCCACTTTTAGGCATGTACCAAGCGCAAGCAAAGGCAAGTCCCGAGCTTGGATCGCCTCGACGGTTTGTCCGCAATTTTCATCTTGCTTTTGAGGTACTATGAAATATGAGGTATGCAAACACTCCCAACTATTCGGGGGCTTGCAGCTCATTCGAGCCAGCTCTGGTGTAGTTCTTTCAGCGGCACTGGCCAGGAGGTGTGGAACCGCGATCCAGCTCCGGTACATCTGACACCCGCTAGTTAACGCCCGCGGAACAATCCGTACCAGACTCTTGGCCCAAGATAATGATATCGTTTGAAATATCAACGAAGAATCTGTGACCTTGCTCAGAGGTGCTTCGGATTATACTGCCACACACTGCCTGTCCCTCCCAGCCACTGATACCTTGATCCAAAGATCCGACATTAACGGGTAAGTTCAACATAGATCCACAACTAGCGCGCCATCTTGGCTAGCTTTGAGCGCGAGGAAAACGCCCAGCCAACATATCCAGCGCCTAGTCACCTCATTACGCATCGTCTAACGGCCACAAGTAACTAAGACAGCCTTTAGCTGATCTCTCATTGCTCCGTTTGATGGCGCATTGATGTCATCACTTCGGGGACTGACAGGGGCGTGTGAGATAAAATCATGAATTCTATGGGTGAAGCTGATGCTGAGAATAGATGAGTCAACGCGGTGTAAATGTGCGTCTTGGTTTGCCAGCTATGAATGACGGGAGCCGAAGCATTTGGACACCATGTAACAGCATAGAGTATATCCTTAAAAAGTGACGCCTTCATCACACTTCTGAGAGAAGGACTTCTCATCCACCCGTTTCGACCTTCGTATCTAGGTACAAGGTTCAAATGTCCGAGTCTCTGATATCAACCGTGCAGAACTTGCAAGTTACAGGCTACGCCTACGGTGGGTGATAGACGTGATCTGGTTTAGGATAATTTCTCTTACTGTGAACCCATTAGCTGGTATTCTATCAATCACGATATATGACTATGGTGCGTCTCCGAATGCCATCCGTTCCATATTTTCCCTTGACGTCAGGCATAGCATTGTGTTTCAATCGCGAGGTTGGTGATTCCCATCTTTCACATAACCCGTTTCTAATAACTCACGCATTATTCATCAGGTCGATGTTATCTGGGTAAGAGACTTCACACTATTATTTGAGTCGAATGCACGCTTTGGTCATGACTGACAATCATGTTTTCCTTCCCAGCGTAAGAAACGCGTGTCATCAGCGGGGGTGCTTTATGTCGTTGTGAGTTTGGCTGTTGACGTGCATCTCCAAAGACTTAAATTCGTCAGCTCCGTTATGGGGGTTTGATTTGTTCCATGTAAGCAAGTTATAATTTCTGACCTGAAAAAGACTTATGCAGGGATATAAAACATTTCAGAACCGGAGCTCGTGAGTTTCTTACCAAGGATAACCGAAGTGTCGCTTATCAAGGTATCGCCCGTAGTGAATAACATGAGCATCCCATTGTCCAACATCGTGAGCCTTCTTCATTTTTCCGCCTTGGCTTCTACTCAATGATGGAAGTTTCCCTATGCACCATGATGCTTAGTTGAATGTCGCACTTCGTTGCTTTGTCCTGTATGACTGGCAACGTCGCCGGGCCCTGGCTCATCCTAACGGGTGTGTCGTATCCTTTGATATTGAGGATCATGCGTGGGCCGATTACCGAGGTCCATAGAAGCTCCAGGACGACGCTAATCACCGATAGCCCAAGAGTGGGAGTCTGTGCAAGAGACAGTGACGGTGCTTCAGTAACGTTGCCGCCGACTTGGTGATTCAGACGGCTGACCTCAGAAAGACCTTGATCTGCGTCCATTATTGCGACAAAGATCAAAGGTAAAGATGATCTATCGAGGATATCAGAGACATAAAAATCAGGACATAATATGGATGCGGCCTCACACGAGGTAAAGCATGGTGTTGTCTCTTACGAGGACAATCCATATATCATCCTTCGACCAGAGCTCAAAAGTCAGCCGCTGTTGAGTCTCCCTGAGATAGACCCAAAAGCGATGCCATGTCAAGGCAATAATGATGGTTTGGAAGAGCAAGAACCCGCATTTGACGATCGTCATGACCCAAACCGGCAAACTGAGTGAACTATACATGCATGCGTAAACCCCCGAGAAGTTAGCTTCCGTCATCGTTGAAGCTACGAGTTATGCGACGAAGCATATGCATTTCATAAGGCAACAGTCTCAGCAAATACGCCAGATGGCCACTCACTGTTCATTCCGCGAAATGCAACACCTGACACGATGGCATTCACTGACTGCTCCAGCAGAAGACAGATGGTCATGCACATCAGAGTTTTCTTGTGCCCATTTGACAGTGCGTACAGGCGCATAACCATGGCAGCTATAGGACCACAGTGTGTTCAGGTTATTGGAGTGGTACAACAACTAAAGTTGGAAACTTACATTGTACAGCAGCAAAAGGAATGAGAAACGTAACTTCACTCATTACCCAAGTCGCAAAGCCTGTGTTCAACGCCGTTATGTTTGGCCCGTTTTAACTGAGCAGGGACATCGTACATCTAGGGTCGCAACAAAACATTGGAGACGATTCCGCGACTTGGGTGGGTAAACAGTTTCATTGTTGAAGTGTTGAAGTGTACGCACGACTACAATCATACAGTTTAGGCATTATGTACTCATTGTTCGTGAAGGAGAGTTCTGAAGTTGTGGATAGTGGTACGAATGTTCGTTTATTGGGAAACCGGGAAAATGGCCAACAGTGAAGCATAAATATCGAATATAATATTAATGTAATTTATGTGCAGGATTAATTAGCTAGGTCTTAGCTAGGTCAGTGAACCACGAACTTCTTGGATGTGAAAACAGATGTGCTCTCCGCCGGCAAAACGGCGGGAGCGTGCGCTGTGTGCTTGTGAAGCCTGCTAAAGCGTCTTCGCGTCTGCGAAGACTCTCCCCCACAATAATCACACAAAAATATACGAAACCATAGATCATTTCAATATACATGTACAAACTAACGTGTTTAACGGAATTACGACAAGCCAATCTATAACAAAAAAGCCGATTGCTAGACAGATATCATGTATCATCAGTCCAAGATAAGTATGAAGATGGAGGTCGTGAGCGCGTGTGCCGATGGGGGTCATGATGCTGCAGTCAAGTACGAGGAAACAGAAAGACAGGCGTGGGGTGGTATGCAGGCGACGCGACACGAATGTCAACGAGGGGGAGAAATGGTCGCGATCATGGAAAAAAACGGCAAGGTTATCAACCGAGACGCTCATCTATGGAATTGGATATACTTCCAACGAAGCCAGTCAGTCAGTCAGTCCAGAGTCGGGTGGCACCCCGCCTATCAGAGGCAGACGATCAGTGTATACGAGCCCCGCACACGTCAATGACACGGGGCTGGATATCCGGGGTGCGCACCCACTGCCTGTCATCTATCCATCTATCCAATACCCCCTCTCCCCTCATCAGCTACGCCGATCCGCCCTCTAACACCAGCCAAAAGGACCACAGTCGTCATCAGGGTCCTTCGGGTCCTCGGGCGCCGGCTCCGGCGTAGGGTCCTCCTCGCCGCCGCACTCCGTGGGGACCTTGTACCCATCGGTGCGGATTCCTCCGCCCCAGGGGGTACGCCCGTCAACGCGCGCGTTAACACCCAGCCCGCGCTCCGCAAAGCCTTCCCAGAGCGCGCACACATTCTCGCCGCCGGTGAGCACCTCGTCCGCCTGGATGATCGCGTCGCGCGCGTCCGTGAAGCCCGGCGAGCACTTCTGCAGCTTCATGCCGTCGATGACCAGCTGCACGAGCAGCGTGTTGCCGTGCTTGGGCACGAGGCGCTGCTCGCCGTCCGCCTTGCCGCTTGCACTTGCGCGCAGGTGGGTGGGGAGGGCGGTAAGCGTGTCCGGGTGGCGGTAGAAGCCCGTCTCCTTGTCGAATGCGGTCTCGGGCAACCGGCCGTTCGCGTCAGCCTCGGGCGGGAAGAGGCCCGCGGCCCAGCCATGCTTCGTAACGAGCTTGTCCTCAACAACCCAGAGTATCTCAGCCCAAACCTCGCCGATGGCGTGGACACCCCAATAGCCGGGCTTGTCGAGCGTCTTGTACGTGCTCGGGTTCTTCGCCTTGTCGAGCGAGTAGGGGTAGTTCCGAATGCCGGTGGGGCGGTTGGCGGCCCAGGCACCCATGGCGTAGTCATTGAGACCGTCCTTGACGGGTGCCTCCGCGCGGATGGTGGTGGCGAGGAAGTCGCCCCAGCCCTCACCCATACCGCCGGACTCGCCCCAGCCGAGACAACCAGAATTGAGCGGGCCACCAGTCAAACGTGTCGACAGACCATGGGCGAGCTCGTGGACGACAATACCAGCCTCCATGTCACCATCGCGGTAGGGGTCGGCGGTGTTCCAGAGGTACATGCGGCAGCGACTATATGCATGTCAGCAAACTGATGTAGACCGCATTCAGCGATCAACTCACCCGTTCTGGCCATCGGGAGGGGTCATGAAGTTGGCATTGTTCATGCCAGAACCGTCCTGTGCGTTGGCAATGACAGCGTCGCCCTCACGACCACCGCGGCCGAAGTTATACTGCTGGAAATTACCGGACACCTCGTCGAAGCCGTAGCGGTAGAACAGGTCATGCGCCATGTTCGCTGTGTAGAATAGCTGCGTGACGGTAGCGTCGATGTGGCCGCGGGCGTCCTCCATGCGGTCCTCAGGGGTGGCGCCGACCTTGGGGTCGTAGTCGAAGACGAAGGCACCACCCTTGGCGTCGTTGTGGTCAGGGTCCTCGGAGGGGACGGAGACCGGACGGGAGTTGTAGACCCATGCATTGCGACCCTCCCAATTCTCGTGAGCGAACACGTTGTTACCCCAGGTGGTGTTGGTCTGATGCCAGAACGGCAGACTAGGCTCGTCACCAGTAACAGCTGGATCGTTCTTGTAGGGGAGGGCGTGCCAGCCGGCGGGAGAAGCCAGTGTGTCAACGCGCTCAACTTGGATGCTGCGGAGATCACCCTTGGTCTTGACCTTGGTCTCGGCCTCTTCGGGGTCGTTGATGCCCCAGGGGAACACCTTGTACGTCGCCAAGGGGACTTCAGGAGGCTGATCAGGTTTGGGGACGGGGGCAATCTTGTCCAAGTGGGAGTGACGGAGGGCATCACGGAAGGCCTCAGCACCACCCTCGAGGAGCTGCTCAACAGCAAGGGCACCCTCAATGGCGTCCTCAACAACGTGCTCGACAACCTCCTCGACCATGTGCTCGAGAGCGCCGAGCTCAGCCGCCATCTCGGCGCTGATGAACGCCTCGGGTCCAAGACCCGCGATGGGGATCGTAGGGAAGCTGGGACGACCAACACCCTTGACGCGGGCGTTCAGTTCACCAGGCGGGAAAATGGGCCGGGGGCGGCGGGCCGGGTTGGACTGGTGGCTGTGCGTCGGAGCATCGGAAGCCCAGTCGACGACGGAAACGATCCGATGGGGAGCAGCGGTGGATACGTAAGCCTCATACCAGTTGTCCTGCATCTCGACCTCGAACTAAATAGCGCAATGAGTATACGGCAAGGAGTCGGTGGCTGGAAACACTTACGCGGTGAACGAGCTCAACACCAACACCACCCTTGCCGTCAGGAATCTGCACGTAGACGACGCGGGCCTTGACGTCGCTGACGGAGCCAGGAGCACCGCCAATGAGAAGCGTGTCTTTGTCCTCAGGGTTGACATGAGCCGTCAGCTCGTTGAGGTGAGCGTGCGGGTCATTGCGGAGGGAAGAAGCGAGGCCGCTGTCGGGAGTAGCATGAGCGAGGAAGGCAAGAAGCGCCGACTGAGCGGATGCCTCCGAGTCAGTAGCAAGCGGCGGGTGGAAGAGGGAACCACAGTTGGAGTCGTGCAGGTGGGCGAGGTCCTCGAGCGCCGGGGCACTTGGGCGGCTGCTGCCCAAAACAGTCTGAGACTGTGCCTGGGCAAAGCTGTGCTCCTCCAAAGCGCCACCAAGGTATGCGCAGTACTCCCGGTGAGGGTCAGCGGCGAGGCCGCTATCAGAGTAAGGGGCTGGGGCTGGGCCGTTGAAGAAGGAGTTGCCGAAGGAAATGATCCGGCCGTTGTGGACGTTCAGGTTCATGTGGCCGTCTGCGACGGGGATGCCGTTGAGAAGCTGGTCAACATAGACGTGGGTGATTCCGGTGCGCTTGTCGGTGTACGAGTCCTTGCGGACGGTGTACGATGAGCCCTCGGCTGCTGCCTTGGGGAAGCGGGAATCAAGGAAGGCATGAGCGGCTGCGTATGGGCAGGCAGGAGCGTCCGACACCGAGCGGGCAGCAAGGTGGGAGGAAGCAGAGCTAGTGCTGAAACTGGCGTGGGGGAGGTTGGGGCCCCAGGAGAGGGACTTGCGATGTGCCTCGACGCCTCCGGCGACCAAGAGAGCAGCGAGAACCCAGGAAGTCGATAAGCCTCTCATGGTATGTAGTGAATAGGTATTAGGACTCCTCTCGGTGAAGGGAAGAGGAGAGGAAGGAGAGGTGGTGGGGGTGGAAAAGAGGGAAAGTTGGTTGTCGGACGAACTGACTCACGTCGTCGTCTTCCAGGAGTGGTTCACTGTTGACCAATACGGCCGCGTCTTATACTACCCCACACGCTGACATAATCCCGCTTTATCCCATTTTGGGGTCCAGATAAGCTGTTTCCCACGTGGCATCCCCTCCACGCCAGAGCTGCGTTTTTTCAGCTCGCGTGCCTCGTCCTGCCTCTTCACCAGCGCTGTCCAACACTGTCAGATGCAGTCATGCTCACTGGAACTACTACGGAACATTCGATGGGCACGATAGAAGCTGAAAGCTCTCCTGTAAACGCATTGATGGATGCGATACCGTGGGGTTGGTCTGAATATAAACGCGTTTCACGGTGACCCTGACACGACGCGTCCCCAAATTGTCCCTTCCGCTCCCTCCCGATGCTGTACGTACGTAACGCGTACTGCTTCTCCTTTACCCCTTGGTCTTGCACCCGGCGGCACCAGACGACCTTCAAATAGCTCTCGCGTTGCCTTTGTCCCAAAGTCTCAATCATAAGTCTTTGAAGGCTGTATCTCTGTCGCCAAATCTCGCAACGTGTTATGCTTGTGTCGCAATTGCTGTTTTTATATCGCACGCTGCGCCCCGGACCGTCAATTTGCCCTCGCAACTCAGGGCACCAGAACATTTGAATTTGTACTCAGACGACCACCATCGCTCTTTTTCGTGGCTTTGCGCTCAGAGATCCTGTTCTTGTCATGTGGGCTGCAATCCAGCAGGACTCAGTACTCAATACTGCTGCGAATGGCTACCCCCCATCAGTCCATACACACAATTCCTCACGTATCCCAAAGCCGGTTCCACCTTTCTCTCGAAATACCGCAAAATCTCAGATAATCTTGTTCCGCTATCCATTCGCCGATAAGCTTTACGCCACGTGCGCTTTGCAAATAACTCGCCGCCGCCAACGACGAGGCTAATCTTCATAGAATTTCACTTGGGAATGTCAATATCTCAATCTCGATCATACAGATCTCTAGCTGCGCCTCGTCACACTCGGCCGAATGCCGTATTTCAACGTATGACGCAGTCTTTCGTTGAACAAACGCGTCTTGGGCGATCGTTCAGAGTAAGCACTCCATCTCAACGATCCAACTACATTGTGTCATGTTCATCGCCAAACACTCCCCTCAATCCCTACCAGAGGGTCGCGGAAACGTCGCGAGCCTCTGCTATCTTATCATGGGCACGAGGGCGAACGTACTGGGGACGACGGGGTTTGTATTCGCGAAGCGTCCTCAAGCTCGCCTCACCGAGCTCTCCTCACCGAAGTGAGTACTGGACATGTCTACGCACTTGCAATCCGGATAGTGCCTCACCGGCGCAAGCATTGCGATGCAATAACAAAAAAGGCCTACGATAGGCGGAAACACATAAACTCCTGTGCATGTATGTGTCTATGATGTCAGGTATTACTTAATGATACAGCAATGCAGAAAAAAAACTCGTGTATATGTACACAATCCATACCCTCGTCACGTCGTAGCAAGTTCATGAATCGCTCCTCGCGCGACGGGTACAACACCACGCACGAGAGCGGGGTAGTTGGCAGAAGCAAGCAAGTGAACCCAACCCCATCTAACACCCGCAGCCGCCCGACCCAGCGTCCTGCGATGCGCCGCCACGCGCGTCCAGGTCAATCGTCCCGGGCATATCGCCGTTGCGCTGGTTGGCGCTCTGGCCGGATGAAGAGCCGACGGGCGCCCAGAGCTCTGGCGTATCGAGTATGTGGCGGACGACATCCTCGAACGTCTCGCGCACGCCGACCGCGGTTTTGGCACTCGCCTCGAGGAAGAGAGCGTCCTGGCGCTCCGCGAATGCGGCGCCTTCGGAGGTCGGGACTTGGCGTGAGTTCTCCTATTGCGGGAGGATGCGGCGAAGGGAGAACATCAGGAAGGGATACAGAGATCCGGGCCGGTTTAAGGTGTGTGAAGAGGGGTTAAACACCAAAGGATAGGCACGAAGGGAGAGACGTTTTGAGTAGGCGTGTTAAGATGTATGCGTGTGTACGTACCTTGTCGAGCTTGTTGCCTACAATGATCCTGACGACTGTTGGTGAGACATACGTCTCAATCTCCGAGAACCACCTAGGCAACGCTTCGAACGTCTCGCGATTGGAGACATCGTACACTGTGATTTCGCGTGTTCAAAATGGGCAAGTTCATGCATGATCCCCAATGTTGAGAATACACACCAAGGATGATGCCTTGCGCTCCACGGTAGTATGACGACGTTATCGTACGGAAGCGCTCCTGACCGGCCGTATCCTGCATGGCCGTTACTTAGTAGAGCATATGCCAATGCATAGGGCAGACTTACCCAAATGCTAAGCTTGACCTTCCGCCCGTTCACCTCCATCTTGTGTACCTGCGATACGCTCAGCACTCCACCACCGCCAAAGCAGCTGCATGTCACAGCCCACTGCGAACGGCACATACCCGGAAATCAACACCAATAGTTGCGGTGGCCTCATCCTCAGGGAGCCACTGCTCATCCGAGAAACGGAGGAGGAGACTGCTCTTCCCGACAGAGGCGTTCCCAATCAAGAGAAGCTTCACGTTCACTGGGGCTGGAGCGCTTGATTTCGAGGCCTTCTTATCTGTCGGAGGCATTGTGTGGGGTCCTGAGCGCACCGAATGAACAGGTGGGGGTACTTCGAAGGCGTTTCAGCAATGTACTCGAGGGATGAGAACGATACGCGCGGGCGAGAGGATGGGGGATGAATGCAAAGAGCGTGAGGGGGATGTGCTATGTACCACAAGGCCAACACGCGACCAGCATGGATTTGGGGGATGTGGCTGTGTTCATGTCACTCAGCTTGGAACCGTCCACTCAACATCGCCAACGACAACATCATATTTAAGGCCATAATGTGGCGGAATGGATGAGCCATTGCAGGTTGTGGTACAGCTCTCCAGAGCTTGATATTATACAGTACGTTTCTACCTCATACAGCCCAATACACTGTCACCTTTGCACTTTCCGCAATGCATCTCCACCCGCCAAACCGCGCATGCATCCACAGCACGAGCCGGTCGCCGCACTCCAGACTCCTCACAAGCTGCCCATCCATGGATCGCCATCCTCTGCCCTGCTCATTTGCTACCATTGCTTCTAGCGAGCCTTCCTCAACTGTATCCTGCCAGTCCCAGACAATGACATGACGCGTGAACTCCCTTTTCGCGTGGACGTTCCGTTGCAAGTGTGTATCCTTGGGATGAAGTCCATGCTCAACCTGGTCTGCGACCCCGCCAGAGTCTGATTCTGAGGCACGCTCGACGGACACATCGAACCACGTCCATGAATGCGCGTAGGTCTTGTGGTACGCCCGATCGCTCGACCAGCCCTGATCCCGGCTCAAGAGCTCGAACACAATCCGTCTGCATGGATGTTGGCCTCTTCGCGGGTATTCTTCTTCATTAGAGCCTCTAGGTGGCCGATGGATCGGATATTGGCCTGCAGACGCAACATGGCTACCTTCGGTCTTGGGGTACGCGAGGGGTAGTGTACGCAGGTAGACCTTGTCCTCAACATCATCCCCGCCAGAGACGACGTCTATTTCCTTGACCTCGACAGTGCTGTGTGGCCAGTAGGCACCGTGGTCGAGGATGACGTCAATAATCTCCACAGGCAGCGAGGCTGGCGATGATGATAGGAGCAGACGGACAGCGAAGACATCTGAGATCGTTGGCTCGTGGTTTCCTTCGGATGTCAGTTGGTCGACTTTAGACGAGCTGATGCCCATGGCTGCTAATGCTCAGCTCTGAAGTGAGAATACAATGGGGTGGTGATGGTAGTCGGATGGTGAGTGGGTTAGCGTGGCAGGTATGACGTGCCACCGTCCAGGAAACGTGTTACACCCTGCGGCTGCGGATGAATGGGATGAGTGCCTGAACTGGCTCGCCGACTTAGTCGACGACTGGGTAAGCCCCTGCCTTTCCATCCCCTCTACGGCACAAATGATGTTTCATGCCCACCCAGCGACGACGAATGAGATTGTCAAGAGATTGTGACACTGAACCTGTGGCTGTGCGTGCGATTTCGGGCTGTCCGAAAACGTGAAGCACATCCGGTTGCGGGTGCTATGTCTTCCTGCAGACATCTACTTGAAAAACTCTAAGCTCACCTTCCCTCCTCCGTAGGTAGCGAATTTGGGGAGACTAATGATACTATGGAGCTCCAGACTGTATTTATCCGTGGCGACGACAATACTACTACGTCAACTTGATCTCGAACTTCTTGATCCTCGCCTTATCCTTCGGTCCAACTCCGAGGCACTTTGGATATAACGCTGTCAAGCAGTGACAGGTAAGGCGGATATAAATACAGCACGGACATGAGAGTCACAGCTCATAACTTCTCATCTACGCGCATGCGAGAATCTGGGTCTTAGGTTCATCTTGATTCGAACGTGATTTTCCCAAGGTACGTGTTGAGAGTCGCCAGGCGAAACCCGTGCTCAACGTTCTTCCTAGAGCAGATTCCCTTTACCGGAACAATGAGCTGGTCAGTTATGATGTCAGCTCAGCAGAAGCTGGGATCTAACGACACGCCAGCATTGGTTTGATCTCTGCTACCTGAATCTTGACCGAAAATTGACGTTTCATACTGTTCCCGCCTCAGACGGGACCCTCTTTCAGGATAGTACGCCAACCCTCGGCATCTTTTCTTTGATCATAGGTGATGCAGGGAGCGTATCCAAAGATCATTCCTTGTTCTCTTACGCCTTTAAACGGTCCGCAATCTTTCCGGGTATACAGGATGCTAAAAATACGGTTCATATAAGGCTTTGTGGAATGCGACCGTCACTCGAACCATACCATCTTCTGCCACATCTTCTCGCTCGACCAAGGCCTTCATTCCTGCTCGACACCATATGGCCGATGCTGAGGTTGCGTTCGTGTGGTCTTTGCAAACTATAAGCTATGCTCAGGGTAAGTAAAGTAACTTCATGCTTCGAGCATCTCTTCAATGCCATATACACACTAGTGGCGCTGCTTGCTCTTGCTTCTTATGACTATAGTGAGTGTTTTCGGATGCGCATACAGCTCTCACGTCTCCATCATTGATACAACTCGTAGTCCTGTGTTTGAGCCGAGAGGTACGATTCTCGACTTTACACACATTCGACGTCCCTGACCCCGCCGCCAGATTGAATATATATGGGTAAGTTTAATCGACAAATTTACTCAACGCGTCTAGTTATACACCATTCTCGCGCAAGCGAAAAAGGCTTGTCTTTTCTGCAACCCTTGTATACAGTGCGGTAAGCATATATCCTCGAACCTCATAGCGTTGACTGACCCAAACAAGCTTCGTTATGGAGGTCTACTGTTTGCAATGTGAGACAAACCTCTATCATTGACACGCAAAACGCGAAACGCAATCTAACGCCATGGCTAAATACACAGATTTACGGCTAGTAGGTTTCATACCACACGAAATATTATTCAATTATAAGCTCATTGATGCAACAGTGACCGACCTCAGTATCCATGTGTCACCGACTGTAAGCCGCTTTTAGGTTTGGAAGACGTTGCTCTTAATATAACAAAATCATGCGCCATGGATACGTATCCATAGGGGTGAGTGTTACCTACGACAACACTTCTTCATTCTCTCATTTCACCTCTGTCATGTAATGACCCTAGCTGTAGGTCTTTCCCCCTTCTTCTCTCATACCACAGGAGTGTGCTAATGATATACGACATGATATCAAGGTTATGCACTCTGGGCCTTGATCGAGATTACATGCATCATCCCTGTTTCGGCATTACAATGTAAGCATTTATAATACGATTCATCATTCATGGAAGGTTGTAACAATCCACAGATTCGATGATCACGCGTCTTTACGCGTTATACGATGGAAGTAAGAGGCTTTTGACTTTTATGGTCGCTTGCTTTGTGGCGGAGCAAGTGGTCAATGTGACTATCTTAGCGATAAATTTCCGCAACATCCACAGTAAGATGTATGAGCATTGCTAAGGATCCCTAAGACTGACGGCGAGATTCCCCAACACCCTGCTTTTAGCAAGTACTTTCATGGAGATGAACATACTGGGATACAGCACGTGTCTAATCAGTTCAAGCGCTCTACCTTCATGGCTTATGGCGACCACAAATTCTATTTTCTTACTCTTCCAAACTATTGTCATTGTATTGACGTTGTATCGCTTCACCATTCGCCTGAAAGATACTAATCAACGGCTGTCCTGGGAGCTCTTGTGTAAAGACGATATCTGGGTGATCCTTGTCCGAGATAACATCATGTTCTACCTTGTGTAAGTAACTATGGCCTTCATCCCTCCAATTACGGACTGATGAGGCTCAAGGTCGACCTTTCCCTTGGTTTTTGACACCATTCTACTCGTTGATTCATACCTTCCCGAGGTAAGTTTCATTCTGTAAGACATTATCTTGCGAGACAGCACTGACAAGTTTCAAGGTCCCATCGCTTGGCATATATGTGATCGTCATCACTTTGCAGACACTTTGGATCTCTATCATCGGACCTCACATAATTTTAAATGTCAAAAGTTATAAAGCTTCCGCGAGGATGAGCGGAGCAACGCTGCCATTTAGGAGTGGGCAGAGAAATTGCGATGTCGAACTACATGTTATAATACATACGGAAGTTGCGACGAGTAAATAAGAGTACATTATGTCTTATCCTGAAAGTTTCTACCCAGAAAGAAGTGTGATCAAGAGTCTGAGGTTAATGTCATAGCATGCTCGTGGTTAGCCTGGGTGAGTGCCTCGCAGCTCCGGAACCGAGCCATCAGGGCTTCAGCAAATAGTAATACTAGAGCGCTGACCGGTGAAAGATTGCTGTCTTATTAAATACTCTGTGAATTTAATATATCAATGCGAACCTAATCTCGTGAATGTTAGTCGCCATTAGTAAATCCAGCGTGAATATCTTACCTCGGCCAAAGGAAGTTCTGAGGTAGCATTTGTTGGGAAGATATGTATGCGAGTAGTATCTTTGCACCACATCATACGTGTGTTTATCCTAGTTAGAAATGGATGCACTCAATACATTGTGATATGAGGTAGTGAGAGCTTACGCAGCGAGGAGACAGTTAGCTTGAACTGCATACATCAAACATCAATATTGAGCTTGACACTGTCATACACGTACTCACCGCCACCAACAATGGTAAATGGACCTAGCCACAGAGCCTCGGTTTGCCTATAACCGAGAACCTGAGAAGTCTTAGCTCTTAACCGGATATAACGTGGCGGGATATATCAACTTACAAATACTAGCTCAGCGATGCGACAAATACTATATTCACATAAGATTTCAGTTTGAGGGACGAGCAAACCAAAACGTGTTACCTTGGCGGCAGGCCAATCTCTGGTGCAATTGGTTTCAGTAACGAGATAAAATCCGACGCACCGTAAACTTACCGAACGTCCACATAATCAGCTTATCAATCCGTCTTGCAGTACCACGAAGCGCCCACGTCTTTGACCTGCGCAGGTACCAAGCGGTGCCACCGGTGATGAACAACGAGCCGGCTATGTCACATCCGTCAATAACCATGATTGTCCAGATGCCACCGTGCCACTCGTCCCCAGACGATAGTGATCCATACACCAACGACCCGTAGGCTGTGTAGAGATTCAATGCTGTGGATGTGGCTGTAGTGATTGCAATGATGGCAGGAAGCACGAGGGAATGGGACAGTCTCCAAAGGCGATATGCGTAAAACCCCTCAAAGATCATATCTCTCAGAGGCTGGTGATGAGGAATAGTTATCAACGCATACCTGTATGAGGATGTTCAATGTTGCTGTCAAAATGACAACTGCATTGAGTTGGGGCCGTACGAGTGTGAACATGATAGTCAACATCCAAAGCGACCATGCATTGCAGAAGAAGTAGAGGATATCAACCACACTGCAAGGGACGTGTGTTAGTCTACCAAGCCATTCCGTCGGGGAAAAACAACTACATTACACAGGCTACCTAAGGGCCATTCACATGTGAATGGAGGTGTAAGTTTGATTGAAACAACGAGAATGTGTCGTACAAAGGCCCTCTTTAAGCGCGAGTCATTCTCGACATTGCAGTAATAGAAGTATCCTTGAAGTATAACGGACCCAAGGAGAATGGCGCTGGCCAGTGTCCCGACTTCCAGAGGACCGTTAATGGTAGAGATTTGTGCGCCAAGCGTAGACATAGGTCAGGGTCGGGTCTATAGAATACAACACTGTTGGACTCCCATTCAATCATCTTCAACTTATATACGGGCGCATACCTGTGAAGTAGATAACTCCGTGCACGGCAGCTAGCGATGGAATCATAAATGCAGAGTAATAGTACTCTGGTCCTTAGTCAAGCCTATCCGCGGAATTTGTTCAGCTCCGAGCATCAAGTGCATTTAGTGGTTAACGTACATACCAGGAACACATGCTGTGGCTTGTCATACCTTATGGTCTAGATCCAGACCCGGCTATCTGATTTTCTCCGTCATCCGCATGGCAGAAACAGGAGTAAAGATAGGTCACAGAGATGAAGGCTTTGCCCTCTGGGATACCACCAATGGGATACCAATTGGCGGCCATGCAGTGACGGGATCACATATGCACGTCAACAACCATTACAATGGCCAAGATCGATAGGAATAAGAGGAAGTAGCGCCGATCGTCAACGGCGTTCGTAGGTTTCGCTACAGCATCTGGTGTTTGAGTAGTACAGATCACGAGCTTCGAACCCTGAGAGTTTAAACATGTATATTGAACGTGTATATTATAGGTAGTCTTTGCATGATTACACATCCGTCTCAAAAGGACGTACGACAAGCTTCTTCCCGCTGATCGTTTTGAGTTGCTTCAGCGCCGTTTCAACGCCATTGAGTCCGCCCGAGACAACCTCGACAGTGCTAGCCTGGAACGCCTCGTCAGGAACTCTTGCTAGAGTGTAGGAGACGAATAAACTCACTTTGATGTCTCCGCTTTCAAAAAGCGACGCCCAGACGCTCAGGAACTCCTTGCCGAACGCTTGATGCTGCGGCATCATAAGTGCGCCCATGACGAACAAAATCTGTTTTCCAGAGCCCTCCGATGCCTTGACTTGCGGTGGGTTTGTGGTGAGCACCTTCCCGCCCTCGGACACGATCGCGAGTGCGGCCTGCTGCGTCTCCGCGATGCCGACTGCGTCGAACACATGCAAAACCTTCTTCTCGCCGGTGATCTTCTCGACTTCCCCGGTCAACGCCTCGATTGAGAGTGAACGGTCGAGCACGTGCGTCGCGCCGAGCGCCTGCAGGAGCGGGGAGTTGCGGGGAGAGGCAGTGGTGATGATGGTGCCGAACCCGGCGAGGCGGGCGAGCTGGATGGCATATTGGCCAACATTGGATGTACCGCCGAGGACAACGATGGGAGAGCCCGCATGGGCGCTGCGTCCGCTAGCAGACCAAGGAGTGGCAATGCCGAGGCCGTGAGGCGGTGGCTGGTAGGTGCCAATAACAGCCGCGAGGAACGCGATGGGGAGGGCTGCTGCGGTATCGAATGACATGGAATCCGGAAGCTACAGACAAAGAGCGTCAGCATCTAAGAGTCACACGAATAGAGCACGGTCGCATACTTTGAAGGCCCAATCGGCTGGTGTAACAACCCACTGCTGGAAGGAACGTCCCTTGTTGGAAGCGACTCCCTGGTAGGCGATTCTATCGCCCTCCTTGAGATGGGTGACGCCTGCACCCACGGCGGAGACAATACCCGCACCCTCAAAACCGAGGATGGCAGGGAACTCACGCACGACGTGGAACCCGACCTCTTGAGTCTTGTAGTCAATCGGGTTGAGCCCCGCAGCGTAGTTCTTGACAAGAATCTCGCCAGAACCTGCTTGCGGAATAGGGATCTGCTGCAGCTCGAAAGATGCACCAACGCTGGGAAGGAGGAGTGCGGTCTGGGTCTGGGACGAAATGGCGGACATTGCGAGGATCAGAAGGGAACTGCGAGTAAAAGAGATGCGTTTGCTGCTGGCCGATGAGATACGAGGCGCTGGTGGAAGATCTTGGTGCTCTCATAGGCTTCGCACCGATTGCATTTTATACCGCGTACCAGCTGCTTCGCTCATACTGCTCGTAACCCTGCTAGGTGCCAGTATCCGTCATCCTTCGGCAGATGAATTTCCAAGCTGAATGGGTAGCTCGTCAGACTCAGTTGCAGTACAGTGGAAAATGTTGGACAAGGGGGAGAGGGAGGTTAAGTCGACGGAGCTGCTCGGGAGTTACGTCGCGTTTTACCTTTTCGAGAACGCGTCAGGGCGCGCGACACGGTGAAGCGCGATGGGCACAGCTTTGTCATGCTGACAGAGACTTTCTCACGCGTTAAAACTCTGTCGTCGACTAGCCATCTCGCTTTCTTCTTCGCAACGTTGACAAGACTTACAAGAGCGCATCGTCCATCCCCAGCATTCTCGTGCTCGGCCATCTGCCAACCCCTTCCTGAAATCTATTTGTAGGCTCTTCACGTTTGTGCAAGGCACTCAGCTTGGAGCTACTTGGCCTTGCCGATACTGTCACCCTCTTGAGTTTTTAGACTGAACCTTCAAGCTTCCAGCTCCAAGCTTCAAAGCTTTACCCAGCGGTCCTTTGTTCTGCAACATGACTCGGTCACATATTTATGTCTAATCAGAGCATTTTCTCTTTGTATATACCTGTGGACTTTCAGTTTCGGATACAACTGTTGTTGTCGAAGCTGGATGAAGTCGTCTCTATCTTTGCTGCTTTTACGAGACACCTTTGCGTGGGTGGGTCGACGATGGTCGAATCTTAACCGGTGTCTAGCACTATACCAGCATCCACTCTCCGCTGAAAGATTTGCTGGAGCGGTGATAGAGAATTCCAATGACGCAACGAGACTGTTTTCAACTTGCCTGGTCCGCGGAGCTGCTATCGAGCTTCACATTTCCCCCAGCGCCACCGGCCAGGACTAAAATCAGCTTTCCTTCAAATGCCTCTTCCCTGTAGTGGCCTCTCCATCTTCCGCTTCCCCACCATCAACGTCGTCTTCAAGCCTTACCCATCTTCGTATCAACCCTTCTCAGCTTCCCCACGTCGCACCAATGTCTTGCCTCGCAAGGAACATACTCGCCGCCAGCATCTTCTCCATCGAAGGTCTCGTCACGGAACTTGGTAATGATCCTGACGCGAGAGCCAGTCGTACGATTCCTGCCAAGATCATGCAGATTCAGAGTGCCCTCGGCAACTTCAAGAGCAAGGTGATGGACCCCTCGCTAACGCTTCTTACGGAGACAAGTGAAGAACGAAGAGCCCGCATCATGGTGGGCGTGATGGAAAGGGCCAAAGAGAGTGACGCTTCCAGTGGGTTGAAGCGTACTTATCATCTAAGCGAGAAGCTGATGTTCCTCTAGATGCTCACCAATCCCTCCATTGGTCGGTGGCCGTCAGCACCATCTCTCTCGCGAGCATGGCTAGCGCTGTCTCTTCTACCAGTGTCAGCGCAGTTGCCAGTCCCAGCCTCGAGGATGTGAAGCAGGGTGTGACTACGACGTCCGCAGAACAGCCGACGAACACCAACCTCGAGGAGAAACAGGATGACTCTGTGCCTACCAGCGGTACGAGTTTGTCGAGCCCTTAGAAGCTTCCGACTCACATATATTTTAGTGCTCAAAGACGACGTCCATAGCATCATCGACAGCTTGGTCAGGCCACCGTCGCCCGTTCCAGCTTTCATTCCAGCTCTTGCCTTTATCTCAGAGGAATCCGACCAGAGCATCGGCTCGGCAGTTCTTGACCCAATCATTGTCAAAGATTCCATTCCTCGTGACGCTCAGCTATCCTCCGGATCCTGCACTCACGGATTCGAGGATGTCTTTCATGATGATGAGGAAGATTACGACGAGGATTCCTATTTCGAATCACAGTGGTCTGGGTTCGGGATCGATGATAAGCTAGTCATCGGTGCGTTTGCCCTTCTAAACATAACGCTCGGGCTGACCTGTCGGGCCCAAGGTTTCTGCGACGGTGAGCCTGAAGGCGAGACTCTAGGGATGCACACATCACGATTCCTTTACACTTCTAAGTCGGAGCCTACCATCTCTTCCCAAACCCGTGAAGAATCGGCAGCGATTAGCGTCTCAATCTCCAGCTCGTTCCTCTATTCCAGTCATTCGATCGTCAGAGCACCCGCACCTGATGTCATTCTCGCTTGGGTGAAACAAGCTGCTTTATTCGAGGTCAGATTCAAGCACCATGCGCATGTAGTCCAGTGCACACCAACCAAGTCATTCCATGGCGAGCTCCATCTGGCAGAGGAAGGCGGTTTCCAGCCGCTCAGCGTAGACAATGTTCTCCCGGTCGCTTCCAAGAAGCGCGTCCCTGTCATGTCCTCCTCGGCGTCGGCTCCGTGTCTGTCGCCCACTCCGCCTTCGTTGTACGGCGATCTTTCGACATCGCGTTCGGACTCCATCGGCCTCTCGCTCCGGATCTCGGACATACTCGAGCTTCTCCCAAGCGCGACTTCTCGTAACGAGGAAAGCACAAAGAAGGCTTCGAGTATCCTTCCGAACAGTCGTCTCACCGAACGCCCGCATTCGTCAGCGCACACCGACATCTTCACACCCGACGTCGTCGAGGATGCCACCGACAAGTCCAAGGTCGAATCTCCATTTCCGGACGCTACGCCTGCCAAGTCAACTATAGTCGCAGCATCCAAGTCGATCACCATCACTCCCTCCTCTCTTGGCCTTTCGTTCATAACTTTCGACTCCCCCCTATTCTCTTCCGACGCTACACCTTCTACCCATTCAACGCCTTCTTCAGCTCCGTCGTCGCCCCCACCCACTACACCATCGCCGGATCTCAACCATTTTATCAAGCCCCTGATCGTCGCCAGGACACTTGATGCCGATGCCTCGCCCCGTTCGCCGAGCTCCTTCTTCAAAGTCAAGTCGGAATCCATACGATCGTTCTTCAGCCTTTCTCCGTCCACGAAGGCCGACATCACCCGCACCAAGTCCGGCAGGGTCTCTTCGTTGCGCTCGTTCTTCACGCCAAACAAGACCAAAGATACCCTGTTTTCGCCGGTGAATGCTCCTCGTTGGTCTGCCGACTCGGGTTGTTCCTCGCCCTCAAGTTGCTCGTCTCCGGCGACTCCCGTTAACCGCGCTCGCGCTCGCCTCGTTCCATTCCGAAACAAGCCCACTTTATCCTCGAAGCTTCCCTTCTTCAAGCGTTCTGTTGTTCGCATTTGATATTTTTGCTTCTATTTCCAGCTAGCCTGGACCCTTGTTCTTCCTCGAGTCTGTTTTGATGTTTGCAGTCTTCTCGTCACGCTTTGCTCTGGACTTGTGCCCTAGTGGCACTCGCTCTTTGGCGCTCGTGGATACCTTTCTTTGCATATCTTCATCTTCTTTCGGGAGCTTCTTTGGATACCATGGCATGCGCATATCTTTCGCGCTTTCTTTCGGCTAGGCTTTGGGATACTTCGGAATTGGCATCTCCACCAGCTATGGTTCGGCAACTTCGTCTCTCGGGCATGCACTCGGTGTTGGCATTGCGGCTTGGCATAATATGTTTTTAATATAGGTCTCATATCTACTTGCTCGTATTTTGTTCTCGATACCATAAATGGCAGCTTCTCCTTCGATTCGTTGCTGTTGTTTGATGACTATCGGGGGAACGCAACTCTGCATCCAACATGTAGCGTGTTCTATTCACAAACACCCGTCTTCGTTGTACATTGAGGGCAATGCAATCACGATTGTACCATGAAGAGAGCACCAAGGTGCTTGTCCTTGAATAGTGACTATGCGCCTCAAGATAGAACATATGATGCGTACTGAAGAGCAAAGGGACAATCGTGCTAGAATAACAGCCTGGGCTGTGCTTCACTCTATCGCTCCTATCTACTGGCACGCTTTACAGTTGTGCTCTATATTTGTCTTAGTTATTATGGGTCTGCCGGGATGACGACCGAATGTTAGATGAGGCCAACCAAGCCTAAAATAGCGTCAATCTAGACGCCCAATCAACTTTCTGACTCACTTTATCGATATACCCAATGCATGCAAACGCAGCGTGTCCGCGTCAACACCTTTTGCCCAGTTGCTTATGGACATCGTTTACGACTCTGGCGAGGCCACCATCATCGAGGAGTATCATTCGAGCGTCCAACTACAGCCAACAGCGTCTTGCTCAGATATCTGCAACACGGAGAATACTAGTGGCGCGATGCGCGCAGGAATCTATAGACTTTTCCAGTTTGAGGGAACAAAGACCATGGATCTGGCTGCACGCGATAACAAAACGGTTATAGGTGAGCTTCATATAGAACAATGTTAGGGTAGAACAATACCTAACTGCCACTGATTGTCGTGTAGCGTACGATGCACACCATGGGGACAACCAAAAAGTCAGCACCTGATATATCATAGATTTGCACCTTTCGAAGGTTTAACAGTGTATTCCATATAGTGGGAATTCTTTCCATTTGGAGCTGGAAATTCCATCAAATCCGTACTTTCGGGGACGTATCTTACCTGTGAGACGGTGCAGATGAACGCTCAGGTAATTGCAACGCCATACCCCGTTAGCTGGAGCGTGGAAAGGGTTCAAAGAGACAAAGAGGAACCTACGGTTCGGTACGCTTCACTTTCAAACTTGCAACGCTCATATCTTACCGGCCAGTGTTAACGTCACGTTGACTTACAGGATTATGTGGCCAAATAGCCCCTTGGCGATAACACTAAGCAGTCTTGAAGTCCCAAAGCCCTTGGTGAGCACGCTCACAGCCCAAAAAAGTTACAGAGGAACTGGTCACTAATTTTCCTGCTCGACAGTTGAAGCTGGCATCCGTTGGACAGGCCGGACAAGAATGGACGGCTCTTCGAATTGATGAGCCCACACCAGCCCCTAGCTTCATTGAATCTGGGGCGGCTCTGCAACCTTGCGAGGCATGTGGTAGTCAGCGCCCGTGCATTTTACCAAAGAAATCTCCCGCCGTACACATTGACGGTCCAGGTCAGCACCCAACCATCGAGATTCACTGCCTGGATATTGTCCCAGAAAACGGGACATTGATCTTTACTTCTGCAACATCGAATACAGCAAGTTCATCTACGGTTACTACGGTTACGAAGATTGAGAGGTTCCCGGCCCTAAGTCAGTGAGAATAGGAGCACACCGTATTTACAGCCAGCTGGTTCATGTGATGCCATATCCCTGTGTGCCTATATTTACTACAGCTAGAATTCGAATACATGCGATTCAAATCAGCGATATCATTTTTCCGTTCGTTTACAGTACTTATAACTGTCTTCATCCATATCAGTACACGAAAAACAGAGCAGACCATTCAATTGTCGCTGGCAAACGGCCAATCCGTGTAGCCTTCGGGCGTATGATTGCCAACCAAGTAAAATTTGGCTCTAATTGGGGCGGTCAATTGGATGTCCTCCTTCAAGCGACGGGGTAGATCCGGCTAGAAGATATAGTGAGCGGCGCAACGTAGAGTTTCAGTGGAGAAATTCTGACGTTCGCGATGAAAAGTCTCCCAAATGCAACGAGCCCGCCCTTCTGCTCAGCAGTCTCAAACGCCTTGGGCCGGGTAAAGCCGCCTGCGGCGATGAATGGACGGTCAACCCAGATCTCACGAAGGAAATCATTAGACTCGATTCCCGTTTCTTTAATGGCCGTTTCAGAGCCCTTGATGCGTGGCTCGACAGCGTGGATGTAGCAAAGGTTGCGTTCTTTGATCTTGTTCACGTAGTACGAGAACGTCGTGATTGGGTCGGCCATCCTCATATCTATGTCGGTATGGGTCAGTAAAGGTGATCGTCACAGGAAGGGATAGTATCACCTTGGAACTCGCTCCAGGGGCTCATGCGAATCCCCACCTTGGACGCACCGACTGCTGTAACGACAGCATCAACGACCTCCAACGCAAAGCGCGTCCTATTCTCGATACTCCCGCCGTACTCATCCGTGCGGTCATTGCTGACATCCTGCAGGAACTGGTCGATGAGATACCCGTTCGCGCCGTGGATCTCTACTCCGTCGAAGCCTGCCTCGATCGCGTTCTGTGCGGTAGTCGCGTAAAGTTGAACGTACTCCTTGATTTCGGGTATCGTCAGCGCACGTGGGGGTTTGTTGTGACCTGCGTCCAAGTGTTCTTGAAGTGGGATAGCAGAAGCGCCGACGTGCTCATTCCCCTTGGACACAACGAACTCGGGGTCAGCGGCGCGGCCGAGCGCCCAAAGCTGGCAAAAGATGTAAGAGCCCTTCATATGAACAGCGTCGGTGACCTGGCATGATATTCCCAATGCTGAGCGCCACTCTCAGGACTAATACAACAGGTCACTCACCTCCCTCCACCCCTTGATCTGCGCATCAGTATAGATTCCGGGGACATTAGGATATCCGCCGGCTTTGCTAGCAATGAAGGTTGCCTCCGTGATGAGCAGTGTTCCTGGCGTGCTGCCCCGCTGTGAATAGTATGTTGCGGTTTGCGGGCCAGGAACGTGGTCATCGTACCCTCGAAAACGCGTGAGAGGAGCGAGAACGATGCGATGCTTCAAGTCAAGCTCGCCGACGCGAATGGGCGTGAATAGCGAGGGGGTGCCAGAGATGGTCATGTCAGCGGCGGTGCTGATATGCTGAGAGAAATGGCGTTCGGAACGGGTGTCCGTTATGAAGCGACTGGTCGAGCACCTGGAGCAATTTATACCCAAGATTAGACCGTGAGCTTTCTGACTAACGTGGGCAGCGAATTTTGTGATAGCATACATTTCGTCCGAAAGTGTAAGGCTGATGGAAGTTGGCAGAAGAAGCCGTAGCCATCACTCTTCTATGGACCTTATCAGTCTAATCAAACGTACATCTAAAATTGACTCACCGGAACATCATGTAACGCTTCGCAGTAGTTGGTGTTTTAGGTTTGAATTGGGATGGATTGCAATCGCTCTACGTCGCAGCAGTCAAACGGCTCATAGTGGCCATTTGACAGTAACGACTGTGTGAGATATCAAAATATCAGTCGAATTATAGAGCATACAGCTAGCAAAATGGCGGCTCTGCATATCATCGGAGGCTATGGACAGACATACTCTGTCATGAGAGAGAAGGAAATAGGGAGACATCCAAGATTCGGCGTCGGAGTGTTGTCGCTGAGCGCTGAGTTTCAATGTTCTCTTGGGAAGCTAGTGCGCGACTCTCACGGTGTGATCGCCACTTGACACACTACCACCATGTGGATAATGTCAAGGACATGTAAGATGGCACAAGACGACCACATCCGTTGGAGAGGAACTGATATATTCCACATCCATTGCAACAATCGTCTTGGCCCTCTTCGATATCCACCAGATTTTCTTCCTCGGTCTCACCAGCTTCATCTCCGAACGCTGAAAATTCCCATCTCATGAGAATGTCCTTGCTAGTCGCATCGCGAGCGTAGCGATTCTGATGGGCCCCGACCTATTCAAAAGCGAAATCGAAGTAAAGAAGTCGATAACATGTGCTGAACCATAACGCTAACATTCCTGACATAAAGAATCGTACGAACTCTGGTTCCGGACTGTGCATCTTCATTGTTAACCACTTTCCATCGCTCAGGCTACTAGCCTACTACTGATATTATTCTGTCGATCTCGACTGCACTGGCTTAGTTTCCTGATATACCCATGTCTAATGGCCAACAATGGTGTCATCCATGCTAGACCTGTACGTGTCGGCTGTGGCGGCTGCGGGATCAGCGACACGGAAACTCGACATGTGGCTTGGCAGTGGGGAATCACGAGTTTCCTCGGTAGTCTCGCGCATGCGAAAGAAAATCCGCGCGCTCAGAACACTGTGCATAGTGATCTGCAAACTGTCCAGGTATTCATTGTGGTATGCCTACAATACCAATCAGTTAACGTCTCTGTATCTGATGGGATCAGTGTCGTGCATCACCCACTCACTGGAGATACGGCTGCGTTCAGTATGTTAAACAAGGAGAAACCTGCCTCCCCCGTACATCAAAAATCCGCCGAGCAGAAAGCAACAGGATTATTGCTTACCGGTCATGCACATTATGTAGAAAATGCTTCCTCGATAGACAGTGTTGACGAGCTGTGAATGAGTGGATCGGTGATAGGCAAACCAGCGCCATATTGTGAGAGAGAGAAGTACTAGAGATGGAGTGAAAGTTAAACATTAGACATTAGCATGCACTATGACTCACTTAGCTCGTATACCACCAGAAATCCGTACTGGATAGTGCTCGAACGACCCGTTGAGAAGTTGCATGCATCGGAAACTGATAGGGATAAGTGCCGAACTACAGGTCACCGCTTAAAATATATACGTACGGGTTCCGACTGGCAGTTGCCTTCCTGGGAGTAGATCGCTTACGTAGCTGGTTAGCCCAATAGCAAGACCAAGGAATATCTGAGTTCATTAGCAGCATCATAACTGTCGAGATACAAGGGGTGGCTTACCGCAGCGGTAGTAAGGAGGATGACTAGCAGACGGCGGCTGCAGCCCCAGAATGCCCATATACGCATCATGAGGAGCCCTTAAACAATACTCAGCTATACCGATTATACTAGGGATAGAAATCTGACCTTCGGCTGCAACGATACTCGCTATATGGATATAGTTCGTTGCCTGTGACTGCTTGCACTTGCAGGGGGTCGCGTCAATCCGGCAATCAACATTATTGCGTGGACCATACATACCGACTTAAAAGTCACCGCCTCAAGCGCAGCTTCAGAGCCTTTCACGTTAACGTTTATTTTATGATGGGGCAAATCACGTACCAATGACAGTCAATGCCAACCCAGGAAAAGGAGAATATCGAGCAATGGTAAAAACCACTCGCCCCCAAGTCCACTTTTCACCCCATAACCAATGTATCTGGATCCAAAATGAGTACCGTCGTATTCCTAGGCATGTGCAGCTCACTTCGTGATGAACTGTGAGACAATAATCATATACCTGAATACGTTTCAGTCTTAGGTTTCTTCCGAAATTCGACGGATATGCCTTGCATACCAGGAGAGCAAACCCCGCGACTGCATGACCCCCGTTCAGGCCTTCTTACATCATTATGTCGGTAAGGACTTACGATTTGCATACTGCTCAATTATCGGGCATTAGCCTGAAGTCAAGGTACCATAGGCGAAGAACTTACTGCGCTGATTTGTTCTCCTAGGACTTCGTCGATGAACGCGCTACTGGCCATCGGGGCCGACATCAGACCAAGGAAGCGGAGCTGGGTAGGGAACGGGAGGGAATACTGTGACTTCTCATGGTCTTGTTATATATCCATTTGTCACACGCACTGGTTAATGGCGTTGGCTGTAGTCTGCTCAGGTCGACACAGCCAAGAACATTTCCAAATGAGGGAGAAACTATTTATGTGCAGTCCAAACCTTCTCCAAGGAAAATATTTTTGGCTAGTTACAACGAGCCAATTCAATTGCTGCTTTCCCTACTCAGTGAGGGTTTGGTGGTAAGGACGTCTGCTGCTTCATCTGACGAGGCTGGCTCCTCGTGGAAGAAGCAGAAGGGGTGAGTATGAGTGCGATAAGATGTTTATTATCGACTTCTCCATTGGGGTACCAGAAACGTGGATATACGCAAGAGAGCGTTTTACAAGCTCTTGGACGAGATACGTGAACGTCAGCGCGGGATTTTCCATCCCAATGCCTACAAATATGACTAAGTTTAACGCAGGTGCTCGAGAGAACGAGGTGGACAACATTGGAAAGACACCCAGGGTTTATTCGTATCCTGGTGCGAGAGGTACCGATAGCCTGGATGACGGCATCGACCACCTCGAATGCGAACCTGACTTGGTTCTCTATGCTACCGCCGTACTCATCCGTACAGTTGTTGGTGACGTCTTGTGTAAACTGGTTGATGAGATAGCAAGATGCAGCGTGGATCGCGATGCCATCACAACCAGCTTTGATAGGCTATCGACGTACCTCTTTCCCTTCTATTTAAGCTTCGGTGTATCAACGGTGTATACCCCAGGTACGTGAGCATATCCTCTGGCCTTCGCAGATATGTCAGTTGCAGCGGAAATGAATAATGTTCCAGGAGTGCTGGATCTTTGTGAATAGTAGCTTCTCGCACGGGCCTGGGACGTGATTGGCGTACGAACGAAATCGGGTGAGAGGCACCATAACAACGCGACGCTGCAGCTGCACCTCGCCGATCTGGATGGGTTGGAAGAGAGCAGGGACGCCCTCAGAGTTGGCCATGGTCAAGTGTGAGAGGATCTATCTGCATTGATGCTGGCCATGAGTGCTCGCTTCCTGCTGCACACGCCGCCATTGCGCTGTCAAGTTATCTATCACTCACTTCAATCCTCGGATATTGGCGGGCGCAACAGTGCAGATTTATGAAAACAGTGGGGATAACGACAGAAAACTGGTTGTGCGTCAGTTGGATAATAGCCCTTGGGATGTAGTGCTCACGTTCTTATTCATACATACTTGGTACAGTTTGATACGTATCGAAGTATCATGGGAGGGAGCAAAGTCTGACATGGTGAAATTTGTCAAATAGCCGCAAGCCGGGAGTATTGCGGAACTCGGAACGGACCGAGCCTTGGGCTGTTGACGATAACATCCATGTCCACCTCAACCTCTCTTCCTGAACAAAGCATGTCCCCTGTCATTCATACGGTACCCGTATGATATTAGCCACCCATGGACGACCCAGCCATGTCCATGTCCCTCGAAGACAGAGCTGCGCACTTTGCGGCATCCAGACAGATGTCGCTAAACCTCATCAAGCTCGGCGCAGTCACCCTCGCCGATTATCTCGATCCCTCCTTCCGGGACGACGACTTTCCGACCCGTGCACCACCCGCGACCACTGATGTTGATGCAGGAGATGCGATGTCTTGTGATGCCTTTCCTCCGCCTGAGCAGCCATCAGCGCCTCAGCCTGCGCCGCCTCCAGAACCCCCGCCTCCCGAGCCTCTGGCCCCTCCGCCTCCACCCCCGTCTCCACCGCCCATAATTTTAACTGAAGACGTAAACTCCGGGAAGACGACATCGTATGCGAATGCTATCAACCGCCTGCATGAGACATCTCAGAGACTTTTCGGGAATGTCAACATGCTTGGCTGGGAGTTCATCGAGGAGGGCACTCGGAGTACGTCTTCCCTCCTTTCCGATTATTCCGAACCCCCATCTCTCCCCTTCCAACCTCGTTCGAACGCTCTAATACGCGACCATAGATAAAAAATGCATACTAACTATAACGCACCCATCTGGCGCGAAGCGTTCGTACACCACCCCTCCGGGTTTCGCCAAGCGAAACGAAGCCAAATCTGCGGCTGCGAGCATAGCAATCGATCATGGCGCGCTCGATTTCATCTCACAAGGCGATGCTGATGCAGCCACCAAGGCCGTTCCTCGTGGGCTAATCCTCGCATCGCCTTCCACTCAGCGGGAGTGGCACCATCGACCAGCACCCGGGGCCATGGACGTCGACGCGGCGGTGAGCGGTCTAGACCCTATCGAGGAGATCGAGGAGTGCTGCGTGAGGTGGAGGGCTGGCGTCGTGACGCCTTACTGGGTGGTACTATTCGACTCTAAGACAGGCCACAGTAAGGGTCGACTCATCCGTCTGGCTGTACCATACATGTTGATGTGTCCGTTTAGAACAGGGTTGTGCATTGCGAATATCACTTTCGCCTCACTCCGAGCGCGTATATATGGCGCAACCGGTTTTTTCAAGCTTCCCCGAAGCACAGTCTGCCTGCGCTCGTACTGCGATATCAGAGGGCGCGCTCGATTTCATTAAGTTCGGAAATGGGCAGACGCAACCTGCCTCGCCTTCGCCGTTTGTGCCGATTCATCAAGAGTCCGCGGTTCCAACAGGACTAGAACCTCCGCTTTCCCTACAGCAGTACGTAGATGCTCTCCCACAACCGTTTCCCATATCGCTGGAGGGCAAGACGGCGATCGATTTCAACGTATGCGGTTGGATGAATGCGACTATTCACACAGCACAGGGGAGTCGGTTGACTGCGACGTACATGTACACGTCTTGTGAAACTGCTGGATGTATGCGCCTTCTCTTCCTATTTTATCCTTATCCGATGCAGCGTCGATTTCTAACATTTGTTTAGTGCACGGCTGTTGTCTGCGCTTTGACTATCCCAAGTCCTATCGGGCATATCTTGTCAACCCGCGTTTTCCCAAGCGTGCGGATGCGAAAGCCGCTGCGTGCTACCTGGCCATCTCGCACGGCGTTTTGGACTACATCAAGTCCATCGCGAAGGAGGTTGAGGATCGGGTGACAACCCGCATGCGCAAGTGGGCAAACGAAAAGATATTTCCGGCGTTGACCAAGGCATGTACTATCCCCGGTCAGCCGAAGCTGGAGCCGAAGTGGGAATTTGACAAGGACAAAGGGGGTGAGTAGCCGGCGTGTTCTCGATGTGCACATCGATGTATCCTGCTTACGCTCCCCTTCCCAGCATTTGGTTGCACGTTGACGATTGAACTCTCGCCCAATCCCACCCCGTTCCAGGTCCGAAAATATACCGTCGAGCCGGCTTATCGCACCAAGGCCGACGCGAAAGTGGGCTGCATATGCCTCGCAGCGGAGCAGGGCCTGCTCGAGTTCGTCCGGTTTCGCGGGAGACCCACGCCCGAAAACTACGTCATCGACTACGACCTGTCGAGTGCCCCGTCCGAAAACGTCGGTGAGAAGCGCAAGCGGGAAGATGCAGGCGGCGCTCCAGGGGAGAAGGGGAACAGCGGGAACAGCAAGAAGATGAAGAAGAGCAAGAATGTTAATGGGGAGCGGTGGAATCGTGGTCCCGGCTTCTTCCCGCACATTCCTTATAGTCCTATGCCCGTTCCGATGGCGTATCCGATGATGCAGCAGCCCCTGGCGCTTGGGAGTGACGCGAACATGGGCATGGGCGGCTACGCTGGTCCGTACGGTGTTCTGCCACCCCAGATGTCGGGTTATGCGGCACCGATGCAGCCGATGCGGACGTGGGGGCAGCCTTCGCAGCAGGGGGCGTATCCTGGAGTTGGCCCTTCGCAGCAGCACATTCACAGATCTGCAGAACTTCAGGGGGCAGCTGACGATGATGAAGGGGTCTGGAGCGAGCCGGAGAGTGGTGAGGTCTCTCGGGCAGCCTCGCCTGCGCTATACCCGTATGAAAACCCCACGAAGGGGCGGGAAAGGGCTTCCCGCGAGACAAGTAGGGTGTCCTGGTCAACCTCAAAGTCGGGGTCGACAGAAGACACCCCTGCTTCTTTAAGGCCTGACGGTGTCGGGCACGAGGATGTTCTGATGGTGACCAAAACTGGAGAGCCAGAGGTTGCGAAGACCAATGCCACGACCAAGGTGTCACAAGTGATCATGTTGAATAGTGAGCCTTCGTCCTCTGATACCCACCGGTGACACAGCTGATCTGGGGGTCCCACGCCAGAATATTGCGCGGAACATGGCATTGGACGACCTGAGTACCACGACGAGGAGGTTGGTGACGGAACTGGGGGAAAGAGGTTCAAGGTATGGATAGTGCTGGACAACGAGAAGATGGAGCTTCCGAGGACATTTGAGACACTTGCTGAGGGTCGTGAACGAGTTGCAAAGCAGGTGTTGGCGAGGCTTAAAGGATGCCGAAGCGTCTGAGCTGGTATGTGAGTGAACCATTCTACCTCCGTGATGCCTCGGTACTGGCGGGCAAGGATGATAGTTCGCCAGATGCTGGGACTAAGTTCGCGTACAATACAGAAGCAATGTCCCAGCTACCCCTATCTAAAGATCTAAAGTATCCTCGTCAAAGCATCATATATAAAACGAGATATTGAATTACTAACTAACTGCGGAGAACCGGTGGAGAATACAACACAACGTTGTCGGCAATGGCGAGTGTGACAGCAGAGTGGAGCTCTGTCAACGTAAAGTACAAAGTCTTCCATTTCTCGGAACCGACATAAATACAGTCAAAAGCGCCCTTGCAAGTCAACGACCATCTTCTCTCGTCTCCACACCCCCCACATTCTGTACCCTCTGCAACTCAGCCAACCGCTTATGAAGTTCCCCACCACCACCTATGTCCTCGCGTTCTTCATCGCTCTCGAGCCCGCAGCTATAGCGACGCCGGATACCGACTGCAGTGGGACCGGCACGCCTTGCCAGATTGCTTCTCAGTGCTGTTCGGGCCAGTGTTCGATGGTCAGCTCTCCCTATGTAAGAACCCTTTGCACAACGTTACTGCCTTTCGGACCTGTCTCATATTTGCTTGGTAGACCTGCATCGATTGAAGGGTGTACTGGAAGTCAGCCCATTACTCGGCTAGCGAACGGCTATCGGAGCAATGCGGGCCCACCTTGGGAAAGCGAGCAAGATCTTGAACCGCAATTGAGGCAACATACTTACTGATTTCAAGCAAGAGCCAGTCTACTGTCGTCCGAAGTTCAAGGATAATTAACTTGAAGTACAGACGTTATCTTATGGAGTTTCCTGGCTGTACTTATGTGCAATAAGACCGTGAATGAACAAATGGCGTTGATGTCAGGCGGTTAGGACTGTCAGCATAAAATGAGGGAGGAGCTGTATAAAGCTTTGTCGCTTGCGATGGTGGCACAAGTCTCACAAATGGCCGAGCCACTGAGAAGGAACCGTCCAAATCTCAGCACAGCTTGGATTAGTCAGCAGCCTCAGAAGTAAACAAAGCCACACGCCGTCAACGCGTCGACGGTTGCATGCATCTGCATCATGACCGAAGGCTGGCAAGGAACCTTTACTGCAGATCAGAAACCTTTACCGGCAACATCCGTCTCCCCTGTCCTCTCCTGTCCTATGTAACACATCTTTGACGTCGAAGCTGGTACCTGAACAAGATCCGCCCACACCGTTAGGCCGCTGTAGCCCATCCACCGCAGATTCACCGAGGAACCATCCAGGGCGCATGTACCCAGTCTGACGGTCATGTTTGCGGTTATCATCCGGCTCTTATCTTCAGCATCCGAAATCTCCACAATAACGTACTACTTGATGACGAACGCAGTTAAGGGAACATCCCTTCACTTCTAGAACTATGAGGCACATTTGTCTGTGCCGTGACGACCACCGCCAGAATTCCGAATCACGCTCTGAAGCGAAAATGCCGCACCAGTGCCCACCTAGTCTCCCCTAGGCAGACCCTATATCAGAAGACAGTAGTGCCCACCTCCTTTTTTCCGAGCACTGAGTCGAAGCGTTCCGTCCTATCTCTTTAACGCTCCCGGATTATTGTGTTGAAAGGGCTGTTACTGGGTATATACCCTAGCATTTATCCAAGTCCTTCATGTTGTGCTTACCGAGGTTCACCAAAGACTTTAACTTGGCTTGATTCAACGCGTACATCAATTCACGGTACTTCGGTGCCTTGATTTACTTGTTTTCGGGACTGACAGGTAACAGGCAACATCATCTCACCATCGGCGATCATTGATATACCGACGGCACACAGGAAACCACATGACTCCCGAGCGCGAAATTTGCGTTCGTTTGTATCCGTTCACTGTGATCCTGATGCTCTCGCCTTGCTGGCATTCGACGTCTTCGACGATTTTATTCACAGAGCACCGGAACAGTCATGCTACCGGGCGACACTGGCACAACGAGAATTCCGACATGCTGTCTTTGAGCCAATGAGAGTTCCTGTTCGTTTAACGGTATAAATGGGTCGGTTTTCTGTCCTTCGAAAACTATCATTCGTCTCTTCCTCGTCTCTGCTCTCTTCTGAATTCTCAACGATGAAGTGTGCTATCCTCGCTGTTGCTGCCGTCGCGGCCGTCGCCAACGCCACCTCGCTCAAGGTCGTCAACAAGTGCAGCGAGAGCGTCATGCTCTTCTCCCAGTCCTCGTACGGCACGATTGACAACAACGTCAACGTCGCCAAGGGCGCTACCCGTGATATGCACATCTCGAGCAACTGGGACGGCGCCATCAATGTCGGCACTGGGTGCAACGGTGCCAACTGCCAGACCGGCGGCCCCACATGGGACGGCCAGACTCCCTTTTCTCGCGCTGAGTTCAACTTCGTACGTGAATGAAACTCTTGTGTGGCCTTGTCAAAGTCTGATCGTCTGTAATATATAGTGGGCTGTCCCCGGGAAGGTCACCTACGACATTTCCTTGATCTACGGCTACAACGTCGGTATGGAAATCTCCGCCGGCGACGCGTCCTGTGACAAGTACGCCTGCCACATTACTAGCGGCTGCGTAAGTTCCATACGTAAAGTCCATCCAACCGCCTTGCTGACATCACGAATATCTAGCCTATCTCGGGCCCTGGTGGCTCTTGCTTCTCGCCGTGCTGCAGCACCAAGGCTGCCTGTGCCGGCGGTGCTCTGCCCGCTGGTGGAGGAGGCTGCGTCAACAACGCTGGCCCTGGCCCTCACTCGCCGTTCTACTACAACACCTGCCCGAACGCCTACGCGTTCCCCGACAACGATGGTGCTGGTACGTGTTACGCATCCCTGTAGAACGCGTATGCTTCGATTACTGATGACGCAAACAGCTGGATACAAGCCCGCCGACAACGTCGACTTCACGTGCGGCAACACTGATATCACCCTCACGCTCTGCCCAGGCACTACCTCGCACATCCCCAAGTAAAAGGTTTAGGATAGGAATTTACACGTTGGGATCTTATTTTTGGTACTTATTTCTGGTTCGCGGCTTATTCAAAGTGGAACAATAAAACGATGATTGTCATTGTGTCAACTTTAGCATTTAAAATAAACCTAAGTAAGGAATGCGCGCATCTTCGCCATGTACTCCTCATCAGAATTGCTCTCATACCTCGCGGCTATCCACTCATCCCTTTCCGGCCCCACAAAGTATCGGTACTTCGTCGTGCCATCCGTCGCCGCCCCCCAGATAACCTTCGCAACGTCCTCCGAAGAGGTAACAATCCCACCATTCATACCCGCAAACACGGCCTGCAGTTGCTTCGTAAACCCTTCATACGATGTCAGCTCCTCGCCCTGCCCATCTGGCCCGCCACCAAGTGTCCCGCGCGGGACCGCCATCTCGCTCCTGGAGCGGGTTCCAAACTCGGTGCCGGAGACGCCGCCGTGCGGCACGACGGTCTTGACAAAGATGTTCTGCGACGCGAGCTCGTACGAGAGCGCCTCGCCGAACCCTTCGAGCGCGAACTTGGACGAGTTGTACATCGTGATCGTCCCCATGCACACGAAGCCGGCGCCCGAGGAGATGTTGATCACGCCGCCGTGCCCGTTTGCGCGGAAGTGCGGGAGGAGGAGGCGTGTGACGTCCATGACGCCTGGGTGATAATAATTTCGCGCAATCAGTCAACGGCACTTTCCAGCATTCAAAAAAGGAGGGATGGTTCGCTGCTCACCGAAAAGGTTCACGTTGAACTGTTTCTGGACAGTCTCCCTTGAGATAGCCTCGAAGAGCCCCCGCTGCGCGTACCCAGCGTTGTTGATGAGCACGTCGATGACGCCGAACTTCGCAATGACGGCGTCAATAGCGTGCTTGATAGAGTCGTATTCCTCGAGGTCGAGACGCGTGACGAACATGCGTGGCGAGTCAAGCTCGGTGAGTTCCTTGCACTTGGATGGGGTGCGCATCGTCGCGGCGACATTCCACCCTTGCGCGTGGAAGTACTTTGCCGTGGCAAGACCGATGCCACTCGAGGCGCCAGTTATGAAGACTGTTTGGAGTGTGGTGGACATGGCGGTTATGCTTGTGCTGGTGTGAATGGAGAGGTCTGTCAATCGTCGCCTTTATATGCTTTACGGGACCCTTCATGATCAATTTTCCGCATAAGCTTGCTCACCCACATACCCGTGCATGACTCATTTATCGGTCATAGGCGTAATGGAAGGGCGTCAGCATGTATGGTGTGCTGTGAGACTGATTAGACCTATCAGTCCAGCTGGACGTGCGTCGCTGCTTCGTTCGCATCCGGTTGCACGTATGCCTGTGAGCTGAGTCGCGCTAAGCAGTAAGTAGCGAGGAATTGGCCGTACAAACGTCAAGCCACCAAGAAGTTCCCATCGATATGTCTTGAGCGCACGTAATCGCAATGTTGAGGACTAAGACTGCTTAGGTCTTTGACTATGGATGCAGATTGAGGTCTAGTTGTTCGAGCTGTGGTTGGCTGACGCCTCCCAAGTTGACCATCTGGAAGGAGTAAGAAGCGAGAACCTGATCCGACACCTGTCAAACTTAAAATAGACTGTCCGTTGATTTGTATACCTTTATTTGTTCTCAAGGCTGTGCAATCCTGACATAGCCTATCTCGCCCAAAAGGGCCGTTCACGCAAATATGTTGCAGGACGATAAGGTGCTTGAATTGTGGTACCCGAATCAACATCAGATGATGCTTTCGCTATACTAGTAGCACAGAGATGTTATGTGGACTGTCGAGACGCATAACTTCATACTACTAAGCTCCTCTCAAGCGCTTACACGCTGCCCACCTTGTGCACCTTCACCCAGTCCCCAAGACGCACGACCCCGCTCGCCGTCGGAACGCCATTGCACCCTAAACACGGCTTGTGCATCTTCGCAGACAAAAGACCCGTCCTATGTTTCATGAGCACCTTATACGGCACCGCCTTATCGCGTTCGCCTAGCTCTGGAGACACATTCGGCAGCTAGAGGAGCGCCGGAGTGAGCTTGTCTGCAGAGAGCCAGAAGACGGTCCTATACGCACCAGGCAGCGGGGAGACTTTGACACAAGGTGGATTGTGGGTGGCACCTCCAATGTCTTCTCACCGTACGCGTCCGTGGGGCTAGAAGGGTGTATGGAGATTTCCTGAATGATATCTTCGACAAAAGGTGCACCCGCGCCACCAAGAATGATGTTTGGCCGGAACCTTTGCTCGCGATGTTATTAAGTGAGCAACAGGTTGAGGAACAGGAAGCGTACCTTTCGATTTGTAGCTCCTCTTTCTCCCACTTCTTCTCGATACCCTGCTGACCGACCATCTCGCGCACCTTGCCCTCAAGAGACGTCACGCTCTCCTGAGACAGAACCAGCAACGGATATCCATCGTGGAAGACGAACGATGCGTCGAGGTTAGGGTGGCGCGCCGTTGGATTACATATACTTAGACGCGGTCCTTGCATGATGAGTAGGATCGGGAGACCGAGGAATGCAGACAGGATCTCGGAGGGCGTGCGTGACGCGGGCGAGACGCTCTCGCATACGTAGCCTGTTACACCTTTCGCGAAGTGGTTGATGTCTTCTACACTGATGGGTGCGGACGTGAGCACCCGTACATATGGGCTGGCATCGTGTCTCGGCGATAATAAGACGTAGTGTGAACACTTACACTTCCCAGCTCTGCAAAGTCTCCTCGTCCGGGGTCAGCGGAACCTTGAAAGACTCGGTGCCTAAGTCGGCAGGGAAAGAAACCTCGAGGACTCCTTGATCCTTGTGAATCACAGGATGGATAAGAACCGTCTAACAGCGGATAAGTGAATGCGAGTGAGTATCGACTTTAGTTTGGTTGACGGAAACTCCCGGCTGACCTTAGCGAACTCTCGAGCTGTGACCATCTTATGATTGTCTTCCTTGACAATCACCCATGTCCTGTCATACTGAAGCAAAAGTAGCTGAGTAAAGTCAGTTCAGTGAACACGCGGGGAGAGCATACTTCAAGGCCTAAGGGTGTATAGGCAACCTCGGTAACTGAAGTTCCCCTACAGCTCTAATAGGAACATGCGTTATAGTCAGGATAACAATGCTTGGATGCGCTCGCGAGGAGCGCACCTTGATGGGATGGACAAGGAGCTTAGTCACGCGTAACGCGGAGAGATCGAACTGGCCGTGGTTGACCGTATCAATAGCAGAAGCGCTCTTGCTTACGGTGGTCGTTGCTATCGGTGGGTGTCAGGTAAGCGAACAGTCCGCCAGAGGAGATCCCTCCGTCAAGAGATAAGGACGGGGCGGAGATGTGCTATGATATAACTAAGGCTCAGGGGCCCAAGATAGCGAAGCTAATCGATCACGCACCCGTAAGGTTGACCTTCCCCCGATTTATCCCCTTCGAAACCATGTACAGCGATCCAAGAGCGAGGGCTGTGAGTAGGAGAAGCGCATTCTGCCTGATCGTGATGGAGAGGTGGGCGAGGGTGTCGCTACGGGAGATCAACAGCTGAGACATTTGGGAGTAGATGAAGGGACTTCTTTAGTGCGCTGCTGAAGTTGAGGTGAGAGGAGAAGGGAGGTCTTGATCTTGGAAAGTTGAGGATTTATAGCGCCCTTGATGGCGGGCCTCCGTCGCGGGCATTGTCCGGAAATTACGATAAAATCTCACTTCATGTAGTGACTCAGCGTTCACCCTCGAACCCTGAACAATGACATGCTTTAGCGCTGGTATGGCGTGTGGACCTGATGAGCATGTGAAAGAAAGATGCACATTGGGTAGCGTTTGAAGACAATGAAGGTTGTCCAGCCATGAGACTCATTGAGCGTTTAACGTAATGTTGCGGGACGTGCAAAAGCGCCTACAAACCTTCGGTCCGGATCCCGGCTGAACCTGTCGGAATATTCCGAAACTCAGCTAACATGCCGTTGACCACCGCATCGCGAAACCTCTGCAGACCGCGATTGCAACCAGTCCCGGTGTCCATCCCGCTACATTAATCACAAGCTAGACGTGATGGTACACGGGATGTCTGTGTTCAACGAGTCAACGGCAACCCAAAGGAGAGTAGCCTTATGTGTTGACATGATGGAGGGGCTGCCTCAGACTGTGCGTAGCCCATGACGTCGATAATAGGTTCCACCGTACATGCATACATAAGGGACTCTCGCGAAAGCACGCCCATATCCATTGCGAACCCCTCCCTCTACTCGCCCAGCCATGCAAGACCCCAAGCAGGAAATCACCGGCGTCATCACCGACCTCACCAGTGCGACGTCCGCTCCAGCGCTTGAGCGCACCATCAACACCTATTTCACGCCTGATGCCCGCTTTCTCCATCCGCTCTGCCAGACTACCACCCGCGCAGGCATTTTGGGGGTATACGAATGGTACCGCATCATGAGTCCTAACACTAAAGCAGAGGTGTTGAGCGTCGGTGAGTTATAGGGTCTCGTTCGACCACTGCTTACCGGGAAGACTTATGGCGCCCGTCCGCAATAGTATACGACAAGGAGCTTAACGTCATCATCTTGGAGATCGTTCAGCAGTTCCGGATCTGGTTCAGCATCTTCCCCTCTGCCCCAGCCCGGTGCGTCTCCTCTTGCATCCAGCGTTGTATGTCACTCATCCACGCTGCACACACAGACTCAACACGCGCCTTACTCTCCGCGAAGTCAAAGGACTATACTATATTGCCCAGCAAGAGGACTTCTACCATGCAACTGTGGGTTCCGACGTCTCTCGACGTCTCTGATCAAAGCTGAAGTTGTAACAGGATATGATGGCGTTGCTCATGGCACCCCTCGTTCCCATTGTCCGTTTGATACTGGCATTCGCAGGTTGGGTGTGTGGCGTCAACGCTCTGCTATTCACGTGAGTCGCTTCCCCCCCACGCGTCATCGTAGCGGCTGCTGACTTCTAGTCTTTGATAGGCTGGTTGGTCTCACGGGAGGGAAGTACGCCGGGGCGAACGTAAGCCTGCAGGCCGGGCGCATCTTCGGAGGACTCGGCGGGATCGACGTAGCGTATGCAGAAACTAATCAATCAGCAAAGTCATACCTACTTCGTCAAGGAAACCCAGCGAATGCTGGTGTTGGTGACGACTTGCCCAGGCCTGACGCGCCCACTGACACGAAGTAGACTCAGTCTCGTAAACTAGGTTTCGATCTATTGCGCAATATACTTTGACTCGACGGATTGCAAAGCCTGTCTTAAGGTGGCACCTATCTTGTGTCACTCGCCGCAATCCTATGACTTTCGTCCACTGCCGCTTGCTCTCAATTCTCCTTGCTGACTGACGGCTTATCATACCAGTCTCTGTCGAATGGGACCGGATTTGCGCGTTATCTTCCCCCTAGTTACTTCGACAATAATGTTCGAAGTCGAGCAAGATTCCTTGTGTTGACGTAGCAGATAGGGGTCTCACTTCTCATATATCAGACTTCACCGAAAGCCTCCTAGCTTCATTCTACCATGCAAGACCCCAAAACCGAGATCGGAAAGTTTCTCAAGAACTTTGCACTGCGCCCTCGAGCTCCAGGCTTGAAGCGCTTATCAATGGGTATTACACGACGGATGCACAGCTCATCCATCCATGCGGGATAGCGACATCGCGCAACGGTATACTGTCGATATACGAGCTGTATCGGCTGCAAAGCCAGCTTATTGAAATCGAAGTGTTGAGCGTCGGTAAGCCACTCTCACTGGTACCGGATCTACCTGGAGATGTGCTGGGCTCAACGTCCCCTTGCGTTCTGCGTTCAGTTTATCAGAGTGATCCTAAAGTCAACGCGTTGTTTATAGAGGTAATACAAACATACCGTGTCTTCTATGTTCCTTTCAACTGCGGACCTACTCGGTGCGTCTCTATCACATTGACCACTTCGAGTGTCTATGTTGCGCTTGATACATGTACTTGTCCTAGATTGAATGTGCGCGTCACCCTCCGGGAGTCCGATGGAAAACACTACATTACCAAACGGGAAGACTACTATCACCCTACGGTAGTACGCGATTGTCCCCGTCACGAGTCAAGTTGAGCCCGAAACAGTGGTCGTAGGACCTCATGGTACCATTTGTCTACCCACTCGTCCCCCTGGTCCAGTTGTACCTGGCATTCGCGGGCTGGGCTTGCTCCGTCATTGTCTGGATCTTCGCGTGAGTGGTGTGGATTCATGGTGTATTGTGGCACAAAGCTCCGCTTCCTCCAGTCTGGCCAGTATGGTCGATTTCACCTGAATTAAATGGGGCTATTCGACAAATGGATTTGACCATCATGCTGCGCCTGTTCACTGGGGAGGAGTTGGCCCCGCCTGGGAGGAGTGTGTGGACCTTCGGGCGAGCGACAAACATGCTTGATGGTGATGATGCAAACGGTTGGACGTAGTGAGCCCTCGTCTTTGAGTAGTAGTTGAGCATTCCAGCCAGGCTAGGTATATAGCACGTTTTCAACGTGCACTAAATCCAGCTGGATCAGTCATAATGATATGTTTCCTCCATCACAAAGAGTGCATCCGAGTCAAGTTAGGGGGTGAGTTTAAGGCGCTGTGTGATGCCGCAAGACGATCTGATGGCCTATCACAAGCGCGCCGAAAGAGGTAATTCAACCCCTGACCTCCGGTGGAAACGGCTGATTACGCTCTTGGTTGCGTGCCCTGACTTGGTGATGGTAACAAGCGCGGACGTGGTGGTGGGCTAGTACATAAAGGACTGTGGTTCGGTGGATTGATGATGGCGTCGATCCACCATCTCAGCCCCAGTCCACTAGCACCATGTCCGAACGCCTCGTCATCTACGACAACAAGGTGCGCAGCATCATGATTCGCACTGCAAAACACAACCTACATTCATCGCAATGTCTGAATACTGCAGGGGAGCCCATATTGTCAACGCGTTAGTTCACGCTTGAATCGAGGACCATATACTACAAGGCTCTGACGGTCTGCTCAGGTTATGATGGCGTTATATGAAACCAAGGCGAAGTACGAATACCACGAGATCGACCTCGCAAGCATCCCGGCATGGTATAAGGAAAAAGTCAATACGATTGGAAAGGTGCGTCCCTTCTCTACCCACGAATCATCCATACGCGGTTTCTTCATGGTCACTTCAAGGTTCCAGGTGCAACATACGGTGGCCCCCCAGCGCCCACCGATGACCCCTCCCCAGAATCCACCAAGCTCGCCGAATCGCTCGCACTGATCGACTTCATCGGCGAGCTCTACCCTAACTCGGGTCTTGTTCCGAAGGACATCGTCGAGCGCGTCAAAGCACGCCGCTTTATCAACAGCGTCGGCACGCTCTTCGCGCCCTCCATATTCGTGTGGTATGCCCGCGGCGCGCCCTGGCGCGAGATCGTCAACACCGCTCTCGCTGTTCAGACGCTTCTCCCTGAGAAGGGCGACTGGGCCATTGGCGAGCAGTTCACTAACGCGGACATTGCGATTGCGCCGTTCGCGACGCGTCTGAGGGTGCTGTATAATACGGGGATCGGCAACTTCCCGCCGCAAGAAGCGGCGCAGCTCAAGGCGGTCATGGAGGCGCCGCACCTTGCACGCTTCAATGCGTATGTTGACAGGATTGAGCAGCGGGAGAGCTTCAAGGCTACATATGATGCGGTACGTATTTCACAAGGCTGGGTGGGACGGGGACCTGATCATACTGTTTGCTTCCGCCCTTGTAGGAATACAACCTTGCCATCTTCAAGTCGCGTGCGGCCCATATCAAGCGGAGAACCTAATATCCGTCCGGAGTCGTTCTCGATATTTCTATCAGAACCTAGGATGAGTCTGTAGTGACCTTCTAATGTATAAATATTACTGTGACGCCGGAAGTTGACAATGTGCGATGGTACTGGGCAGTGGGGCAAGCATCTGGAGCTTTTTCTAGCTTCTGTTCTTTTTATGTACCATGCCCGATAGTTCTATGTCAAGCTTGGAGTCCATCGCTACAGGAGGGAGATTCGCTCTGGATATCCTCACTGGCACGTCTTGACCCCTGAAGCTGAAGGATAGGATAACACGCGGCCCCACAACTGAGCTACAGATTTGCTGTAGTATCACGCTGACCACGTTCAACCCCATTGCAGGATACTATACATGCACGGTTAGCAGAGCATTCGGATGAAAGCGATGTAGCAGGGGTTACCTCATTGAGGCCTGGGTCGGCCCATAGAATTGCGCCGAAAATCATAGGCACAGAAGATACGAGAAAGAAGACTGCGTTGTCCCTTATGAGAACGACACGTAAGTCATCTCCGGTCCACAACTTCCAGGTATGCCGCTGTCGAGTCTCTTTGAGATACGTGGCGTAGCATGATAGCGTCAACATGAGAAATATGGTTTGGAAAAGCACGAAGGTCAACTTTGTTACAGACATGACCCATTTAGGGAGATTTAGTCGTGTAATGCCAAAGTCGCATGCATGGAAGTACAGCATGGTAGTTTCCACGACTATGAATATGTCAAATGTCGGCTAGTAAATGAAGTTATAAGGATTAGTGGAGGGCATGTCAGCTTACTGGGTATTCCACGGAACAAGACGATCAACAAGATAATCATCAACACTTGTTCCACTAAAAAGCAAGCGATCATAAAGCGTAGCACTTTCCTATCTGCGTTGTGCAATACGTAAAGTCTCATGATCATAGCACCTTTAAATTTGGCTGTTAGCATATACCTGTCGCTGACGACATTATACTCTTGGGATTCACGCTTAGAAAGGGTGTGCGATACGCTGATTGCGCTCAGGTATGATTTCTCGCTTCCTTTATACTAGTAAATACATTAGGAGTACTTCTGTAGCTCCTGTACTCGTATTTAGCTTCTGATTCTCTAATAAATAGCTTCTGCTTTACCGAGCCTTGGCCCGGGACTTGTGACTCGTCTGGTGGTCTATCCACCCATCTCGTGTCTTATTATCTTATCTCGGCATCGGCCGATTACGTGAACACGATGACAGGCTCACGAATTCAACATATACAAACACGTACATTGTAATGCGGCAAGGGGAGCAAGTAGAGTTATTTCGCCTATCACCCAAGTCCCGTAACCTATTGGTCAATAATAATATGTCAAGGTTTCGAGCTCTTAGAAAGGTAAACAATGCGATACATACACCTGGAAGTTGGTTCAATTACCCACAACACAGCACGTATCATACATGAACGTTTGAACGCTGAGCGCTGAACAGTCTAGCTTTACAAAACGTACGTCTATAAGCGATTGATGAGGTGTTCCGCAGCAACAGATCAGATGAAAGTAGAGCTCACAATGTCTGATATGGGTATGTTCATGTTGTTCACTTGAAGAAGGATCATTATTTGACGGACTTGAGTATTGCAAAAAGTGCTTACGAGCAAACATGCTGCAAATTCTGAATCACTTCGGGTTTGATACGTAATAAACAATCTTGTACTTACATGGCACAAATTAGGCCACCATAGCGCAGCTATCATCTCCAAATAAATTATCAGGCTCACGTCACAGAAATGCAGTCTCACACTGCCGTAAAGTAAAGCCGCTGATGATAGTTGCTTAGAGAGCTTTTTCGGCAAGGGTGTGCCATCAGTGATGGATAAGACGCCTAGACAAAGACAATCTACACACCCAGAAGATTTCGACCTGATTGATAAGCCCAGTCAGATGATTCAGTACAGCGAGATGAGGTTGGGATGCGTACCTCTTCGTCCAGACAAAGCACTGGCAGCTAAAGCGTGAACGTGGTACACTTACTTAAGAAGAATAAATTCACCGTAGTCATACAATGCAACTGCTAATGCTATGGCTGCATGGACGTACAACTTAGTTGGCGGAGTCATATCAACATAGAATTACCTACCGTAAGTATAGCCTGACATTTGCAAGTGCAAGAATGCTGAAGTCAAAGCGTCCGCCATATTAGAGCTACTGGTAAAGCGTGTGCGAAATCGCTTGGCAGACGACTGAGGTGTCGAGTTGGCCACTGACAGGTGCATCCTGAGTTACTCATAAAGACCCCCGCTTTTAAATGCGTGGCTTTTGCGAGCTGTGCAGATATCGAAGTCATCGTTGTCCATTTTACAACGCCTTGGCAATAGAAGCATAATCTCATTGCTATGATCTTGATTGATTCCCAGAATCAGCTCTGTTCACAGCATTTATGCGCCTTGCTTCCCACGTCGGCGCTGGTGGCCGAATGTAAGGCGAACAAGCTTTTTACGGTTTAAGAATAATCGCTGTACTTCGGCTAGTGTATTCTGAATGCACATTGAGATCCAATGGGTATAGATGAAAGGCAGTATGTTATCGTACGTAGCTATTCTCTACTCAAACGACAAGCGTAAAAGAGGCGCATGGAGAAATCAGATTTGCGATGTTTAACACATTGACGCAGGGTTTGATTTGCACAGCTAGTACCCACAAACCTACGACGCGCGTTGGACATTACGAACTCCGTAAGCTGTATGCCAAGCAGATGCATCTTGTGCATGCAATGTGTTTACTCCGGCGATAGACAGTAAAAGCGCCCATGCACAACATTATAGCGGATTTTGGACAGCGTTTGCCTAGTCACAGAATGACGAGGGCTAAGTATAACGCGGCGTAGGCCAGCCGATCGGTGGCAGGGAACGATAGTACTTTCCGCATAAGGGATCCTCTGCTCGTTGACTCAACGTTGACTAGTGCTAGACAAACTCGGTCTCGTTGAGGACTTCAATGTTTCAAATTTAATGTTAAACCGCGATGTCTTGCTTTCGAAGACACTTTATATTGTAACACTGCCCTCAGGAAAACTGCACCAGCTGAAGATGACCTCTGAACTGAATCCGAGTGCCGCCTGATCGTGTTAAATCTGGATCCTCGGCCACAGTGGCTTCGGCCCGCATGTCGAGCTGCTGACTTGAGCGCCAAACGTAGGGATGTAATCATTCCCAGTCCTAAGGGGATCGATGTCAATGATAACGTAAACTGCTTTACGATACATCCGCCATAGTCTCCCTATGCACAGCAACTTCCAACTCGAGTCGATTCTCAATGCGATTATCTGACATGTTCAAAATTGCGTCCCCGGCTTCCCTTCGCATCCTCATGAAACCAACATGGTTCTTGACATTAAGAATGATCCGAGGTCCAACCACCGCAGCCCAAAGGGCTTGAAATACAACGTCGTAGTAGGCCATTCCCACCTGAGTCATTGAAAGGTCAGTGGCCTGCATGGGCTTTTTGATCGGCCTTACATGTGAGCTCGGTGCTGATAGGACTATCGGTGTCACAAGCGGGAGTGCAACTCTGATGATTCATCAGCCCGCTGAATCGCAGAGGACTGACTCTGAGAGAACATACATGATGTACGATGCAATGTTATCTCGGATAAGGATGAGTCGGAGGTCTCTCGACGCGAACCAAGCTTCCAGTGAAAGTGGAGCCCATCTTTCTTTGAGGTAACAGAAGAGAGAGTACAGGGTCAGAGCCACCACCACAGTATGGAATGCCAGAGTTATGGTATTGCTAATGAGGAGGATCCGCTGCGAAAAGGAGGGGAACGTAGCTGTGCAAAAGTGCACGCAATGCCCTTGTTCCGGTATGCCAAATTCTGCAACTGAATAGAATATGAGGCGAAAGACTTTATATGAAGCAAAGCTGACACATACCCCCAAAGTTGCGGTAGGTTAACGCCACCGATATGACGATGACCATTTGCTCAATGACAAAGCTTCCGAGCAGAAGAAACAGTATGCGTTTCGATTTTTGAAATAAAGCATAAATCCGTAGGATCATCGTCCCTAATCAAGGTCAGAATTTTCTCAGTAGCCTAGCCTAGCTCTCGAAATCATCTCACCTTGTAAAACGCATACGATCAGAACCCAATATATCTCCCATATGAGCCACGTTGCATAACCTTCTGATAATTTAGGGGAGGGAATATCGAGAAGTAAAAAGTTCACGTACATCTAGAAGTAAGAAGCGATATTACGTAGTCAATCAAAGCGGAAAATTCACCCTCACGTCTGTTAGAGGCACGTAAGCACGCGTTAATATGGGATACAGAAATTAACTGACCGTGTACGAGGATGGAACATATGGGCCCGACACTACATTGATATTCTAGTTCAAATGAACTGCCCCTAAGCTGAAGTGACGTACAAGCTGAAGTGCTGAAGACATAATTGGAATGTCAATTTCTTATGCATGAATGGGATGCTTACACGACGTAGAGAAGTCCCAGGTATCGGAGCTTGCATTACCCCGCCCAATCAGAATGTTCTCTCTAGGTCACTCAAGTAAAAAATACTTACAAGCATATAGAGGCACGACGCTAGTGAGAACTTCCTCTTCTGCAATCATAGGGGCTTTTCAGCGACATTTTATCAGCCGGTTTGCATGACTTACCCATATGGCTTCAACCTCAAGGTTATTGACAGAGTTATTTTGGGGAATATCAACTTCGACGTATGGGGGAACATACCTCCTGCCCAATACACAGAACTACACACAAATGTCGTCTTAATGCAAGGATATATCGCATAAAACAAGTATACGAACTATAGTCGTGAACAACGATAGTCATAGCAATGCCTACATATTGATGGTGAATGATAGAGAATGTGATGCAGAAATTTAAGTGCACATACAATAAGCATATTCAGCCCGAAACAGTATATCAATCGCGCGAAGAGGCGGCACCGGCATTTGCGATGGATGACAGTAGCTTAACAACCTGGCAGGTCGTACTGCGGTGAGCGAAGAGGGGGCGAAGATGTAGGGATCTTGAATGGCGCTCATTTGTACAAGCACGTTCGGAGATCTGCGCCGTATTTGATGGTGCGAAGCTACTCCGTGCACCCATACAGAGCAGCGCCGCCATTGCATTGCTGATGTTCTTGTCCCATGCGTAAGGAAGACTGTCATATGGCGGATATCTCTGGGCACAACACCGCCGATAAGTCAGTAAGCGGTATTTCTCCGCGAAAGGACTGTAACATGTGGTGTCTATTTGATGCCCGAAAGTTATGTTTAGACACCCTGAGCATTTGGAACGGCGTAATGCACAGCAATAGGTCATGAAAGCGATGTCGCGTTTCATGAGACTGGGGAGCCATTAGCTCGTTCGAGACATGTGCCAAGGTGCTCTGCAGTATTGGAAATCAGGGTCTATGAATGCAGCCCATAGGCTTTAATTTGCTTGTTTTCGACTTCATGGCGGGAGGATGTATACACCTCATACTATCTCATTCCTGGTGACGAAGACAAAGAAAATCCAGTTTCCAGAAATTCCACCACCATTCCATGACTGACGACTGCTAACGGACTCCTCGTCAAGCACAGCACACTGGCAGTAATTAATATTGAGAAGACTGGGGCTCATCGATGACGGAGATCAACAGCATAACACATCACAGGTGCTAGAGCGATGAGCACTCTATAATTGGGCAAGGCGTGGAAGCTTCGGCTTCAAGCCGAGAAATACCATGGCCTCAAACCTAGTGTTGATGCGGATTTGCAACAAGTATCAGCAGGGGCTCGTGCATCGTGTGCGACTCAAGCTGGCTATCATGAGGCCAAATCGCTGATGAACCAAAACAAAGAGATTGCGCACAACCATTCTTGGTGATATCATGAGCGACCGACTATCCAAAGACAGTGACTCACATCCGGCTACTCCGAAGAAGGGTATGACTTGGGTATGACACAACTTGAAAGATGTTGGCAGACAACGCATCCCCAGCTTATTCAACGAAAACGAAGGATACACAAACCGTTGGAGATGTACCTCGTGGCAGAGCATGGTGCAGAGTCCGAGATAATCATCGATAATGGCAGCCACGTATATGAGAGGAAAAGCAATCCCACGTGACCTAAGCGCGTTTGACTGATCCCAACGCGTCCACCTGCACACTAGTCAATCATCTCCTTTACTCGTCAACAACGATGTCTCGCACCTGGTCCACAAAGCACAGACCCAACCATCAGGCCCCCTCGACGCCTCGCACTCCCGCCTCCTCCCAATCGGAGAGGTTCTACCCTCCATCGTACTACGCAGAGGCCGCCGGTATCCCTTACCCGCCGACTCGTCCGGAAGCAAGCGAACGACAAGGCCGGGGATTTAGTCCTGTAGATGCGCCCTCAGGGACTCCACATGTCAGACGCAGCAAAAGTACGCATCACTCCCCGTCGTCATCGTCGTCGAAAGAGCAACGCCGGAGGAGTCGCGCTAGCCCCATCGATACGATAGAAACCCAGTTACTCCCTACCCTCAAGGACACCATCGAACGTATGACAAGACCACCTTCACAGATATCTATGGCTGCCGAAGAAGACATGGACGAAAGACCCTTGGCCAGAGCTCAGTCGGTGGCATCCAAAGCGTCGAGCGCAGCATCATCGAGTTATCTTCAAAGGCCACATATCCCACCCAGACATCCAGACCGCAAACCTACTAAACGAGAGTCGCGTGCTCATTTCCATCACGAGGAACATGTTCCTAGCAACTCGCCGATTCCCCCTCCTACCACGCCTACTTCTCTCCGTACAGGCCGACTAGCGTCAAAGAAGCTCCCTTCAACGTCGTCCGAAGAATCAGTACCCCGGAGAAATACATCGTACGACCAGTCAAAGATAGCAAGCAGCGTAACCAGGAAGTCAGGGAAGAAATGTAGTGCAGACGAGAAGGCGGAGAAAACGCCCCAGATGTCGCTTATTGGATCGCCGAGGAAGTTCGAGCGCATGAGATCCCAAACGGAACCAGCCACCTTTACCACTCCTAAATCCACCAATCCACCCTCTTTCATCCCCGTTCGGCGGGGTGGAAACATGGCGTCGCGTACGAGGACACGGAGGGTCGCGTTCTCAGGGGAGACGGAGTCAGACGTCGATTCGCCGTCGGACTCTGCGGTCGCGGAGATGCGTCAGCGGAAGTTGGTCGTCGCGAATGCCGTTGTTGTCCCTTCATCGAGTTCCGAGAGCGAGAAGAGTATCATTGGCGTGTTTCCAAAACCACCCACGTCGCCTGCGCCTGCACCTCTACCACCGCCAGCAGCCCAAGAAGAGCAAACAGAAGCGAGTGTTCAGCGGTCAGGCTCGCGAGGCAGTCGGTTCGGTCTCGGACTGGGGCTTTCTGGGTACAGCTTGAGGTTCAAAAGCATGTTCGCCGATGCGATGAAGAGCGAGAGTAGTTCCACAGTGACCGCGTCTGGGAAAGGACAAGGGGCTGTTGCTGGCAACGCGTCCGGAGCTAGTCCCTTTCTAGCCGACCTAACACCCAAGCCTCCTCACCCCTTTACTCGCGACGTCCATAGCGAAGACTCAGACAACCGTCGCAAACGAGAGCTTTTGGGCCTTTTCGATCGTTTGGATGCACAGCAAGACGCGTTTCCTGCGAGTCTCGGCTTCGAGACCGACCATTCGATTCAAGAGGGTCTGGCGTTTAGTGGCTCAGGTGACTGCTCCGCCAGCAAATGGCCCCCTTCACGCCCCCAGGTCGACGACTCCGCTTCCGAGTACTCTTCTGACGATCATGGTGATGCGGATGAGGAAGAGAATGGCAGTTTGCATTTAGAGGGCGACATGGGAATATCACTAACACGTCATATCGGTGCGTACCACTGTCGCTGCCTAACCTTAGCGACGCTGACGCATTCTACGCTCATTAGGTCCCTCGAGAATACCTCGCTTGCCATCTTCTCGCGAGGAGCTTCGATCCGTAACTTCCCTTTCGCAGAGAACAGGGTTGCAGAACGACATCGGCGCGCTCAACTCCCGACATTCCCTCATATCCGACGTGGAAATGGACGAAACAGTTGACGAGGTGGAACAAGAACCGCCTGCAGCAGCCGGGTCGATGGAGCTCGAAAAACTGGCTGGATCTTCAAGTGTCGCTGCTGCTCGGGAACGCGAAGCTTTTGGGATCCCTCACTCCGTCTCTGATGGCTTGCCGACTTCTGATTCTCTTGTCAGTCACGCTGAGAGCTGGATGTCCTCTGTCTCCAATGAGTCTTGGCGCGACGACTACGACGATAGCTCTGGGTATACGGGTCGACTACTCAAGCATCTTAGTGTCATACAACCTGAAATGATGATGAAGGTCACACACGACGACGCTCCTGACGAAGGGGATGCTGTTCGGCCTGACGAAGAGCACGACGAATCTGATTCTCCTATCTCTGCTGACGACCCCCGGGACGCCGAGCGGCTGTCTCCTCCTTACGCATCTCCGCTAGAGGACTTTCCGACGCCGTCTATCACGGAGCCTCCTCTGCTCCCCTCTGTATCCTGGCTCTCAGGGAACTCACCCACTTTTGCTGCCCAACGCTTCGCTGGGCCTCACGCTGACTACGTCAAGGACGAGGACATCTCACGAACGCTTTCTGATTCGTCTTCATGGGACGACTTTCGACGTGTCGTGGTCGGAGAGTGGGGCGATGCTGAAGCTGTCCGTCAGGAGGTCATCTGGGAGCTCACGGAAACGGAGGTGGACTTCGTCAACCGGCAACAGAACGTCATTGACATGTTTATCCGGCCGCTTAGAGTCCAAGACAGCAAGAAGTGGGTCTCTGGTATCCCGGCGGATATCACGAGGCTGCTGGATTGGCTTGAGGACATCGTCAACCTTCATGTCGAGATCGTAAACGCTCTTCTGGATGCACGGAACCAGAATCAGTCGGTCTTGCTCATGGTCAGCCACCTACTACGGCCACACGTGACTAGGTTCGAGATCTACCAGCCGTACTTGGCAAAGCTAGAGTACGTGGCGGCCATGATTGAGCAGCTACTCGCGGACGACGACAGTGACTTTGGTATGTTTGTCAAGTTGCAAGAAAGCTCGATCAAGAGCAGCAACTGGACGCTGGAACGATATCTCGTCGAGCCGGTTAACCGTCTATCGCAGTATCCGGACATCTTCCGAGTGAGTCTGATCATATGCCTGCTATCACCTCTCACATGTATTTCAGCGACTGTTGCACGCGACGCCGAAACACCATCCCGATTACGTGTCTATGCTCTCTCTCTTCATGTCCTCGAGGCTAGTTATCCGGGTGCTCAGCGAGGTGAAAGATAGAGAAGACGAGTACGAGCTCGTGAAGACCATCTGCTCTCACATCAGAAGCATGCCATTTCAGGTCGCAAGCAGAGAACGACGTCTACTCTACCAGGGCACACTTAACCTTTCGAAGAGCGACATGGGATCTCATGGCGATCGTATGGTAGTCGAGCCTTCGGATTCTAATCTTAGCTCTATCAGTGATAAAGTCAAGGTTACCGGACGTACAGTTCTCCTATCGCGAGCGGTGGAAGGTCTGCGGGGCCGCTCATCTTCGGTGAAGTCAACCTCGTCTACAGCCACATCTGTCAAGTCCTTCCGTTCCGCGCCATCTTCATTCGAGATCCCGAGGGAGGAATTCCGACAAAGCATGATGGACTCGCTACCCGCTGCGCCGCTCACGGTTCAGGTCTTGCTGTTTAGCGATCTCCTCGTGCTCGCATCCGCTCTGGGCACGTTGAAGCGGCAAAGCCTCGTGGTAGAAGAGATTGACTGGCAGCTGCTCGACGAGATTGGCATAACGAAGATCGTCGCTGTGAGGCAGCGCGAGGGTGCGTCGTCTTGTAGCCCCTATTAGTATTATACTTGGGGCTGACCGCCATTCTTCAGGCTCACCAAACACCGTCGAACTCGACGTCATCCAAGTAGAAAACGACAACAACACCACTGAGTCCCTTATCGGTTCGGCGGAGGATCCTCCGCTTGTGACCACCGTATCTCTCTCGGCGTCCTCTCCAAACGCAATGAACTCCTGGCTCCCCCGCTTTCACGAGTCCTGCCAATCCACCTTGCGCGCTCTCGCCTCTCTGACCCCATCGAGCAGCAACGACGCGAACCGGGGCTCCAGTGCCGACATCCGTCTGACCGAACCTTCTCCGGACCTGCTCGACCCAAAGGTGTACCACGAATCGCTGATCAAGTCCATCACGGATATAGGCCTTCCGATCCCGAAGAGCCCTTCGATGCAGATCTACGAAGAGGACTCTGGGGCGAAGGTCGGGTCACAGCAGAGGGAGAGAGAAGAGCGCGGTTGGTGGTCCGTCCGCTTTCATCGCGTTATGAGGGAGCTCGAAACGAAGGAAGTGCCATCACCAGCCTAAGTATGGTTACCCTCGCTATGTACAGTTTTCGCAGTCAATATGTTATGTTTATCATGTAGCTTTCTACTGTAATGACAAGGTTATCATCAATCATTGAATTACCGCTTCGCTCTAGTACTTCAGTCCAATCATAATCATTGATTCATAAATGAGCAGTGTTGTGTAGTTTATTGCTGGCATAAGCATAAACAGCGTGCAGCAACAGAGGTAAGAATTAAAAGTGTACTATAAGCAAAAGAAGGAAAGCAGGAAAAGAAACAACGCCGAGCGCCTAGTGGCATGAGATGCAGTCTTGCGCATAATATAAGAACGTCCTATGTGAGATGGTTCGATACCTCCACCCTCCCTCCGTGTCCTCACCCGCAACTCACGCTTGAGATTGTTCGACATAAAAATGTGTAGCTTTTACATCATCCCCCGCGACATCGCCGCGAGCTGGCTTGCCATCTCGGGGTAGTTCTCTACGAAGTCGAGCTGCGCGCGCGACGCGTACTGGTACGTGATCGCGTTGACGAGCTCGATCTCGCTCCGCGCAAGCTCGGTCTGGCGCGCGAACATCTCGATCGCGCGGTCAATCCGGCTCTGCTGCAGGCTGAGCTGCGCGAGCGTCGCCACCGCGGGTTCGCACTCGGGGTCGATCTCGAGCGCCTCGACGCAGCACGCCTCGGCGGCGGCGATGTCCTGCGTCGACTGGAAGACGGCGAGACCCTTGTTGACGAGCGCGAGGACGTTCATCGGTGGTGGCCTTGGAAAAAGGAGGGGAGATGTCAGGAGAGGGTAAGATAGGATAGATAGGGGCTATAGACTCACTTGGCACGCTCGAGCTCGATAGCGCGGTCGAACTTCTCGATGGCTTCTTTGAAGCGTTGCTGATCAAGCAAAAGCTCGCCACTATCGACATCCTATATTAGTTTTCCGGCATTATACGAAGAGCACGAGACACTCACTAGTAGTTCTGGGGCTCGCTGCGCTGGGGGAAGGCGGTGAGCGTCGAACGGAAGGTAGCCATAGCCTTGCCGACGTTGCCCATCTTGTACTGAGCGACGGCGAGTTGGATATGGCTGAAAACAAAGTTTGACTCGAGCGACGTCGACTTGGTGTAGTTTTCCGCCGCCTGCTCGAACTCGTTGGTGATGAACAATACTATGTGACGCTCCTTAGCACAGAGATAGATAGCCTAAGATAGCCAAAACTCACCTTGGCCACGGTGGTAGTAAATGTCAGCGTCGTCAGGGTTATGCTTGATCGCCTCCTCGAAGCAATCGAACGCCGTCTTGTTATCACCCTGTTCCATGTGAACGCTTGCAATCTTGACCCAGCTCTGAGTGTACGAGGGGACGAGCTTGATGGACTCGCTGAGGTCTTCCTTGGCGCCGTCGACATCACCCATGAGGAACCTTGTAAATGTCAGTGTTCTGAACTGGCCATTGACATATTACGGAACACACTTGAAGGTACCGCGGAGGTTAAGGGCCTCGGCACGACCCGCGTCAAACGAGATGCCTTGTTCGATGGCTTCGTTAACAAGGGTGACCGAGTGAGGATAGTTCGATGCCTCGAGAGCTTGGAGAGCCATGATAAGCGTGTTGTCCCCTGTAGTAGGGTCCTCGGGGAGAGTAGGAAGGGGGCCTGTTCCGAATCGGGAGATTAGATTCACTCTCGCAGTGAAGCTGAAGTCAATAAAGACGCACGTGGACGGAAAGCGGCAAAGTAGGCAGAAACGAAGGTGAAGGATGGGAGTCTCCTCTCGCGAGACTATAACAACGGCTCAGGTCAGCTCGAATCCCTTGCAAGTAACAGTTGATGCACGTACACCCATGATAGCAGCTGCCTTCTCGCTCGAAAGCTTCTTCAGCACCCGCTCCACGGACTGTGCCGCTGCCTCGTCCTGGAACTTGTTCAGAATAGTCGCGGCGGTGAAGTCTATGATGTATTGGTTAGTTATCGTGATGTTCCCGTTAAGAGACCGGGCTGACATACCACGGAGTGACTCTTCATATCGGCTGAGACGTTCAAGAGTAGTCGCGCGACGATTCAAGGCCTTTACGTAGTTCTTGTCAAGGGAGAGAGCGCTGTCGCAGTCCTGTATGACTTGCTCGAGTCGGGGAGGATCCATGTTCATGAACGCTAAGAGATCATGTCAATTCCTGCACTCAATAACCTTGGAGAGAGGAAGAGAGTGGACTCACATGCTGCGCGGTTGCTGAAGAAGACGGGCTCGGGGGTAGGAGTGACGCGGATAGCCTGAGTGTACATGTCGACAGCCTTTGCAAAGTTGCGAGCATTGTAGCAGTTGTTACCCTTGCTCTTGAGCGTGGCAGCGAGCTTTTTGCGTTCCTATAGTCAACATGTCAGTATGGAATGCAATTTGAACATACGGGCGCTTGAATCAAGAAACTCACGTCAGTGGGCATGGCATCAATTTGGGCATCCGTTAGCTGAGTGTCAGCTAGAAATCAGACGAAGGTCAGTCAGCGTCGGTCTACTTGCATACAAGCAGAGACATGTTTGCGGTCATGGTTGGAGAGGATTACTCACCCTCCTCTTCCTCAACACGCGATTTTTTCTCCTCCAGCAAAGGCCCATCAGCATCATTGACGCCTCTCCTCTTTCCCCTCTTCGATTTCTTCCCCTTTTCCGCGTCCGAGCCACCAGGGCGGGAGGTCGAAGCGTAGTAGAGCGCGCCTCCGAGCGCGAGAGCAGCTGCGGCACCACCAATGATAACGGCACGCCTATTTTCCGACACGAACTCGGACACGCGGTCCGTGAATGAAGGTGCGGAATCTGAGGAGGACATGACCAGCAGCGACGGTGAGGGGTACAAGGACTGAGCCTTTGACGAACTGGACTGGGGGGGTGGGATGAGGCGTCCGCGTGGTTTTGGCCGGGAGCGTACGCTCAATTTTTGGGTGGGAACAATTACGTCAGACGCGTAATGAAAAGATTCCGATGCTCGCCCTTTGCCAGACGCCGCGACGCGTCACTCGTCGGCCACTCGTACCCGGACTCGAGAGACGATCCAATGTTCTATTCAACTCTACAGCTACTAAATAATGGTAAGAATATACATCTAGTGAATACCTAAGTAACTTTAGGCCAAACGGAAGTCACGGCTCCATCTTCTCAGACTGCTCACTGTGGCAGCTATCCATATCAGACGCGCGCGACACAAAGGATACCCTCGGCATCCCAGCTTCAAGGTCATTAATGTCAGTATGCGTCACCTTCGAGACAGTAACTGCAACTATGGGTGCAGGCTGCGAGATGTTCGAAGTTGACCGTAGGAGAGAGGGAGAGACTGCGATACGCGGCGAGTGGCGGTCGCTCGGTTTCTGCAACTCATGCCCGAACTTGGATAGACCAAGGCCAACCCTAATGGTGATCATGGTGAAAACGATACCCTAGATACAGTGTCGGACATGCGCTTCACAGGAAAGGGACCTTCACAATACTCACGATTAGGGGGATTATCTATAATAAGGAGGTGACATGTAATCAGCCAATGATATGGGCAGGCATGACAAGGGAAACCTACACCGTCAGCGATCACAAACTGACCGTAATTTCCCAAAGCGTACAGCACAAATAGAAGAGTGAGAGCAAGAGAGTACAATACGCCGGATTCAATGATAATCACTGCGGCGAATATCGGTCTCCTGCCCTGCACATCTATGTGCCGTGTAAGCCTGACCGTATACATAATCCGGAGCGCAATGAGTGCTTCAATAGGAGGTGAGTCAGCAAGAACGCCCCTGACCGATAAGCAAGAGTTTGTACGCACATGTAGAAAGCAGATTTACAGCCAACGTCATAGCGAAGCACGCATAGGACGGCTTCTGCAGCACGAAGAGAGACGCATCGTGGTCTTTCGTCGAGCACGCGTGCAGAAGAACTATGCTTGCACCTAGACCGTAGGATCAATAAGATATGTTTTCAAAAGTCTCGGCAAACGAACCTATGCTTCCCAACAACGCAATGAAGACTGGGATAACCACGCGCTTGTCGCCACCCCACGCCATGTGCATTCGATACACCTGCTCGATAATCAGTTTCCCCTGACAAACGGCCAAACCGCTACGCACCATAAAGCTGTCCCCCAACAACATTTGCGCTACAAATACCGTGGCTTTGACGAGAAAAAATGCCGAGCTAGACGAGATCAAGACTTCGAAGGGGCCGGTCGCGTTTCCAGTGAAGGCTACTATGAACCTCGCAAGGTCCGCCACGAGGTGCTAAGTATGGACTGTTCGTTGAGCTGGATATACGCTGAGAGGGAAGACGCACTATCGTAGCAAGGATGAACATCAGCGGCGCGCCCGCAACAATACACTTGCTGATGTTAGGATTCTCCGCCCGCCGCTTCATGAGTATCATGGTTGCCGCGACCAGCAGGATGCTAAACATGCCTGTGGAGTATACTCCTGTTATCTGATGCTGTTCGGTTCTGCGAGGAATCCTGTTAACGCACCGTACAGGATACACTGCACGAATAGCGAAACGATCGTTGCATTCTCGAGGGAGATGGCCATAGCGCATGCTAGGACGACGTTGTGGTGGCTATGAGTCTGGCGAAGATCGAAGGACCGCTGGGCTATATGGCCCTCGCGGATTCAAGGAAACCGTCGGAATTCCGAAGAAAATGAGCGGTTGTGTGACCCTCGCGATGGCATGCGGGACGTTATGGACAGCCAACCAGCGCCTTGACTCAAGCCAGCGGCCATATTACCTGAAACAGCGGCGGCGTCAGAAAAAAAGTATGTAGAGTATGAGTATTTTAAATTGCGCCGTCATGTTGCGCTGGGCCAATTTGTAGTACTGGCGGCAATTTGTAGTACTACCAGCGATAATTTGTAGTGCTGACAATAATTTGTAGTACTAGCGACGGATGAACGTTGATGAACGTCACTGGTACTGAAAGGGGCACCCCGGAACCGGGTTGAGATGGGCCCGGGCCGGCGGCAGCTCGCGAGATCGAAGGGTGCAGCACTGCAGGCCTCCTATCTTGCCACCCCGCAATCAGCTAGCCGTGAGCGTTCAAAAGAGATGTTTATGCGTGGAGGACCGCCGTCCAGCACGCAACACGTTAATTCATAGGATAATACAAAACGACTGTGAAGTATCCAGATCCTAAAGATACTCGGAGTTCTGGTAACATGTCACTGGCGCTTATTGGGGTGGCATTTATCTCATAGAAACCGTGGAAATCTGTCTACGGGAGACTGCTGCTCTAGCGCTCCCAAAGGCTGTATCGTCACGGAGTAACACACACCAGGATGCTCTTACGCTTCGCCGTCTAACAAGCAATAGGAGGTGAACAAGTGACTGTGCCCGCAGATCTATTTGTATTGTCCATTTGTATTAACATCGGGACTGATAGAAAACTCCAGATTGGGACCACTACTTGCGTCTGGTCTGTTAGGGGCTCTTCACTTCCTTCGTCATATCTTTCGTGAATAAGACGTCTGTCACTGTTCGAGAGCAGTGATTTGTTCTGACGTGGATGAACCGGATACGCGCGCACTGTTCAAGCAGTTCAAATAGTTTGACTGACGTTGGGACTTGTGTCACTCGCGGATTGCAACCAATTTCTCGACTGAGTATCTCTCTTGATGGGTGCATGCCTGTCCACACCTTAGGTATACGGTCTTCTGTACACAACCATGCGTACAGGCAAGTCATGAGGGTAAGATAGTCCAAATGTAGTAGGCTACTACTGAATTCAGACCGTGTCACGTTCCAAGAAGTTCAGGGACAGGTCGATATCCAAGATCTCTAAGTCGCCGAATTGGCAAGGGAGAAGACGGAACCAGTATTGTAGCAGTGTGACAGCCAGCCCCACCTTGTAGAAGGCCAGATCCTCTGATACCCCATGCCGCGGACGAGGTCGCGCCGCCGCTTTCGCAATAATTCCAAATATAAAGTCTACTGGCCAGGCGGTTCTTATTCGTGTGCACTGAGGCCGTAGTTGGAGGTAAATAAGAGGCGACGCCGCGATATGTGGACTTACTAGCCCAAATCTTGCGCGGAATAATCAAAAAGGAGTTTTATATTTAGTTAACTTATTAAATGGTAATATGAGAACACCTAAAATTAATTCTCTTCATCACGTTTCATAAGTGAGCGGCCATGTGTGGTTGCAATTTGTCCCCATCTTCGTACACAGTTTGTTGTTTGAGATGTAGATAGGAGTATGATATGCAAAACAGGCGAGAAAGACTGATAGCGGCCTGATGTCAAAGATCCGGAGGAAACGGGGCCTAAGGGCGTTATGATTGATGAGAAGGGGAGCGACAGACTGAGCTTATCTTCAAGTTGTCGGTTCAAATTTTGATAACCATGTCGTTCCCAGGCTCATACCCACTGGTATTTAGAGTGCTCTGGGCAAATCGTAAGGAAATCGTACTCAGCATGTAACGCAACGGGATGCAGTAGCGTAGTGTTGATAGAGACAGTGGTTGTGGCAAACGTCAAACACCAAATGGATAGCTTGTTCTTGACATGTTCCCTCGCACTCTCGCTCCTGAGTGTGGGAAACTTGTCCGATCGGTGTTTGAAATGCTGGCAGCCTAACACGAGCAAATATCTATACCAAGATATGTTTCTCTCATCACTACATCCTCGCAATATTTCCTAAAACACACGCTCTCGGGTCTCGCCGAAGCACTCAAAGGAGCGATGGCTAGGAGCCTGCGTGGTTCTTTGCGTCCATATGCATAGTACCGGCGCTCTTTGACAGAGATCATATAAAAACTTGATCCCGTCCCTTATTCGCTGCCTGCTTTGCCTCGATTGCTGCCCACTGTACCTCACGGCGTCAGCCCCGGCCGCTACCCTTTGCTCATCCTCCACCCCCTCTTCGCGTCATGTCCGAGGTTGGGCAGGTTGTTCAGCGTTCGTCCTACTCCAGAGATAAGGAAAAGCACCCCACCGATGTTGAGGAGAACAATGTCGACTCCTTCCCTCCAGAAGACGACGAAGAGTCCAAGAACGGTAAAATGGACCCTCTCCGCAAGAAGATGCGCACCATCGTCCTCATTGCGCTCGCCGTTCTTATCCTGGGCTGGTGGATATCTGCAATCGTTCTGAAGGCAACCAGGGACAGATGGTGCGTTCTGGGGTGTCTCTGCATCACGGCGAAGTGTACCGAACCGTGATGCCCATTGATCCAAGGCTCGTCCAGACCATCTTCGCCTGGTTCTTCCTGTTGTGGGTCCCAATATCTATCGTCACGGTAATTCCACTGTCCGCTGACCAGAACTGTACACGCATTCAGGGTCATCCTCTTTCGCTTCATCCCCGCCTCAGTCGTCTCGCGGCCCATCTCTGCGGTATGGATGCCCCTCATCCAAGAGCCATGGTACAAGCTCCCGCGCCCGATGCGCCTCACTATCGGCTGGCTCTGCCTGCTCGGCATCCTCTTCGGCTCTGCGTTCGGCTTCCCCTTGCCTGCTGTAAATATCCGTCCGTACATGTTATTCCCCCATGACTGAATGCGTACCAGGGCACAACCTACGGAGACCGTGTGATCTCTATCCTGGGCATTTTCGTGTTCCAGTGCGGCTTCTATGCCAGCTCAATGAAGAGGGCTGCTGTACCATGGTGGGTCCTCCTAGGTCTCGTATCTGGCATTTGACAGAGCCAAAACTGACTGAACTGTATGGAAAGGCCAACGATCATCGTTGGGTTGTTCTTGCAGCAGGTCATTGCGCTGTTCGTCATGAAAACTGGTGCCGGTTTGAAGCTCTTCACGTACATTGCCGACCTCGCGTTCGACTTCTTGACCCAGGCCTACGTCGGCGCTGCGTTTTTCTTCAACAGCGACGTCGTTACGCAGAATTTTTTCTTTGTCAACACGCTGTCCGCGATCCTCTTCTTCGTCGCGACCGTACAGATGCTGTACTACGTGAGTTATCTGAATCCCTCTTTCATACTGCGCGCTCACAAATTGTCTCTCATAGCTTGGAGTCATGCAATGGATCGTTAAGAACTTGTGCGTATCTGCTTTAAGGGGCAAAACTTGAAACGGTCGTTAACGTGACTATCCAGTGCCTGGGTCTTCTATAAAACCATGAATGTCTCCGGCGCCGAAGCCGTCGTTGCTGCCGCCTCGCCCTGGATCGGCATGGGCGAGTCTGCATGTCTCGTGAAGCCCTTTGTCGAGCTCATGACCGCCTCCGAACTGCACCTCGTCATGACGTCCGGCTTCTCGACCATCTCCGGCTCCGTTCTGAGTGCATACATCTCCATGGGTGTTCCCGCGCAGAACCTGGTCACCTCGTCAGTGATGAGCATCCCGGCCTCAATCGCGATTAGCAAGCTGCGCATGCCCGAGATCGACGAGCCCGTCACGCGTGGGCAGGTCATCATCGATCGCGGATTGGTGGACGACAAGGACAGGCCATCGAACGCGTTGCATGCATTCTCGAGGGGCGCGTGGTTCGGGTTAAGCATCGCTGGCCAACTCGTGTGAGTTGCTATAGCACATTCGCTCCCCGATTCGAGAGCTGACAAACGTGGATAGTGCAAATGTGCTGACGATCCTTTCGCTCGTTGCTGTCATTAACGGCGTCCTGACGTGGGTCGGCCGTGGATTCGGTATCCATGCTCTCACTCTACAGCTCATCCTCGGATACATCTTCTACCCGATTACCTTTTTCCTGGGTATGCCTTAGCCATTATCCGCATAGATCAGAGCAGCCTCTCACCCCGATTAATATCATCATACAGGTGTCCCCCGCAACGAAATCCTCATCGTGTCCCAGCTACTCGGCACCCGACTGATCGAAAACGAGTTCGTCGCATATGAGGGTACGTTGACTACCGCACTTAACTAGTCCCTGCTGCGATACTCACCACATCGTCTCCAAAAATCCAGCCCTCGCCGCTATCAAGGCCAGCGACAACCCTCTCTCCTACCGCGGCTACACCATTGCCTCCTACTCGCTCTGCGGTTTCGCCAACCTCGGATCGCTCGGTATCCAGATCGGTGTGCTGACCGCCCTCGCGCCCTCACAGGCCAAGACAATCACACGCATCGCCACCTCGGCGCTCATCTGCGGGTTCTTGGCTACGCTGCAGACCGCTGCTCTCGCGTGAGTATTTGACCTTCACAGCGTGACTATTTTCCGTGCGCAATACTGACTCTTTCGTTTCATTTACCTCTTTTCCTTTTACATGAAGGGGTCTACTCGCTTAATGTCCTAAATCGATGATTGTCACGTTCAACGCGTGGGATGATATCCCATTCTTTCCTGATATATAATCAGGTAGGATACTCACAAAAACTAAGAGGTCACAGAATACGGAGGCATGATTGACTGTGATATCAGGGGGTGGCTATCTGATAAACAACATATCTGTAATAGAATCCAGATCCAGATATCATGATACCAGCAACGAAATTAATGGCTCCCTTAGAAAAGAATCGAATACCTGACAGTACTCATCAACTTCATGGTCCTCCATTAGAGGTTGCGTATGATCCGTGCTTCTCATCGTAGGCCACCCACCGGAGAATTGGCTCTCTGTGGCAAGCAAAATGGTTGAAAGAGATGGTGCGAGTCTGAGAAACTATTTCCGGCTGAAGAATGACACTCATGGGTAGAGATATGAGGAGATACTATGAGTGGACTCGAGGGTCACTGGTTACGCCCCGGAAGGTAAAGACTTCACACAACGGAGTGCAAGAAACAAATGCGATATGTCGACGATAACATATTGAATGTACCTCTCCTAAGTTCGAAGGACTTATGAGAAAGCCGACACCGTGCATTGCCGTATCATGTAGAGAGACGCTCTAATGTTTCTTACTAGCCCCACTCATCGATCCCAGGACATCCATTCCAAAGCCACTTCTGGCTAACACGTCTTGAGAAATACAGATGTACCCACTCTTAATTTGTGTGGCGAGTTATTGTGGTTGATATTTAAAATCGAAGCTATGTACGCATATAAATTGCTTAATACTTTACCCAAACTTGAAACCTGAGGCCTGGTTTTGCATAATGGAGACACGTACCCCTTGTGTCCCTCTACCTGTAACAAACCTGTACGGACTTCATCCTGAGGGTTTCGCGGGACTAGAGCCGTTTCGATTTGACCTCGTGTGGAGGTTTTCGCAGGTAATTCAGAGCGAGGGATGTACGAAGATGGCTCTCATATGCCTGGTATCCGTCCAGGTCGCGCGCCACAAGAATACGGCTACTGAAGTTGAGGTGGCAATGCCACTTGTGGCGTTTCATGAAGTTGGCCGGGAAACAAAGGAATCGGAATATCGGCCGTGAGGACAAATATTCTAGGAACATTACTGTGGTGTCTTGGTTTTGTCGTTAGGGATATAGATTTGCCAGCAAACTAAGCATTTATGACAACCATATTGCGCTGTTCGAGTGCAGGACTTAACCGAAGAACGATCAACGATAGAGTCGGGAAAAGCCGATGAGAAAGAACCAGAGGTGTGTTCGCCGTCGAGAAACCTTGCACGAGTGTGAGTCGACGTTCTTAACTTGGCCGTCAAGCCTTCTTCACCCGTTACTTGGTATCTTCACTATCTTTACGAACACTCTTGGCTTGATCCTAGGAACCCTGTTTCAGATACCTTTCCACGTTGTGGAATGGAGAGTTTTCCCGGGTATGGAGGTAAACAGACGTGGCATTTTTGCGTCAGATTTTCATGCCTGTCATCAAGCCTGAAGACCGTCATTGATAGTAGTCAATCGCTGACCTGGGCTATCAGAATTAGATTTTCTCTTCGATGCTTGCACCATGACACTATCATTCTGAGATCCTCGTACAATGGTCAAGAAAATATTGTTCATTGCCCGGAGGGTCAAAGCGGAGCACAGGCACCGTTTTGTAATTCCGTTATCTACTACCTACGCATGACAGGTGGTCTCGCCCATATATAGCTGATCAAGTACTGAAACTGTGTCCTATATATGTTTCTGCATCTGCGCGGCTACTTGTCGATGGTCAGCTGGAAGTGTACATACCGTATGGGTACTCATCCACGTCCAAAACGCGTATTCGGTATGTCCAAAACGGGGCCCTTTGAACGTCAATACATTCTATCGGATCCACGGTGCCTGTCGCGCCATGAATATGAATCCCGGTTCCATACCAACTCCGGCTCCCACCGGTGAGCATTCTAACCGCCTGAGGTCTTCGTTTGCTTTCGCATCCTTGGTGCTCCATGTGGATGACGATTGCCTATAAGTATCAGACTGACGGTCAACAATTCGGACCATCTTCTCCTAGCATCTCTTTCTACTCATATCTATCTTCAAGAAAAGCAAGTATGTCTACTAAACTTGTCGTCGATGCATTAATGCTTTTGGTTGGAGCATACTGTCTCAAGCGCCTCGCGAGCTCAAGGAAGAGGTCGTTGCCGCTCCCACCTGGGCCAAGGCCGCTTCCGATTATTGGGAATCTTCTTGACGTCCCTTCCGAATCTCCGTGGCTGACTTTCGCTGAATGGAAACACCGCTTCGGTCAGTCAGCTTATATACCTATTGCACTTTGATAATTTCCTCACTAACTTTAACTTGTCAATTATGAAACGCACGCCACAGGCCCGGTATCCTCTGTCTCCATCCTGGGCCAACGCACTGTCATCCTCAACACCCTTGCAAGCAGCACCGCGTTCTTCGACAAGCGCGGCGCTGCTTACTCAGACCGCCCGCAGCCGACGATGGCATGCGAGCTCGTCGGGTATAAGGACAGATTGATGATCTTCCTCAATTATGACGCTCAGTTCAAGCACTTCCGCACGCTCATTCGGCCCGTCATGGGATCGCGTGCGGCAGTCGCGCAGTATGGTCGGGAATTGGAGAGGGAGGCGAGGAGATTTGTGCGGGATGCCATGACGTTGGAGAACGAGGAAGATTCTAGAGAGCTGGAGGTACTTATTCGAAGGTAGGAGTTGTGTTGATATATTTCTGGTATGATGGCTAAGAAGTTTGATTTCACTAGAACGGCGGGTTCAATCATCTTGAAGATCACGTACGGATATGAAGTCCAAGGAGCAAACGACAGACTTGTGAAGGTGGTTGAAGAGGCCATGTCACATTTCGCACATGTTACTACGCCTGGAGCGTTCCTCGTGGATAGTATACCTTTCTGTGAGTCACATCTTGACTAAGTGGTCAACAACGTGACTCTGAGGACTGAATACATCGGTGCTCTGCAGTGAAGTACATTCCCGAATGGATACCTGGAATGTCGTTCAAACGAACTGCCAAACACTATGCACAGTCCTTCACGAAGATGATTGAGTATCCATACCGTACTGTGAAGGAACGAATGGTGAGCTCAAGTCTTCTATAATGCGAAGCCACGTCAGTTATTGATACCAATTCCAGGCCACGGAGGATGCACCTCCCTCCTATGTCTCAAACTTGCTCTCTGAAAGGCCAGACATTGACGTATCAGAGGAGAACGACATCAAGCTATCTGCTATGGCGCTATACGCAGGGGGCGCTGATACCGTCAGTTTTCAACCGTTTCGCAATTCCACTTACTCGAGAAACTCATGTTGCACGCAAACAGACCGTATCGGCAGTCCATAGTTTCTTCCTTGCGATGACGCTTCATCCCTCCATCCAGCGCAAAGCGCAAGAGGAGGTCGACGCCATCGTGGGTGCGGATAGGCTCCCGACATTTGAGGACCTTGAGCACTTGTCATATGTAGATGCGGTGTGTAAGGAAGTGTTGAGGTGGCTTCCTGTCGTGCCTTTGAAAGAGTGTGTTGTAACAGCGGGAAGCATGCCGATAGTGATGACACTCCGCAGCGATACCGCATATATCAACGGCGGACGACGTATACGAGGGGATGATCATTCCAAAGGGGACGCAACTGATTGCGAATCTGTGGTGCGTAGTGCTGATGTTTCCCATGAGCTGTCACATCCCTTTAACCATGTTGACCAGGGAAATGTTGCACGACGAGGAGACCTACCCGGATCCGCACACGTTCAACCCCGAACGCTTCTTCGGTTCAGGTGCAGACGGGAACCCCCAACTCGATCCGCGCACGATCTGCTTTGGGTTCGGGCGGAGGTGGGTCTCAAATGTTACTTACCTCGAGAGCCATTTTCGATGACGACGTAACGAAGGATATGCCCTGGTCTACATCTTGCGTATCCGTCGATGATGCTTGAGGCTGCGACGGCGCTCGCGACGCTCAATATCGGCAGGGCGACCGACAAAGACAAAAATGAGATCGTACCAGAGGTTAATATTCTTCCTGGTACGATATGGTGAGTTCTGGCACCTTTTATATCCTAGAGGGGAATGCTGAGGCGAGTCGCGTCGGGGGCGGTCAGTCATCCTATCCCTTTCAAGTGCAAAGTTACCGCTAGGTCCGAGGAAGCGCGGGACCTCGTGCAGGAGATTTAGAGGCGCGCTGCCTGAAAGAGGAGCTGAGCGCTGAAGTAGGCTGGTTTTTGAACGATCCGGATAGGGATTTGGTTCGATCGAGGTTCTAATTTGAGCGACATATGGCAGCATTCATGAATATACTTGTGTTTCCATCATTGAGATCTACTAAGTGTCTCCGAGCTTGCTATCCAGCTCTCGTACCCTTGCCTTTGACCCAATAAGCGCGTTGGTAAGCAGGACATGCAGCGAAGAGGACACACCTCCAGCGCAAACAAGTGCGCGTCTCTCGATGCTGGGGAGAGTTTATGCACTGCCTCCGCGAGCTGGTATAGGTAATCCTATTTAATCGAGTGGTTTATATACTGTGTCATTGCTCGCAAAGATGATCGGACCTCACCTTGTTACGTCCAGATGGACCGATCGACTGCCAGATGTGGTGTGATAACTTATCGAGAGGCTCAGAACCGGCTGTGAAGCTGGTTTATGAGTCGTTAAAGTTGCAGTAGCAGGAATAACCTACTGAATGCAGGGTTGTCGGGTCGTCCGACATAGCACTGAATATCAGCCCAAAACTCAACGTCAGCTTGCCACTCCCCTCCGAAACATCACAAATAGATTATATAACGCACGTGGCAGTTGTGAATCACGATGCGTGCCTCACCGTCTACAATGTCATAGATGTCCATTGTTTCCAGGGTATAACCGTTCTTATGCTGCCAATTAGAGGATACCAGCAATATCATTGAATGACTTGCCCTTTCGCGGTGGTCTTTTTGTACAAAACAAAGGTGAGGGGTGGCTTCACGTGTGTTTGAAGAGCTTACCTAGGTATGCGCGAGCTTCCTTCTCGTGTACAGGATCTATGGTATACGCAATGCCTATGTCGATCCCAACGAGTATTGAGTTCATATACATCCTCGTGAGAATATACATCCCATACCCCACACAGTGTCATCGTCAGGATACGGATCACTTGCGGAGTAGTGGTCCCAATCTTCCTTGTGGATTAGAGTGACTGCGCGTCCCGGATTCTAGTCATTCGAAAGTCATTTGTCATTCAGGGATGGGTAGGGTATAACATAGTGTGTACCTCGGGCGTCCCTCGATGATGATGAGACATTTGAGAAAATCGACGAACGTAGCCTTTGATAAACCCGGGGCCTGTGAAGCGGAATGATTATATATGGTAGAAGGAGCTAACTAAACGTCTAGGACTTACGCTACTTCAGAACGAAAGGAGGTGGAGGCGGCTTCGCGGAAGCTTGTTATCAGTACTGTGATTCACCAGACCATTCTCATAACGCACCTTGAAGATGAGGGATCCATAACCGAAGACAGTGAACGGAGGTATTTGAGGGATCGTCATCGTAGGCAACGAAAGAACCAGAAGTAAGCTGGGAGGCGTTATATGGATGTATAGGCAATGCGTTGCATCAGGAGCGAGTGCGATGGCGTGTTTAAACGCGTCTTAGTCAGTGAACAACTTGGCCAATCGCAAGTGACGTGGACTCGGGCAAGACTCGGGACCGCATGGAGGACAAGCCACCGAGTGTGAATCTTCCTTCAAATGCGTAGAAACAGTTTCGACGGGCCATTGGAGATATGATAGAGACACATCGAGTCGGTTACGGGAGGTTTGAAGAGTATTGGCCAAGGTATCGGGGCTGACGCTGCTTAGCGCTGAGCCCAGGTGTTTTGGATGTTGTCGACGACGGTGGGAAAGAGCGTGTCGGGAACACCCGAAGCGTGTCACGGACCTGTATCTCCGAGTCGCGAGATTCCGTCCATCTATGTTTCAAACTTCAAACGCGTCAGATTCTCGCTCTTCGTTTCTGATCCTCCCAAGCTCGTTCCTTTTGAGCACATGGATCCTTTTCATGACTCATAGCAACATTCGGTGAACAATGTGCGCACGCTCATACCATGTGACCCCCCTGAGCCCTGGGGCCTGAGCCTGACCATCACAGCGCTCAAAATGCTTTCTCCGTCGCGGTTACCGGCTCACCTGCACGCAAATGGCCTTGTGTTCTATCAGAAACAGCGAACGTTCCATTGTACGTGTCCTCGTGCACCCTTGCATCACCCGGTGAACTGACGAATAATTACATTAGTGGCACATTTCCGCAGCTGTTCACATGGCGAGCGTCATTGTCTCTTGTTCCAACAGAACTGTGACATCAACGACCTCCTTTTCGTTCTGATCGATTCTTGAACTGAACTTCACCTCGTTTGGTCCGCCGAGTCCGAGTCAACACAGGGTCATTGAGTCAAACTTACAGCAAGTACAAGGTGAGGCGTTCGCCCCGATCAAACCTGGTGCTTAATAGGTTGCACAGCCCGCCCCTTCTCCCGCATACAGCGTGTATAAGTACTGAGCTACAGACCTGCTCCCGTCCACATCTCTCTTCCTCCCTCGTACGCTCGCCCTCAGTCTTCAATAGCCTTTACTTCGCTCCACTGTGGCTTTTTTCAAGTTCTGCCTCCCGTTCCTCCACCGCTCTCGTCCTCGCTCTACAACCGCCACCGCCACCGAAACCAGCAGTACACGCATGACACTCTCCGTCATGCAACTGGTGTGCGACCACCCTCTGTCCACGAACTACGAAAACGACACACACGACGCCACCACCACTCCCGAGCCCGAGCTCAGCCCGAGCCTCAGCCCCTCAGCGTCCCTGTACCACACCATCCTCGCGAGATACTTCCACGCGTCCCACCAGAGCAGTGGCACCCCCGGGCCGTCGCACCAGAGCGCAAGCATCAACACGGGGCAAGCGCTCGATATGGCGCTCTACATATGCCAGATTCCACCAGCGGACAGGGGCGCGCCCGAGCACGCGTTTCTCGAGCGCGTCGCCGCTGTGGTCTCGCTGGACCTGTACAAGCGCCCGGGCGGACACGCGCCTGCAGCTTGTGGGGCGCTGTACACGGGCAGCGAGGAGGAGGTGGAGATAAAGGTCGAGGTCGATGTGAAGGTCTATCGGAATCGAAGTCGCGTGCGGACGGCGTCTGTATCGGCGTTATGCAAGGGAAAGGAGCTGACGAACGGCGACTCGGATATCGATGGTGATGATGGGACGCCAAAGGAACACTGGGACGTCACCGTGCACTGGCCCAAACCCCCGCGCGAGCGTGTATGTCTCTGCAAGCGCGACCAAGCGTGCACATGCGACCAGCTACAATGGACACCCTCCCAATCCATCAACTTCCGCAACGACCGCTGCTGCCTCTCCAATTCCAACCCCAACCCCAACCCCACTTCATTACCATCTCCCACCTCAGAGACCGAGAACGCACCATGGGAGTCCGAGTCGGACCTCATCACATCCACGACATTCACCGCCACACTGCACGACCCCCTCGCACGCACATACTTCCTGCACTACGGACACACCGAGCCCATGCGCACCCTGCTCGACGACGCCGAGCGCAAAGCGATCAACGTCGCCTCCCTCCCGTCCCAAAGAGCAGGCGACGGCTGGGCGTGCCTGTATCACCGCGCGCTCGAGCGCTTCCTCGCGGCGTGCTGCTGCAACCTCGCCTGTTCCCCCGCCTCGGAGCACATTCTCACCTCCGGCGGGCTGGTTTCGCGCCGGGAGGACTTTGATAGGGTCTGGAGAGGCACCGTCGAGGGGAGGCGGAGGGCGCAGCCCGAGATCGCTGAGCTGAAGCGCTTTTCGTACAGTCCGGTTGGCGGTAACAGTGCGACTGCCCCCGCCGGGCCGGGGCCCTCCAAGACTCCAGTCAAGAAAAAGTGAAAGTCACCCACTGACTTGTAATGTACTTAGATGATACACTAGGCTCGATGTAATACACCATACTTATTGTGAGCATTCCCAGCACTAATATTAAGCACCGTGCATGTCCCAGCGCAACCCATTTGTGAACCCGAAAGCAGTCAATGCCTCTAAGTATTGGCGCTCTCACTTGCCCACCTCCACATCCTTCGAACCCAACCTCCGATCGTCCCCATACCCCCTTGCAATCCCGCTACGCCCCTGCTCCAGCACACTCGGCGCGTCCTCGCCCACACGCGCCTCCAGACCCTGGTACGTCCTCGACTGCAAATACAGTGCCGCTGCGCTGTCCGCAAGCGTTGCGACCGTCCCGTTTTGGTTCCGCAGGACGATGGCGCTCGGGTCCATGTTGCTTGCGCTGATTCCTGATAGCGATTTGGGCTCGAATTTGGGGTCTGAGCCGTGCTAATATGAGATGCGCCAGCGGTGTGGGAGGAGGAACCCACCTCGGAACTGCCGTGCGCTTCTGTATTTGCCAGTGACGAGGGAGAACGAGGGGCGGTCTCTGTCCTCTTCATCTTCGTCGCCGTTCACGTCGCGTTCCTCGTCAGTTCCTAAGGCCTTGCTCTCCGCGAGGAGCTGCTCAAAATCGAGGACGTATCTCCCCGTCCACGTTCCCTCCGGCATAAGCGCAACCTCAAGCTCAAACGGTGTCACAATCGGCTTGAAGAACTCCTACAAACCACCTCCACTTTATAACGCCCATCGCATGTACAAGATAGACGATAGCGAACGCACCTTCGACTCCACCACACTATTCTCCGGACACGCCACAAGCACAAAACACTCCACCTCCATAAAATTCGCGAGCTTCGCCGGATTCAGCTTCCCGACCGAGATCGTGTAGCTCTTCTTGCGCGCGCGCGCGAGCTGCGCGCGGAGGTGCGCGATGAGCGGGAGGTACGACGCGACGCCGAGCGTCCCGACGAGGATGCCGAACACGTCTGCGTCGCGCGCTTTTTGGACGGCTGCGAAGCGGCGCATGAGTAGGCGGTTCGATTTTGGGGATTCGAGGCGCGTGGAGGAGGCAGAGGAGGAGGGGTCGTAGGAGTAGACCTGGGAGGAGGAGTGTGTCATGAGGAGGTTTGTGAGCCCTAGGGACTCGGGACCGATGTAGAGGATTGTTGAGGGTGGCGCCTCGGTGGAGTTTTCAGGAGAAGAGTCTGCTGCGTCTGTTGGCGGCGCTGGATTGGCGACGGGCGGGTCGAGACGCGTGGGGAGTAGGTGGCAGGTGATCTCGACGGGGAGGTCCTGGGTGCTTTCTCGTAGCTTGTCCAATATCTCCCCTACATTCTTATCGTGAAAATGCCATGACCGGGTACATTGATTAAGACTGGCCTGCGCGATGGTGATACGCAACATCATATCTAAGCGCCACCCTGTTCTTGCCTTCTGATTCCTCCGGCGGCGGCAATGCCCGCACGAGGGCTGCGAACTTGTTCACGCATTGGTCGACGTCGATCAGCTTCTTCCCGAAAACGTATATTACAGGCAAGCGGTACGTCCTGAGGAAACGGATATTGAGCTTAGATGGAGTACGGTCAAGGTTAGAACGTACTGACTCATGCACGCGTGCCCGTAATGTACCATGAGGTCTGCATCGACATGCTGGGCGGCCACTTCGTCCACGCAGCAGCTGAGTGAAGCAGATGAGGATTAGTGCCGAGTGCAAAGAGGGTAAGAGAACGGGATCGACCTCCCGTATGAGGTGTCAGCCAAGACGTATAGATCGCGGCCTGGACCAACTCTCTGCTTCAGGAGACGAAAGATGGGTACGGAGTCGTGGAGAAGCTCATCAGGGAACTGGAGAGCAATCTAGACCGCCACACATGAGTTCGTGACCGATAACATGGGGATGAGAAACTCACCTGGCTGAATCCTCCATTCAAAATCGCCTGGGCCGTCCTCTCAATCTCGTAGAACGTGCTGAACTCGTCCGCGGAGAGCTGGTCGGCGGTGTGATCGATGTCGACTTCTAGGGACCTGGCGATAACTTCTGCACCCGAAGGGGAGAAAGCGGACGTGATTGGATCAGAAGACATGGCGACAGGCGGACGTTCGTTGAAAAGTAGGAAGAGGCGCGAAGGAGCAAGCTTGAGGGGCGCTATTGATCGATGCGATCCAAGGGAGCGCGTGGAAAATTGAATGTAAGAATGTCTCTATTCGCCGGGCCAATCGAAATCCAACCTCGGTCGCAGAAGAATATGGGGTTTTGGATTTGAATGACCTCGGGAGATAGTGAAAGAAAGAGAGGAAGGGGGACTTCTGGTGGAGGGAGAAACGTAATCTTATCGCGGGAAGGGGTCGGGATGTGGCTGTGCAATACAGCGTGTGGTGGAGCAGTCGCGCGTCACAGACAAGCGAAGTCGTCAAGTTGGAAGGTCTTCATCCAAAAGGCCAGACTCAAACATCACTTATCTCTCCCTGACAAAGACCGACCAGCCCACCAAAACATTCAAAGGTGAGGCCCCTTTCTTATCTATCCTTTCCATCGCGCCCCTCACTCCAAAATGTCGGCCAGCACGACTCCTTACCCAAAGTCACTGCCCCTTCGGACAAGCGGCACGGGTGTCTACGCGAGGCGCTCGTCCCGCTCCTTCCTTACCCTCAATCCCGCTGACACTCCTCCTACTCCGAGGCTTGGCCCACCAAGGCTTTCGCCTTTGTCATCTTCTCGTCTCGTCTTCACCACAGCCGATTCTTCTGATTCTTGTCCCGACGCGCCTTCAAGCTACCAGCGACGCGTCCGACCCGTTACACCTCCGTTATCAGCTCCTTCTCACACACCCGCATCAAGTCCTCCATCTTCACTACCAAGCCCACCCAAGAACTCCCTTCCGCCTGCATCGTTCGGGGACGCCGAGTGGCATTACACCAACAACATGTCCATCCCCCCACCTCCCTACCACATTGCCGCCAACCCGGCCCGACCACACATCCACGTGGCTGACACGCCCAACCACGCTTCGCCAACGCGCACAGCTCCACCCTTCAGAGAGCTCATGAGCACCGACAACGAGACGGAGGACGAGCAGGCGCCCATATACACCACGCGTCGTACACGGAGCGCGCACGAGCTCGTTCGCAACGGCCCCTCCGGCAGCCGGCGCGACAGCACCGATCCCGTTGCCCGCTCGAGCGGGCTTCGCTCGTTTATCAATCTCGGAGACGGTCTCAGCTTCCGTAGCCGGAGCTCGACCAAGGTGAACTATGTCACGACTACACCCGGACAGAGGGGGCTCGGGGAGACAGAGACGGAGACAGATGAGCCAGTGCGTTCCTTATCTTTTGCTTATACCGAGTTATGTTTAGCTTACTATGCTTTTCGACGCGCTTCTTTTACTTTGTTTGATTGCTCTTATGAACTTCTTCGCGGCTTATCTCGTATCTGCCACACAGTCCCGCCACCTCCCAAACACGCGCATACTTCCCGCCTCAGAACCGCTCGTGCCCCCACACCTCGTCACAACCATCCTCTTCGAATCGTCGCGCCTGCTTGCTGTCGTACCCGCTCTTCTGGGCGCCACGCTGAACGCATGGGCGCTCTACTCGCCTCCGGGATCCGACTCAGAGTACTGGCACTACGGGCGCGATGCACGTCTAGCTCACCACTCGAACGACGGAGGCACTGGTGGGGTCCCTAAATGCGCGAATTGGAGCAGAGGCGCGCTGCCCGACAGGGGCGACTACTTCCTCGCCGTGCTCTGGGTGCGTTCTTCGCTTGCTTCCCTGTTCATTCTCATTCTCATCCTCGTTCTCATCCTCGTTCTCACACCCATACCCATACTCATCCCCGCACTCCGCCCTCCCACAGGCCCTTCTCACAGCCCACCAATGCCTCGCACTCACCACCGGCCTCCTCCACCGCTGGCGCGCACTCTACCCCCCGCTCTCCACCCTCATCCGCCTCCTCGCGCTGCAAGCCATCTGCTGGCCCGCCACACACACCACCCTCCAGATCCTCGGCGCCCTCGGCGGCGGCGCGCCCGCGCTCCTCGCGCGCCTGCACGCGCACGCCGCGCTGAACATCATGGAGGCGGAGCTGCTGCGCTGGACGACGGTGCGCCCGGCCGTGTGCTGGGCCGTTATAGGCAGCACGACGTGCTTTAGCAGGAGCATTCAGATATGGGTGACGAGCAACCTTCTTCCTCCGGCTGGCGCGAAGCCTAAGCCGTTGTTGTCGCCGTCGAAACTCTCTTCTTCTTCTGCTGGTGCTGGTGCTGGTGCTGAGCCCCCGTCGGGCGCGGGGCGGTTCAAGATGAAGTGGAAGCTGAAGAACAGCGCGCATGCGATCGCGGGTGCTGGTGCGCCGGGCGGGAGACGCTGGGACTGGGCGGTTGTTGGGCAGACGTGTGTGCTCCCTGCGGGGTGTCTGTATTTCGTGATGGCATGGGTGGACGCGTGGAGGCGGGAGATGGGGAGCTGCTAGATTAATTGCGTGTCATGGGATGGCTCCGGGCTTGTGTTGCGACTGGCTCCGCTATACCAGGTGGCCCGGGTGTGGACGGTTTTCGTTTTCGTTTTTGCGTATCTTGTTATTCTACTCTGTTGAGTAACTGCTTCATCAGGCATGTCTTCGAAGTATCATGATAATGCATAGCATGCTTCGAAGAAGATATCCCAAACCTTGGGTTGTTATTTGCCTCGGGTTTTGCCTGTGATCGCCGTGTCCAGTGATGTATGTGGGACTGTGAGCTACTCGGTACTCAGAACGGACGCGCGGTACGCCGCGTTGTCCGTTTACCTGAGCGTTTTGGCAGTACAACTCCTTGATTGCCTTGATCATCAATAGTGCATTAACACGCGCCTGATGGGCGTGCTGTATTGCTTATCAGGATCAATCTGTACACGGCAAAGTGTTGCATGTCACTTAAGGTCATTCCTTAGTATGATCTTTTCAAGGTCCAACCAAACCGCAAGTCACACTCAGCAGCTTTAGTAGCATGGTTGCGGTAGAGAGGGCTCCACAATACTTTGATCTGTTTGACGGAGGATACTACACGTTATAATGACACCGATCGCACGTTATCAGTGTATTTGGAGAAACCGATTGCCTGAGGGAGCAGCTGATGATGGGGTTGTTTCAGGCTTTCAAACAAATGCTTTATCGTCATACCTGCTGGCATTGAAAGTGGAGCGGGTGTCCTTTATAGTCCGGCGAAATCAAGCACCTACAAGCTTAAGCTCCCACAGTGTACTCGCCGCAATCCCTCCATTCATTGTGTATCTCGGGGAGCTCAACCACGGGTGCCTATCCCCTCAACAATTTTCCATATTTTTCTCTACTTCCACATGGCAGACACTCTGATATCGGAGCTTTTGGTGACGCAAGCAATGGGCTACGCTTATAGTAAACTTGTCAATGTGATTTATCTTGAAACGACGGGCTGATTACGACTGATTAGTGTCCACACTTACTCTTGTGATTTATGACTATGGTAGGTTTCACTCAGTCACTTCAGCGGACATGTGTCGAACACTGAGACATACCCTAGTCTTGTGTTTGCCCCAGGAGGTGGGAAAATATGGCGCTAAGATACTTATGAGCGGCAATCATTTAACTTTTCCGTTTCACGTTTAAGCAGATTGACTCTGTATGGGTAAGTTTTAAGCCTTTCAGCTGGTATGCTTCTGTTCAATTATTCCGCAATATCGCTTTCCTCCCAATAAAGCACAAAAACCCTCGTTCTTCGGCAGCTGTCCTATACGGTGTCGTAAGTTCATACTTGTTAACAGTCATCCCAAAGGCCTAACTTCTGTAATAAGCTGCGCTATGGTGGTCTGTTGACGGCAACGTACGTATCAGCTGCCTTTTAAACTGTACAATGACCCAAAGTCTAAAAATGAATCAGATCATTTTTTAGTATGTCCGACACTGTTTTGATGTCACAGCATTTTTTTAACACCACCAAGTAAACGGTCTCAATACAGTCATGTCGAATGAGGTGAGCAGCTAAACTCAAGCTGGTTTATTGTTGCACAAATAACGCATCACCTCAGGTGTAGGTGTCTTCCACTCAGACTTCTGTGCTTGAGACTCATCTAATTTCCCGGCCATTCAACTCCCATGTCAAACGCTAGTTGTTGGTTTCATTTTCTTCATACTATAGCATTATTTTCTAATCGAATTTATGAGTAGGTACCGCAACATATATTCTTGGAGAAATAAGTGTGAACCTTTTGGTCGTGACTTTGCAATGTGAGTAACTGTTGACATACCATACATCCTCGTGGCCTTAATACACTGCTCGAAAGGGGCAATGGTCATGCGTCTTTACGCATTATATAATGGAAGCAGACTGGTTCTAAGCGTGTTTACTGGGCTGTTACTGGTAGAAATCTCTGCTGGTGGAACCATATTAGCTGTCGCGTATCCTAAAACCCGTGAGTTTTCTCTCTCCCTCCTTCACTTATCAAATTTGATACCCTTGATTAGTGATAGATACGAGCACAATGGGGTACAACTCATGTTCTTTCAGCGGTCCTTTGAAACTGCCCTCCTGGTCAATATCCATTGCCGAACTGCTTCCTCTCGTCTTTCAGACCAGTATTCTGGCGGCAACATTACACCGCTTCAAGGTTTACTGCAAAGAAAGTCATCAGCGGTTAAGCTTAAAACTGTGGCTTAAAGATGACCTTACGGTCATTATTACAAGGGACAATCTCATCTTCTACCTTGTGTGCGTACCTCATCTTTTAATCCCTATTCGAAAAACTCATTCTCATCCAAAGCTCGTCTATTCCCATCTTTTTCAACCTACTGTATTGGATTGGATTCAGTGAGGTACTCTCACGCCATTGCTAGTAAAATAGCTCGCGTGTCTGACATGCACAATAGGGGACTAGCGTGGCAATTGGGATCACCATTGTCGCGGCATTTTTATCACTATGTCCAGCCATTATCGGGCCGCGGGTTATTCTCAACGTCAAGGGATACGGCGCACCTTTGAGATTATCTCGCGGAACGCTGATATGCAGTCAATCTGGTGATACGAACGGTATAGGACTTGACGTTCATGTTGCCATTTGTAGGGACTCGGAGGCCTCTCAATCAGTAAGCCGCGGCTACACTGCATGAGAAAGACCTTCAAGTGAAAGAGAGCAGCTCGAGCGGATTATCCGCAACTGTGTTGATACTTGAATCAGTTTGATACCTGTCCGTGGTGTACGTTATTTGTGTAATTAGTAAATGTTGATGTCGAAAGGCTAGCAGAGTTAACGTGTAAGAGCGCCAAGAAAGAATACCTACGGAGTCCCCTATACGATGCATATCAACGTTTTGAAGGCCAGATTTGAGGATAGACGTACGGACGTGTGTTATCAGTATGATAAATGGTGATTTTTTTTTATTTAGAAAATTCAACGTTTGCCTGCGGTATAACTTAAGTTACAAAGGCCTTTATCTGCTGCTGCCGTCTGTCACATTTGCGATTTGCCGTTCATTTCGGCCTTAAGTACTATACAATTTGATGAACCACTGACGAGCCTCGTCGTCAGATGAACGGCTAAATGTGAACACGCGGTTTATTTTATCAAGAGCGAGAACGCTAAGGCCAAGTGCCTCGAGCTTTCACGATAAACCAATCCTAGAACAATATGCTAGTTTGTTGACCATGCATCATGCATCGTGACACTGCAGACAAACTGTGATTTTTCTGTTACAAAAAGTGATTGAAGAAGGCGGACAGATGGAAGCCTTTTTAACCCATCTTTTGCTGTGCGAAAAGTTGCTGAAAAGTTAAACTTTTCCCTCGGAGTTTGCAGTTGTGAGTGGGGAATGGATATAAGCACATCTAAATCAGGAAAGTAAATACCAAATGCGGTAACCCATACATTTTACCAGCGCAAAATTGACGCAAACGTCGGCTAAAAGAATACCTTTTCCTGTGCAAAAAAGGGTCCCAAGACTCGGAGGAAAAGGCTTTCATCTCGCTGCTTCTTTCTCTCGATTTCATCCCGGGTAAAATCGTGCGGTGTGATCGACTCGAACACAAGCGAAAAATATTGTATCGGAGATGGAAATAGTGCAATATCTTTTCTACGTCACTTACACAGCGTAATATGAACACAGGTCACCGGCCACCAGAGCTCAGCGATTCTCCAACTTTACTAACTTGCATCAACGGATTATCTACTCTGGCTCGCTCTTCTCGTGATCTCATACTATAGCCTGACGAAAGGAACTGTTGGTACTCATAGTCCCATGTTCGCGCTTAAACAACCCACTCCAATGGGGAGGCCTTGCTTCTCCGGTTCATTAGCGTTGTCGTCTCAACGACGAGGCCTGGGAACGGCTCCCGTACTCTGTAACACCCTACCAGCATTCGGTCAATCAAGCTCAAGTCTCCGTCACGCTCGTGCTCATAATGATTCGCCAGTCTATACCGCTGTGAGAGCTTCCTTCATCTATTCCAAGAATAACACAGCGACGTTCTCAGCGTCAAGCCCTTCCTCTCTCGTTGATCTACTACGTGGGTAGAGTAATAACTCATTTGGTCTATCGCGTCCAGTTGGTAAAATTATCGCTTCCGGAGGCTTGATGCGACATGCCCCACATAGGCGGAATTCCCTTAACTGTAGTCTGGGGCTGGCTGTGTCAGCCCACCAGCCCACAGCTGGCACAACTATACTGTCCCGGAAGAATGGATGGCCCAATGTCGCCAAGAAGCATGGTGGCCGACGAGTTGATACCCATATAACGAGGTCATGAGAACTCCTCTGCCCCGTTCCCTTCTCATCTCCCATTCTTTCACCCTATGTCGGCTCCGGCGGCCAGCAAGGCGTTGATAAATGAAGTTATAGGAAAGCGAACCAGGGCGGTAAGTCACTTACCACTCTCGCTTGCTTCGCGCTGGTTTAACGACCTGTTTGCAGTGTGCCAATGTCCTTTGCGATAGTGCTGTGAAAGGTACTGAATCCCGTACTTCAGTCGCAGGTTTTGTTCTCTTGGTACGAAACTCCATTTCGCTGAGTATCTGGGGAAATATTGGGCTAAATGCTGTTTAGGTATGCGACTACTGCATCACGGCTCACCAGGAGGTGTGGAATCGACTGCATTATGTTCTCAAAATACGACCGCGCTCAGAATTGATATAGGCATATTGGCTATGGGAAGAGAGATGGACTTGGGGATGGTTTATACTGTCGCCCGATATTTCCCATTTCCCGCTTTGGCGTTGGCTATAGTTGGTAGGTGACATTGAGTCCGTATGCCTCATGAACTGCTCCAGTGCTCATGACCCTTGAAGGAGCATTCGAGGCGGTGGCTTTCAAGCCGGGGTGTGTGTACTATACATATCGATTCTGGTGACTAGTGAATTGACCGTGACATCGATACTACAAGTGTAAGCAATCAGACATTTCGACCTTCATCCACCTCGCCACTATCCTTGCAGCGGAAGGTCAGTTTTTGCGCCAATGGCTACCCAGTTAATGCGTCTGAATGTTGTTTTAGGGCTCCTTATGATGCGAATTTGGGCGTTCTGGGATTGTAGTCGTCGATTGCTCACTGTTCTCCTCATTATCGCTGTGGTAGGCCATCCTTCGTATCTGAGCGAACGGGTTCCTGCTGATGGTCACAGATCTTTGTTGGTCTTGCCATTGGACTGACCGAATACGTGAACTGCATTCTTCCAAAGCTGAAACCGCCCGCTGAAACCTGTACGTATGATTCTTGACTTTGAACTAGCATCCTGTAGCTCAACATCCTTACCAGCCCCAGGAACGTGCAGTTTCCCAACGGGTCAGGGTAGCTCGATTCAGTATGGATTTCTGGTGGTATACGAGCTAAGTAAGTCTCCGTCCATGTTGCCAACTAACCGCTAAGTTTCATCTCCTATTCTAGTACTTTAATATTTAGCGATGGTTCACTCATCACCGATCCACACAGTCGCGGCTCATAAATGCTGTTTACCGAGATACAATCGTGTACGTGTTCTGCATGATTGATAAGTAAGCGTTGCGCTATATTCCGCATGAGAGGCTCGCTGACTTGCTTGGTCGATAGGCTTCTCTTTAGCAAACATCTTGAACACCATCGTATCCCAGTGCGTGTGATCAGCCTGTGCAGTCTGACATATTGTTGATGATTATGGCAATGTACCAGGCTTATCACAATGAGTACTTCGACAGCCTGCAGCTTGCGACGCACAGCGCCCCCAGCGCGCGGATCTTCTTCCACATCCGCGAGAGCGCTGAAGAGATTCGCGCCCGAGCATTACCAAGCCATTTGTCGACTTTCCGAGTCGCAACCCCTGTGATCACTAGGAACAGTGTCCGTAGGTCCGATGCCGAGAGAATGTTAGACGACGTAATTGTGATCGAATAAATAGAGGGTGCTATCCGTTTGAATTGGTTGTAAACCAGGTGAAGAAGGACAAATAAAGAAAGGAGAGTAAAAAAGTACTGTGCTTGATTGAAACCCCTTGCCTCTACACGCTCGTCTTTACACGCTCTTTGCCCTCCAAGTCCTTGTCTGCTAGCACGCATCACGCACGGGCATGACTGTACCTTAACAGATGCAGTGGGCCCGGCACCGGTGCGTCGCGCTGTGGGACTTCCAGCGCAATCCCAGCGCAGCACCTGAACAAGCAACGACAAGGACGACAGGACAGAATCCCAGCTCCCGGACAGACAACCGCTGAGAATGACTAATCAATCAAGAAATAGTCCATGACGAGGTGCTTACCGGCCCGGGACTGTAGCCAGTAGTATCCCACAACGATGGCTTCAGGGTAAACTCAGTGTTGTGCTAGTAGCAACAAGAGTACCCAGGCACGGTACCACAAAGCTAATAATGTTGACCAAGTTGCTGCTGTTACCTACATGCAACATTCGAACACCGCTCGGACCTCATAATACCGTAGCAAGCAATAGAATAATAACAAGATTGGATAGACGCAAGAGTTAGGACATAAAATTCACCAGTGTTTTCACCGACCTAGCAGTATCCAATGGGCTCAAGTGCTCTGAAGTTGGTGGTTAGAAGTTGACCAGGCCCGGCGAGAAAATTGGCCGCTGGCGCGGGTAACTTCCGAGTCCGCCGGTGCCGAAGTCGTCGTCCCTGGCTGCTGAGCGGAAGCAATTTTCATTGGCGATGCTAAAGACCTCGCGAGGTGAGCCTCGGCGAGCATACATACAATGTGCTCGACGAAACACCCAACCTTCCACGACACGTACCCACCAGAACCCGAAATCACACAAACACCATCCTACTAAAAACAATACAATTCACCCCGGTGAACGTATATATGTATTGCTACACACCGCAACTACCAAATGAGCGCGTAATGATGCATGATGACCAGCGTATACCTTGATACGAATAAAGACAGCAAGCGAGCGAGAGAGGTAAAAACATAAAACACCAAAGCACCGAACCACCCAGTGGATAAAGATAGCAGTAAAAAAGAGAGCGGGATGACCGACATGCATCCGTGCGTGGTATGAAAACAGTGAGGGAGAACCAATCATGCAATGCGAGAGACCCAAAATGCAGGAGAGATGATGATGCAGAAGGCCACGGAGTCGATCCGTGACCTCGAGGAGCGGAGCGGGACGATGAGGATGAGGGTGAGGATGCCTAGGGGAACCATGCAGACGATGCGATGCTGAGGCCAGGATTACCAGCCCGCCCGGGCTCGCCGGGGGGAGACGTGTGCGCTATGGTATCGTGACGGGGTCATTTTCGTAGGCGTGTGTGCGGACGGAAGGAAGGAGAAGGGAGAGATTGGTCGAGGGAGGAGATGGGGAGGAGAGCAGAAGACGCATTTAGGCAGCAAAAGCCGACCCTTGGACGGCCTTGATCCACGCCGAGTCGGCCTGGGGGTACTCCCAGCTCATAACGCCAGCGTTCCAGCCCTTGCCCTTTGCAGTGGCAATGCACGAAGCGAGAGCGCTGGTGGACATGAAGCCGCCGTTGGTCTGGTCAGCCTGGGTGGCAGGCTTGCCGATGACGATCTTGTCGAGGGGGACACCGGACTTGGCGATCTCGAAGACGGACGAGTTCGGGAACGTGGAGGACGACTTGGTGAGGAGACCATCGCAGCTCTCGTAGTCAGAGTTCTCTGCAAGAACATCGCATTCAGCGTTCGGCCGCGAGAGACTTGAAAAGCAGAAAGGGAGACTCACGGTTGTAGAACTGGACATTGTACCAGTCAATCATGCTGCCCACAGCCTTATCGACCGCGAGGTAAGCACCAGACGGGTACGTCGGAGCACCGCTGAACCACGGTGCGACGGGCGCGTGCGTGAAAGTGTACTGACCCGCGGGGAGCTTCTTGCGGAGCTCAGTCGTGAACTTGATGAGCCAGTTCTCCGCGGATCCGTCCTTGAGGTTGATCGCCTGGAAGTCCTCGTAGTCGATGTCGACGCCGTCAAGGTCGTTCTGCGTCACGAAGGTCGCAAGGTTGTCTGCGGTCGCGACGGGGTCGGCGCCGCCGGTGGTGGGCTGCTCGGTCGAGCCGAACGCAGACACCATGAGCTTGATTCCGGCAGCCTTGTACTCGGCCTTGGTCGACTGGCGCGTCGTAGCGTCGAGCTGGGACCAAGTGGTGGCTTGGTCAGATGGGCCGGTGGTCATCCAGAACGAGAGAAGGCTGTAATGGCGAACACTGTTAGCGCCCGTGGCGAAGGAGAAGAGCGAGGGCAAGCACGTACAAGGCGTTGAACCCATCGAGGTCAGAAGCCTTCGGGGGACCGGTCTCGCCAGAGATCCACGCGTCGCTGTAGACGACCCAGTGCGGACCAGAGCCCGAGCCCGAAGAGCCGGTGCTCGTGGGTGCTGCGCTGCCAGAGCTGGTGGGGGTACCAGAGCTGGAGCCGGTACCGGTAGGGATAGCGGTGCTGGAGCCAGTAGGAACACCAGTGCCGGTGGGGGCACCGGAGCTAGAGGAACCGGTGGGTGTACCAGTAGGGAGACCAATGCTGACGGAAATGCCAACGCTGGTCGGGATGGGCAGACCACTGGCTGCGCCAACGGCGGGCGAAACGCTGGTGCCGGTGGCAGTGCTGGTAGCGCTCGAGGAAGAAGCGGAGCACCTCCTGTGGAGAGGGAGGGCCGAGGCGCCAATAACGGCGGTGAAGAGAGTGAAGAACGAGGCGAAGCGGGCCATTATATGCGAGTATGCGAGTGTGATATGTGTGAATCTGCGCTGCAGGAGACGGTCGGTTGGTGTCGGTCAGACGTAAAAAGACAGAGGTAAGGTAAAGATAGTCGGAGGAGAAAAGAGGGAGAGGAAACCCCGAGAGCGGGACGTGTGGGCGGGTGGTGGTGGGCGGTACTAGGTACTTGACCTGGGGGAGGAAAATCTCGGACGGAAGGTGTCCGCTCTTATAAGGTCGTACTCGTCGGGGACCGCATATGGAAGGCGACAAGAAGCCCGAGATGACGGGACTACTGCATCCGATTATCCCTCGAGGTGGAGACGGTCAGAAATGAACGGGGTGTGGAGCTTCATATCAAGAAGAGCAGACGGTCACGGCGGCGCGTCGCCGAGCGGTGAGATTGTGCCGTCCTGTCCAGCGCACAGAGCGTAGACTGTATACCATCCCCGGAAGGTCCTAAGCTCGTTCATTGTTCCCATCTGATCTCCGTGCAGCGCATTGAAGTTGAGGCGGAAAGAGGTTTTCATGGTCATGGTGCATCGCGAGTGCAGTGCACCGGGCAGCGCTCGAAAACTTCCACCGGCGTCATCACCCAAAAAGGCAACCCGCAAGTTCGGGCCCTTGACACGGTGGAGCGGTCCTTGTCCTCCATCCGACTGGGGATTGACCGCGACTGACGTGAAACAAGAAAGCATCGCACTCAAAATGGATGCGCAAGTATGGTCCCGCGCGCGCACGTTGCCATTGTCGAAAATTTCGCTGACAGTTGCTGCGGCGTAGAAGCCATCAAAACACATTCTCACTTGAGCACTTTAGCACAGTTCGGGGGCGGTCTTTGCAAGCGCGTTTTGTATTGGCTGGAGACCTCTGGAGACCTCTGGAGACCAACTTCAGGGCCAAAGAGCCCCGGAATGCAAGCGCCAAATTGCTCCAGTTTCAACGTGGATGGATGATCGGATGATCGATCTCCGGTGGCAGCGTCTTATTGTCCTGTGGCCCAAGCATGGTGCTCACCTGCTCATATCGAAGATTCATGCTTCCCTCTCCGCGGGGTATGAATGAAGCATACGTACCTTCAGCGCCGTAGAGGCAAGGTCAGAGAACACCCTAAAACGAGGGACGGTGGGCAGCTGCTGCTTCAGAGCTCTCTCGAAATGCTCCCCGCCTTGTTAGAAGGTCCGAGCTCGAGCTTCTGCGCAGTTTTTCAGCATGTCTTGAGCATGTCCTCCGCACCGCAAAGAACAAAACCATAACCAAGAAGGTTCCCATCGTCCGGGGATTAGTGAGTCCCGAATGTTCGCGGGCTCTGAAGTACATATGATGCAAGAGGATGCAATATGGTGGAAGCGAGGTACGGAAGGTGTCCGGCGCGGAAGGGAAACTCCCGAAACCGCCGATGCGCGCTCGTTTCTTCGAGCCGGCACTGCTTATGCGGGAGCAGATCCCGTAGCCAGGATGGCGACGCATGAGCGCTGCAGCAATCAATGGCGCTTACGGTGCAGGGGTGGGCCTGCGCGCATGGCTTATACAAATCTCTTCACTCGAAGTCCACACAACGGACATAGGCCTCCGATGTCGACCCACACTCGCTCAGGAATCAGGCGTCCGCAACAGCACTGGTTCTCTACAAGCCTAACTTATCATACTCTACTACACTGCTTCGTTATACAGCACATATGTAAGTACACACAAGGGTAGTACGACGAAACAATGCGCCCCTCATGTACATAAATTAGTTGTTTACAAAAAAGCGTGGTAAGTAGGACTGCGAGGTCTAAGCGTTAAGTCTCCCCTTCCTCTCTAAGTATCAAAGATAAAGCATGAGCAAAAGGTACAGTCCGGTCCACTCGACGTGACCAGAAGGATGAAGCATAATATCAAACCCCACCAGCCCCCCCGCACCAACGCCCTCCACCTCGACTCGACTCGATTCAGAACTCAGCTCTGCCCCTTCTCATACGCACGCACGCGCTCCAGCGTCGAATCCGCCAAATCGCCCTCCTTCGCCTTCCACGACTTTGCAAAATCAGCCGGCAAGTCGCCCACAATGTCGCTCGTGTCCTCCTTGCGCTGCACGATCAGCGGCGGATACGCGCTGTACCCGACGAGATGGTGCATCTGCACGAGGTCCTTCACGCCGTGGTCGATCGGGCGCGAGTACGCGTAGTCCGCGCTGCGGAGCATCGTCAGGAGCTTGCGTGCGCCCTTGCGCGAGAGCGCGTAGCCGTGCAGGCACAAAGCGTGGTACGTCTTGCGGAAGCGCGGGGCGCCTAGGATCGGCGGGTTGCGCCATTCTTCGGAGTGGCAGTGGCCTAGGAAGAGGATGTCCCAGTCGGAGGGGAGGTGCGACCATTGGGAGAGGAGTGTCTTTTCGATGTCGAATTCGATGTCGATGTCGTCTTCGAGGATGAGGCCGACTGCGTGGTCTAGAGCAGTGTGTTGGTGTTAGATAGTAGACTACGAATGGAGCAGTGAGGAGAACGTACCTTTGTAGACCATATCCCGTATCGCCTGATAATGCGAGTGCCAACACGCGATCCCCGCCCGGCGCGTCATCTCCGTCATCCGCAGATTATTCAACACGCTCGCCTCCGTCAGACTCGTCTTCCACGTCGGCCCCGCCTCCGGCAGCGGCTTCGTCGGCCTCTCCCGCGCCCACTCCTCCGCGCCCGGCGCCAACCCGTCCCAATAATCCGCACCAAGGTACATGGGCGGCATATCGCCTGTCTCGTTCGCACCGAGCTGCAGCGCCTCCTGCACCTCCCCGCTCCACTCGAAGCGGAAGGCGTGGTAGACCATGCCCTTGCGCGCGTCCTCGCTGTAGTCCGCGGGCTTGTACTCGTCCGCGGGCGCGGGCTGCTCGTCGACGCGCTCCCAGCGCTGCCAGCCGACACGGTCCATGAGCACGTCGATCATCGGGAGGCTCGCGTCCGTTGCGTCGATGAAGGTGAAGTCCAGATCGAGCGCGTCCGCGATCTGCGAGAGGATGTGCCGCCGGTCGGTGCGCCGTGCGAGCGAGATGGCGTAGATCTCGCCGGTGTCGCCTTCGGAGGGCAGGGGGAGCAAAGTGCGGGCGTGCGGGAGGCGGTCTGAGGGGAGGACGTGTGCGAGTTTGTCGCGGAAGGACGCTTGTCCTGGTGATGTCTTCTGTGAGGAGAAGCGGTTGGGCGGGGACCAGTCGGTGGCGGAGTCGGACATGCTGCCAGGGGGTATGCTGAAGATGAGGAGGCAGAGGACGAAGCCGCCGAGGAGGAAGGTGGTCATGCGTGGGCTCAGCGAGCTGAGCGCGGACAGCAACGCCATGGTGGGCGGCTGGGGTCGGCTGGCTGGTGGTTCTGTTGTCTATTGACTGAGATAGCGACTATGGCTATGTCGGAGTATGGAGAAAGGAATGTGTATGTCGTCGAAAGCCGTCAATCCTAGGGGTGTCGCTGTCTGTGCTGGTGGGTGTCAAGCAGGGGAGGAGTGCTTGTCGCCGCCAGTAAAAGAGGGGGCGCAAAGAGGTGATGGGTCGTCTCAAGGCTGGCTTGGCATGGACCCAGCGTAAATGACGCGCGCCAGCGGTTTCAAGCTGACACCCGTGGCCATGGCTCACTTAGATCCCCTCGGCTATCTTTGGGGCCCACCGCCACCTCCCTTCCACCTAGTTCACACCCCGCTTCAATTTTCTGATCTTCACATAATCTCTCCCCTCTTTCTTTTTCTCTAAGAAACTTCTCGAATTCGTGCTGCGTGCTGCAAGGCATCCCAGCACCACCAAGACTGCCCAATCTATACCCAAACAAATGCGAACAACCCATAAAGCAGTCGGATCAGAGCGGCCATTTATAATCTCCGAGACTCCGACTAAAAACTGGTCCTAATTTTAGCCACCACAGCACACATGCACGGGCTCCAAGCCCGGGACCGAAAGAGAAGATGCACTCTCAGGTCCTCGATCGACATCAACTTTGAGAGAATCCGAGCCTAAACCAAAGTGCCAATACAAAACGTCTATTGTGAACTGATCGAAGTTGACTTCCCTTGCCAGGAACCATGAATTATTTCGTTTAAGCCGTGACTGCGTTGTCGTGGTACGAACTGGCTCGGGGCTCGGACTCCGTCATCACCAACTTTCCCTCTTATTCATGGGCGTGACATTCGCGCAACATTCATCAGCGTTCTCATCAGATGAGAACTAAAGTATTAAACCCTAAGCCAAGATGTTCAATGGCTGGAGAGGACAATGACCGCGCTAACAACGCTCGGAAGTTATCTCGAGCGCCATTTGATCACAGCCCAGTCTCTTGTATTTATTACCCCAGGTTTATGCACTCGACACCTCTAGTCCTCGTTCGCAGATTCACCAAGTACACCTAGTCACGATAACAAGTGACCTTCTGGGCCGCTTGAAATGTAATTGCTAGAGATTGAAAGGATAACACGTACGACTCCTGCAGGCGCGTAGTATCTCCGCACTAGAAGTCTTAGGTGGAGGTAATCTTCAGCTAAGACCCACCGCCAAGCAAAAGTTTGAGAGATGTCTATTAGAGCATTCTATCCCTCATATGGTCTCTCTCCAACTTGAGCGATACTTGACTTGTGGTGGACCCTAACATCAGGGACAACACCAGGAACTCACGCTTAGTATACGCCGAGGTAGTAAGTATGCTGCTCAGTTGAGAATACTCACCTCACCTTATTTCCTCTACTCGTTCCTCCACCAATGATTTCAGGGCTGCTACGACTCGTACTTAAATTCGTGCACTTAGTTTGGATACCTGCTGGACGAAATTGAAACTGAAGGTCTTCCTCTAGGGATGACCCTTCATACTGGCGATGCTATATGACCCCACCGTAAAGACTTGAATCAGGGCTCTGCTTTACCAGACATACATACTAATAGTTGCTGACGAGAGATGAAAACATCAAACTTCCGGTCCCTACAGCCGATATGATCGCTTGCTTAGTTGACAAGAAAACGACAGATAACAGGACACCCGATGTTCCCACGATACATTCTCCCTTCCCTCTAATTTCTTGCACCTTCTCTATCATATATCCGGTCGGGGACGCTGCACCATGGATCTTGTCGCAAAGAACGAGGAAACGGACATCGCGAAGATCACCCTCTACAGTGCGTGCCTAGGCCGACGATGAACGTCGCCGCCGATCGGTGTTGAGTTGATGCCAGCGTTCAGTGCGTTCGTGCCCATACTCGAGGAGCGCAAGGAGGAGATATTCAAGATAGAGAGGAAGACGTTCAAGTATGGCACGAAGAACCGACACCACGTACGTCATGCACCTCTTCGCCCTCCTTCTAGCCCTCACATCATCAACCTCCTCGCGACCCGACCATCGCGCCGCTGCATTGCACCGCCACAACAGCTAGACGTCTATTACCCGCCCAACCCGTCCAAAACCGCAAACGGCAAGACACCGATCCTATTCTTCATCTACGGCGGCGGCTTCAACAACGGCTCGCGGCAGCTGCCCGAGCCGTACTCGATGGGCTACCGCGCGCTCGGCGCCTTCTTCGCGAACCGCGGCTTCCTCGTCGTCGTCCCCGACTACCGCCTCGTGCCCGAGGTGCGCTACCCCGCCGCCTCGCAGGACATCCGCGACGCGCTCGTCTGGGTCTCCGACAACACCGCCGCGCTCGTCGACCCCGCCGCGGGCGGGCTCACCGCGCCGGGCGTGGAGCCCGACGCGGAGTACGTGTTCGTGCTGTCGCACTCGGCGGGGTCCGTGCACACGAAGGTGATGGCGCTGCACCCCGATATACGCGGGACGCTGCCAAGCGGGATCCGCGGGTACCTGTGGTCCGCGGGCGCGTGGTACATCGACGTCCAGGGGGAGAGCTTCACCAAGGAGGGCCCGCCCCGCTTCTACTTCGGCACGCCGGAGCAGCAGCGCGAGCGTGAGCCGCGCGCGTTGTGGAAGAACTTGAATGAGGAGGAGGTGCAGGCGTTTCCTGAGGTGGTGCTTGTGCATGCGGAGCGCGAGCCGCAGTGGTTGTTGGATACGGAGGTGGTGATGGCGAAGGATCTGGAGGAGAGGCTTGGGAAGCCGGTGAAGAAGATTGTGTCGAAGGGGCATAATCATATTAGCCCGAACTGGGCCCTGTCGTCGGGCCAGGGCGAGGAGTGGGGGTATGAGGTGTCGGAGTGGATTCACGAGCGTATTGGCACGCCCGCATGATCGTGGCCCCAAGAGAGTAGCCAAGGGTTATTGAAGTATGCCAGGGTGTAACATTTCTACTTGAGATTGTATCATGATTGTTTCCGTTGACTTTCCGCGGTTTGTTCCCAGCCGCACCTCTGCTCACTATCCACCGAGCAACCCGTCGACGGTGCTCCATGAAGGTGCGTAAAGTTGGCAGCATCTATCTAGATGTAACTCTCGCTACCTTGATGACGGGGCATGCAATACCACCTCCCGATAGAACCAATGATCCTTGGGCAGGAAGCGTATTATGTTTCTTCGCTCGACTGACTTATACCACGCTATGAGCGTGCCGCTCCTGAGGCCTGAGGCCTGAGCTTCAACTTAGAGGCTATTCAACGTGTCATGACTCTTCATCTTTCTCCGTCTCTCGCGCAGGCACCCACCGAGAGAAACCTACTGCACTAGACACCACGAATGGTTATCTTTAGTTCAACCTTCGTGCGCACTATTTACTAACTACTTGTTCCTCGGAGGCTCAACACAGACTCTTTCCAGTCCGCTAGGCGATCCGAGCATGATACAGACTCATCCAGTCGTAGTGGAGTTCAACATGCGCGTCTAGTGGTATACATCTAACGTTATAACATTGCCAGCCGTCTACGTGAATGCTCGGCAGATACACAATATATCACGCCCATGAGCAAGCCTTCGTGAAACCAAGCGTTTTTGGGGAGCCACTTAAAGTGCGGCATAAAGACAAGAGACATCATTGTCTCTCCTCGCCACTCAAACCAATCAAACTCACGATGTCCACCAGAATCAAAAGATCATCGTCACAGACGCATCCACCGGCATCAGCCTCGCCGCGGCGAAGCTCTTGCACGCCCACGGGTGGAACATCGTCGCTCCCGATGCATTTTTCTACCAAATACGGGCAGGGCAGTGGAAGTTGGCATCGTACCAAGGCTTCCGATAAGATGCAATGACTGCGTATGGGCGCATGGTAACCGGAATCTCCATTTCTTCGGAAGGTGTGGCAGAGTTCATTCGGGAGGTGATGACTGACAGGATGAGGACGTTTGAGTACTTTGTTAGGGAGGACGCACGAAAGTTCCCGGATGCGCTATATGAACTTGGTCAGTCTGACGAGGAGTACATGGCGGAGATGCGCGTATAATTTGAACAGGTTCTCGAGTTCATCGGAACACGTTTGCTTACATGTAGAAAGCGTCAGTATAAAACTAGGAAAGCTATCCCATTTCCCATGAGCATCGGATGTCTGATGTGGTACTAGTTTTCAGGAGAGTAGCCGGTCTATCTGAATTAGCATTGGTACATTGTCCAAATATCTGCTTCCATATGATGAGCTCCACAGAGATAATCGATAATAGACCATCGCCTTATGATCATCTTCTCCTCGCCATGGCATGCTTGCACAGGGCGAAACCTGTTTTTAGTGGAGTAGTCATTTCCACAGTCCGGTGCTTGCAGCGTACGTAGGTCGGCCATATCAACTACGGTGTTCTCGATTGACATATCTTGCCCGCAACAACTTGATCCTCTCAGGCTAGTGTGTTTCACAATGAGGCATCAAGCTTCAAGTCACAACCCTTCACGGTGGAACAGACCCCCAAGAACTATGCATCCGGTGCGCTGCTATCGCATATCTAAAGTCAGTGTGTTCTGATAGTGCATGGATGCGATGCTGAGATGGAAAGATACTCCACTAGTTGATTCCGGTTTTCGCTGAGCATCATCATTCCAAATCTTGCGTATATTCTTCAGGGCTATGAAAACGCTTGTGAAGACATGCATAAATAACCTGATGGGGTCACCTCATGCTACGAAACGTTGACTGCCCCTTATCTTTAGTACCTCGCAGGTTATCCCCCGCCACTTATGTCTGAATCAGAGTCTCAGGAATACGCATCCGGCGTCAATGCGCTGACATCAGGAAAAACCTACTGTTAGTAATTGCCCGAACTTCCCTATAGTCATGCGAAACTGGCCAAATTTTGGTCAAGTTTTCATAATTTTGGTGGGATGAGAATTTTACGAAACACTGCAGCCCCCCTTTGATGATCGCGACAACTTTGCTGAAATCTCTTCGAATTTTGATAAATTTTCGTTGTCATTGGCCCATCAGGATTACTACACGCCGCTTTTTGCGCGCTTTTCAGGGCTGATTGATAGAAAGTGGCTTCCAAGGGACTAAAAGCAAGCGTTCGGAAACTGCTGTATTGCATTCATAATTACAACAAGTAGATATGAATCATACATTAAGTAGAGAGAAAGAGCCGGAAAGCAAGGCGAAATAAAGACGTGCCCAGCCACTGTTCTGTGCATTAGGCTTCGGATCATGCTGGTATGGCTCATTCACAAGGGCACTCGACCTAGAGCCAGCAGTAAGAATGAGCACACACCATGAGAAAAGATTTCGTGATAGGCCTCTTTGGCTGGCACAGAAGGTAAGACCAAAGACACCTGTGGAAGCCCATTAGTATCGACATCACGCAGATAGGCTTATGAAAGGACACATACACGCTTTGGGCCAACCTCGTGGTTGTTAAAGTCGAATGTGGTGTAGTAGCCCTCGCCGAGGGTGCTCGACGCATCCTAGCCACTGATGGCCTCGTAGAACGAGGCAAAATTGTTGAGGATTCCGATGATGAGCGTGGTGCTGTTGTCGGCGATGGCATCGAACTGGCCGACACCCTGTTGGCCGCCCAAGAAGATGTCGTCGGCGGTGATCTGCCAGTAGCCCTGCTATGTGACGGGCGCGTAGGTGAAGTCGCCGGACACAGCGGACTGGCCAACGCTGCCGATGGTGAGCTCGGCGCCGGACGAGGTCAGCTTGAAGCCGAAGACGCCCGCATCGGTCTGGCCCTGGGAGACGAACGTGTTGAAGACGGGCAAGGCGCCGTAGGAGGAGATGGCGGGGTAGCCCATGCCCATGAGGCCGTCGGTAGGGAACTGTTGGGACTCAGAGCCCGTCGAGTACTGCTGTGCGGCACCGAGGGTCTGCTGGGTGGTGGTCAAGCCAGCAAGCATAGCAGTGTCGGTCTACTACTCACCGGAGATGGTGAGGGCACAATCCAGGGCCAGAACGAGGGTGAGGGAGGGAGAACGCAAGGGGAAGAGGGTCCACCAGTGCTAGTGAGGGAGCTGCGAGGGCGAGGGTGGAGGCAACGAAGCAAAGCGTGAAGGAACAAAGGACAGGAAAGAATCCGCGAGAAGACGCTAAGTTCAACATTTGTACCACTCTCCTACCCAGATGATTGGTCGTGTAGTGTCGCATCAATCCTAGTGCACTTATATTAATTGTTACTTCCAATTACTATAAACAGTTTAATCTCCGACCCGATTACGAAAACTTTTGAGCGACGACGTACACGTCTGGAGGAAATTGCAGGGGTCGGCATGCTCGGCATGCTCGGCTGGCTCGGTTATGTCTAGATTGGGCAGCCCGAGCCGGCTGCTTGGCCGTTGGTGCAACAACTTCATAGGTGTCGATGAATGATAAGACAGACCTCGGGGCGGGTTGTACAATGCTGGCTACCTTGTATCAAGCTGATGTTGTCAAATTGAGTCGGATCTTCGAGTTATGAGTGAGCAGTCCCAGTACTTCAATATCTCCCAAATATCTCCCCTATATACCTTACTTGACATGCTACAAAGACGGCGGCGCAGCCATCAAATCCTTACAATGTTAACTACAATAGCCGAGGGCTCCCGCGGGCTCCTTGACCAAGGCTGTCTTCACCCGAGTGCAAAGGTGGCCATAGTTGCATGAGCAACAAGAGATTTAAGTGCGAGAACTTTCGAACAAAAGACAGACGGAGAGCTGAAACTCAATTATGTCGGCCGGCTCGGGCTGCCCAATCTAGACATAACCGAGCCAGCCGAGCATGCCGACCCCTGCAATTTCCTCCAGAGGGTTGGTCGTGTACGTCGTCGCTCGAAAGTTTTCGTAATCGGGTCGGAGATTAAACTGTTTATAGTAATTGGAAGTAACAATTAATATAAGTGCACTAGGATTGATGCGACACTACACGACCAATCATCTGGGTAGGAGAGTGCATTTGTACTTGTTTGCTGATGGCGGAGCTAGAAACTGCCGCCTTTTGTTGCATCACCGCCCTCACTCCGCTGACTCACTACTCCCTTGATGCCAATGCTGGACCATAGATGTTCACCACACCACCAGCATCCCCCGACTGATATAGCCTCGCCACCTCTTGTCGCCTCGTCATCAATATAAATGTGTGCATGGACCCCTCAGTCGCCGTCCTCAACTTTTGGGGTGGCCTTGCATGCCTCTGCCCACGGGCATCTGCTGGCGGTCGCAACGGCGGCAGCGGCGGCTTTGAGCGCAGTTGGCATTGCATGCTCAGCACTGTGCAACAGGATTGCTCCCTGCGGGGCTGCCACCCTACAGAGGGCTCCCACGCACTGCACTTTATAATGTGAGTATATGTTTTTCATCTGGTAGTGTGTTTGAACTTTGCTGTGGCACATTTTGACGGTCTTGAGTCGCTGGACCAACTGTACTTGCTAGTCTTACTTACTTTATGCTATATACTTGCTT